ATCGGCGGATGGTGGTGGCGTGTTTTCTTTTGACTTCGAGGTGGGTTGCATGCCGGAGAGTCGGATTGTGCTGGTGTTGATGCTGATGCTGAGTCGTAGCGCGGCGACGTTTCACGGGCGGGTGGAGAGTCTGTCCTGGTCGCTGTATTTGGAGGAATGTTTGACGGTGCTGGAAGACACAAACGAGGCGCCCGGGGACGCGCTGCTGGTGGGGCTGGTCAAGTTGCAGCTGATCGCTGCGAAAGTCACCAGGGTGTGGGCGCAGAGTGGGGATTGCAAGACGGATGAGGGCACGCGCATGATCGGGCCGTTTGTTGCTTCGCTCAACATGGAGTTGGCGGCGGTGCGGCACCAGGCCCCGGCGCATCTCAAGACAAACCGTATGTCGAGCTTCAGTTACCGATTGCTGTAACAGAAACATATCCTAATCGCGGTGCAGGAATCTTCCAAACAATGGCATCCCACGCAGAGATAGCAATCAACGAACTCACCCTCCTCCGCACTTCCACCGTCCCCATCGCCACCGACACAGACCTGCAAACCCTCAACCACCTATTCCAATGCGTGCAAGCCATCAAATCCTGGATTCGCACGATCCTCCAATTCGACGCAGCAGAGTACGTCGGGTTCCCTTTTCCGGTCTGGAAGCAATTCCGGACCGTCGTGCTCGTCACCCTCCGCCTGGGGGCGCTGGAAGACCCCGCCTGGGATCCGGGGCTGGTTCGACGGTCCGTCGATCTGCCCGGCGTGCTGGACGAGATCGCACGGAAGTTGGATCGGGGCCGGTCGCAGACGGGGGAGCCTGTGTTCGCCACGTTCATCAAGATGGTCCACATGCTCAAGGCGTGGACTTTGTCGGTCTATGCTGAAAGTCCGAGCGAACCGGCCGATTCTGGTTCCCCGTCGGGGATGCTGTCGGAGGGAGAACCGTCTGCGGTGGAGGATCAACCGTGGGGAGATTTCGTGTGTGATGACGAGTTCTGGAATGTGGAGTTCCTGGGGTGGCCTTACCTCTCTTGAATTGTATAAGTCGGGTCCGATGGTTACTTGGCGGTCTCAGTAGTAGTCAAGATAACACCCTCCGCACCGAAGGAGGTCTAACCCTAAACATATGAATTCAACTTCAAGGCCGACAATTCTAATTCTACTTAACACATGAAAACAACAAATCCCCTCCCCCCTCCCCTAAAGCCCCCGCAACCTGCCAAAAGTCGCCTCCCAGACCCCCGCCCTCCTCCCATCAAACACAAACCCCCTCAACACCCTCTCCACCTCGCCCCAAGCCTGCAAATCCCCCCGCACCTCTCTTGTAATGCGCTCCCACAACCCGCGCTGCACCCTCACCGGCGTCAACCCCCGATTCCTGGGCGTAGTAATCACCATCCACAGCCAGACCAAACAATCCTTCAACGCACCGTCCGTCCACAACGGGGGAACCGCCAGCAACATCTCCGCGCGTTTCCTGGGCTGCCGGAAGATGACGGCGGCCGGGTGGAGGCCCATGTGGCTGACGTCGTCGGCGAGACACAGCAGGGCGACGAAGATGCATTTCTCGACCCGGTTCAACGGGCGCGAGGCGCTGTGGCGCCACACGGGGATGTTGCTGGGGTCGTCGACGAGCAGGTAGCGGTCGTGCCAGTCGTGGAAGCTGGCCAGGATCTCGAGCGAGGCCGGGGTGATGCGGCCCTGCTTCAATAACGCGGCGAAGCCCTTGGGGATATCGAGGGTCTGGGTCAGGGTGTAGGTGTCCCAGTCCCCGGTCGGAGGATTGGGGGGAGGGGAAGGTGACTCGGACTCGGACTCTTCGGAAGAGAGGGATGTCTGCATGTGCAGCACCAACAGACTCCGGGCGACGTTCGCCGCCGTCCGCAGGTCCTGGCTGATGGCCGGCACGGAGCTGCCGACCTGGCTCTCGCCGCCGCGGGCGCGGATCACCGCCTCGAAGCCGGCGGTGTGCGCGCGGCTGTAGGCGACGTTGGCGAGGTGGTCGTCCACCGTGATGAGCAGGGTGAGGGCGGAGATGAGGAGGTCGGTCACCTGGCCCGTGGCCAGGGTGTGCTGGATCTCGGTGAGGAGGCGCGCGCGGTGGTACAGGGCCGCGGCGTGCAGCTCCGCGGAGGCCGCGGAAAGGTCCTCGGATTGCGACTCGAGGTTGCACAGCGCGAACACGGCGAGGCCGTGCAGCATGATGTCGTGGTGGGCGGACCAGTGCAGGAAGACGGAGCCGTAGGTGTGGCGCTGCGCCGGGGCGTGGCTGAGGACTTGGGAGTCGTGCGGGAGGAGGATGTCGAAGTCTGTTCCCCCGCCCCGCCTCCTTGGTTCAGAACAGATAGGGGAGTGTGGGTTGTGGGTAGGGAGGTTTGGGTAAGACAGGATGTATAAGGGAGGGAAAGGATAGGGCTACGCACAGTAAGAGAGCGCGCGGGCGGTGCAGGGCCCCTTGGAGGCCGGGGTCGCCAGCGGGTAGAATCGCCCCGTGCCGATCGGGCCCGGGCTCGGCAGTGTTCGGCCGGGCTTGCGCTGCACGGTCCAGCGGCGTCGATCTTTGTCTAGATCATCTTTAGGCTTCTGGTCTTCGGGCTCTACCACGAATGTGCTCAAGCCACGCTGGAACTGTGGGGACTGGTGCTGTTGACGGCGCTGGGCGGCGCGGGCGGCGACCAGGGCGTGGACGGGTCGACGCGATTTGCCGGGTTGCATCTCGGTGGGGTTGTAGGGGATGAACATGGTGGATGTGGTGGCCAGCGGTCTCATATGTAAGGATAATTCATGATTTCTCAACATTTTTGATTAGAGTGATTATACAGGTGGGGTAGACAGCAGGAAGCGGTTAGCTGGATCGGGGTTAGCAGCGGCAGAAGCAGCAGCAGACAAGTGGCTTGTTCGCCTGGAATGCGGAACGCGGATACGGTACGGACTGCGGAGTAACTTGCTCACAAGTAACGTTAAGCTTAGTTTAGTTACCTTGATTACTTTGGTTACCCTTCGTACCGTCCGTGACTCCGTACTGACACCACTGAGGCTGAGGCTCAGCCTTGCCATGTGGGAATTGCTTATCTCTCCTCACTTATCATTGGCCACCTCGCCTAGATAGATGGCGTTTCACCTTCACCCTGGAGATCCCTCGTCCATGCAACAAACCATATAAACCCTGCTTACGCCCCTCCTTTCTCCCTCCCAGAAAATCCCTCCACACCACCCCCAATCCAACCACAATGTCATCGCCATCACAATCAACCTTCACCCCCCTCCTCCCCTCCCAACCGCTCCCGCCAGATGGCCCCGTCCGCTTCCCCTTCCACCCCCCGAGCCTCTCCGCCATGCTCCGCGACAACATGACCCTCAGCAGCTGGCTCCTGAGCGGCGCCCTCCTCCAGGGCGTAGCCTGGAGTCTCCTCGGCCCGAAGTCCCTCATCCCGCCCACCGTCATCCTCCTGTACCGCGTGATCGACCACCTGCTAATGGCCGCGCACATCACCCGCAACCGCTACATGGACCACACCCTGCAGACCAAATTCTCAGCCCAGTACCCGACGACCCCATCCACCACCAGCACAACCACCAGCACAACCACCACCACCAGCAACAGCAACAGCCACAGCAACCGCACCAGCAACCCCCCACCCCTCGCAAAATACTTCCCGGCCACCCCAGCCGCCCAACCGCTGGTCGTCTTCCACCTGGGCGCCCGCGTCAACCACCCGCTGGGCATGTTCGCCCCAGGCTGGAAGGAGCTGGGCGCGTACAACCAACGGATGCTGACGTCGATGACCGCGGACGCCGAGAAGTACGGGCTGCTGGGGGTGTCGCACTGGACCAAGGACTCGGCTGCCGCGGGCAACGAGTCGATGTCGATGTTCTACCTGCGGGACTACGACGCGCTGCACCGGTTCGCGCACGACCCCGTGCACATGGCCGGGGTGCGGTGGTGGGCCGACGTCGTCAAGGCGCATCCGCACATCGCCATCTACCATGAGACCTACCTCGTCAATCGGGGGCAGTGGGAGAATATCTACATCAATTCGCAGCCGACGGGGTTGGCGGATGCGTGGTTTCCGGTTTCGGTGGAGGAGCAACAGGAGCAACAGGGCGAGGGGAAGGGGCAGAGGATGTGGGTGAGGGCGCCGGTGGATGCGCGCGGGGGCGCGCTGCGGTCGGCCTCGCGGCGGTTGCAGCGCGGGTGGTTGGAGGAGGTCGAGAAGGTGGAGGGGGAGTTGTATGATCGGAGTTTTGCGGCGTGAGGTCGGCTGATTCGGAGGGTTTAGGAGTGTGTTGGTAGGGTGGGGTTGGGGATTAGGTGGGTTGGCTTGCTGATCGATACTGGTACTGTTTTATGGGTTACGCAGGAGTGGGAGATTGACACAGGCAGGGTATGGCTCTTGCAGTATGATATGCATTTCTAGTACACGACTTTGTTGTGTCTTCAATGGAAAAGAACAATATTGTTTAATTGTCTCGTTGAAGTCGGAAGAGCAAATAAAAAACAAAGAAAAGAAAGAAAAAAGCATTGAAATGGTCCGACATTAGTGGAATTCGGCACTTTCTTTCAGGCTGGTTATGATAAGATGGCGCGATCAGAAAGCCAAGCCATTCCCTACCGAGTACTCTGTCTGGCAGACAGACAATGGGCTGGCAACTGGAAGTTATCATCCGGTATCTAGTGGCCGGCTTGGCGGCGTCGTCTTGCTCACCCACAATGCAACCGGTCTGCGACTCAGTCCTGTATAGTAAGCATACGGAACAACTAGACATGGCAATCTCGCACGCATTCCAGAAATCAAGGTCTGCAGGCTGCAGGACTGATGAGAAATCATCAAATCAACCCATACGGCGACACGATCAACAACCTCACCCGCACCAGATCACTAATCACAAAACCATCTTTGTAATCTGTCGCCAATAGCATTGTATAAGTAAAGTCTTCAGTTCCAGGCACCAGCCGTATCATCATCATAATAATCACAACCATCGTCATCATCAACAATCTACGGAGATCAACCATGACGGCCCCAATGCAAATGCAGCACCTCGCCGCCGCAGCCCTGCCCGCCTACACCTGTCCCCCGGGGACGAAGATGCACATCCTCAATCTGGGGACGATGAACGTCGACGAAGGATGGTACGTCCCCCTCATCCTTTGCCCCCCATACCTCGAATCCATTCTAACCAAGCAAAGGCTCCTCACCGGCGCCAACGGCAGCTCCGCCAGCAACCCCAACCCGCCCAACAAACGCCGCGACCTAATGCTGATCGCCGGATTGATCGAGCACCCCGAGATGGGCCTGATCTTGTTTGAAACCGGGAGCGCGGAGGATGTTGATCGGGTAGGCTTTCCCTTGCCAGGCCCTCTTTTTTCTACCTCAACATAAACCCAACCGGCAGACCACATCACTGATTATTCATCGGATGAAAAGCAATGGGGCCCCCAAGCCACCGACCTCTTCCCGCGCACGCACTACGAACCGCAGCACCACCTCCCCGCCGCCATCCGCGCCACCGGCCACGAGATCCGCGACGTGAAGGCCGTGATCATGGGCCACCTGCACCTGGACCACGCTGGCGGGCTGGAGCACTTCCGCAACACGGGGGTGCCCATTTACGTCCACGAGGAGGAGTTCAAGCACGCCTGCTGGGCGGCCGCGACGGGCGCGGATGGCGGCGTGTATCTGTAGTTCTTTCCCTCCCTGACCCCCAGCCACCCACCCATCCGAAGAATGCTAACACTGCAACAGAGCAGATTACCTCTCGCTGGACACGCTCAACTGGCAGACCTTCTCGGAACCCCAGCTCGACCTCTGCACGGGCATCACCCTCTACCACTGTCCCGGACATACGCCGGGGCTGTGCATCATGCAGGTGAACCTGGCTCAAGACGGCACCTTCATCTGGACGACGGACCAGTTCCACGTGCGGGAGAACTTCGAGCGGAATCAGGCGCAGGGCTGGCTGCTGCGCGATCATCGGGCGTGGGTGGCCAGCGGGAAGTTCGTGGCGCGGTTGCAGCGGTTGTTTCAGGCGAGGCTGATCTTTGGGCATGATTATGAGACGGCCGATGAATTGATGAGGGGGAAGGGGGTTTATGAGTAGGGCTGGAGTTGGTGTCCAGGTGTTTGGGGAGGGGGTTAGGGATTGTATATACTGGGTAAACATTGGGGGTTAGGGCTAGGGGAACGGACGCTATAGAGGTTGAAGCTGAAGCTAAAGCTACTAGGTAGAATATATACACCGCTTGAAAGCATCAAACCAAGGTCAAGGGCAAGAACCGCCCAACTGCTATCCATACAGATCATAAAACAAATAAATATCCTCCCGCACTCCCCCGCGTCGCCGCATGAAACGCCCTCACACACGACCAGCTCCCCATCCCCTTAACCGGGCCGACCGCGTCCAACGGATACCACCCCACCGCGTCCGCGTCCGCGTCCACCTCCACCTCCACATCTTCATCAAGCGTAGGCTTCCGCAGCCGTTTCGTCCGCAACAACATCTCCAATTTCCTGCGACGAACCCCCCGCAGTTCACGAAGGAGATCATCTGCCGTCAGCTCTTCCTCTTCCTCTGCATCCCCACCCCCGGGAACCAAAACCACCGCCCCAAACCCCGCCTCGGCCTCACACCTCCGCCTCAAATCCAACCACAACGCCTCCTCCGCCAACGATGCCAACCAGTTCGAATCAAACGGGCCCTCGCGGTGCGGCCAGCTCCGCATCAGCCCGATCGCGCGCCACCGCACACGGTAATCATCCCCCAGGATGGCCGCCAGATACAGCGGCGGGAGGACCCCCGTCTCCAGCATGAAACTCGGCCGATGGTGCGGGAACGTGGTCATCAGGGCCTCGACCAGCTCGCACGTGTGTTGCAGGTCGGCCCGGTAGTGCGCCAGCGCGGCGCGGTTGCTGCCCAGCAGGCACGAGTGCAGGCAGACGCGCAGGCTGACGAGGTGCAGGTTGATGATGGCGGCGCCGCGCTGCTCCTTGGCCGGGAGGTCCGGGTAGGCGTGCCGGTAAAAGGGGCGGAACCGCTGTGCGAAGAGGGTCGCTTCGCTCCACACGGCAAGTTGCTCGGTTTGGAGCGCGGCGTAGTTGGCCGAGATCTGCGGGGCGGTGAGCCCCATGCTTGGGGCGCTGAAGCGGTAGGAGGTGCGGAGGAGGGTGTCGAAGGCCGCGCGTACTTCTGGAAGGGATTGGAAGGGTTGTGTTGGGGAGTTGGGTCTGGTGGTAGTGGTGGAAGGCTGGGTGGGTGGGTGGAGGGGCTGCAGCATCGGGAAGATGCGGTCGTAGTGCGAGGCCAGGATGTCCAGGTGCGCGAACGCGGTGACGATGCACTGCTCGACTGAGCCCCGCGACGAGGCGCGATTCCCGAACTCGCCGTGCTGCTGCAGCTCCTGGAGGATCAGCAGGCCGCTCCGTAGATGCGCGAACCCGCTGTCGTACTGCCCGCGCAGCAGGTCCGCCAGCACGAACAGCAGGCAGCACACCAGAATCACCTCGCGGAAGCGCGGGTCCTGCGAGGCGCGGCGTCGGTTGAGTAGGGTGATGGCCCGCGCCAGCGATCAAACTACAGGGCGAAGAATGGAAAACCCTCCGCAAGCGCTTCAACCTGGGCTTCGCGCCCCAGCACCTGATGACCCTCCTCCCGCGGATCGTGGCCATGTCGCGCCGCTTCGTCGAGACTCTGGACCGCCACGCCAAGTCCGGGGAGGAGTTCCGGCTGGACGAACCCTGCATCAACCTCACCTTCGACATCATCGGTAAGCACAGTGCCCCATTCTTCTGATCGAAACGACCCTTCAACTAAAATATTTCCTTGAAACAGGCGCAATCACCCTGGATGACAAGGTGCTCACCCAGACCAGCGACCAGCTCAAATCGTTCCTGTTCGCCGGATATGACACCACCAGCATCGTCCTGCAGTGGACCTTCTACGAGCTCAGCCGCACCCCGCGCGCGCTGCAGGCCGTCCGGGCGGAGCTGGCCGCGCTGTTCGGGCCGGATCCCGCTCCGGTCGTTGTCTGGGAACGGCTGACTGCACCCGCGGGCGAACACCTCCTCAACCAGATGCCGTACACCTCCGCCGTGATCAGAGAGGTTCTCCGGCTGCATCCCCCCTCCGGCAGCGCGCGCTTTACCGCCCCAGGCACGGGGTTTACCGTCCAGCTTCCCGGGGGTGAGGCACTGTGTCTCGATGGAATGGTCGTCTATAACTGCGAGACCCTGATCCATCGCGACGAGGTGGTGTACGGCGCGACCAAGGACGTGTTCCGGCCTGAGCGGTGGTTGGAGTCGTCTGATCACGAGAAGCAGATGATCCCCGCCAGCGCGTGGCGGGCGTTCGAGCGCGGGCCCCGGAATTGCATCGGGCAGGAGCTGGCCACTCTGGAGGTGCGGGTGATTCTGGCGTGTACGGTGCGCCGGTATGAGATTACGAAGGTTGGCTTGGGGGCGGTTGTGAGGGATGAGAGGGGGCAGCCCGTCATGGGGGCGCAGGGGCAGTTTGCTGTCCGCAGGGAATTGTTTAATGTGAGTTTATTCTCTTATACCCTATTTTGGTGGGAGAGGGGCTGACCTGATTGGAATAGACTATGCAGATCACGGCAAAACCGGTAGATGGGACGAGGGTCCGAGTTGCGTTTGCTGCGGAGGACGGTGCTTGTTCGGTTTAGATGTGTGGATTATTTCTATTTTACTGAACTGTTGGAGAGAATTGCTCATGGCTGATCAGTAAAACAATGCACCGGCGGTTAAGATACCCTCTGGATCATCTGCCTGAATCGTACGGTACCGATCTAGTTAGCAATCCTGCCAGTATCGGGGCTGAGGCTCTCCAGCCCAGACCAGTGATGCAGATTTGCCGTCCATCACCCCATATTCATCCCGATGCCAAACCCCGGAACCTGACTAATTGCAAGGAAAGCTTTTCGCCTTCAGCCTCAAAACAAGAAAGGTGCTCGGCAAAAAGGTCTTTCCAGAAGCACATGACAAATCCCATTCCATCATGAATTTATAATACATCGCATGTTGTAGAATGTAACCACGCCTTCGGTGGAGAGACCTCCCAATCCAGGGTCATCAGCCATTGATCATCAAATCTTCTTATCTAAACTGGGACGGGTAAAGGTAAAGAAAGGTAAGCTTAACCGCCTTAGGGTTAGGTTAGAGTCGCCCAGCATGCCGACCGTCGGACTCAACCTGAACCGAACACCAATTTCCTAAAAAAGCAGTCCCCAATCTACCCAGAAACCAACAACTTACTCCGGAGTAGCAAGTTAGCAGAGACTAGTGGCCTGACATCAGGCCAAAACACTACTTCAGGCTGAACTTAGTCCAGTTTCAATCTCATCTCGACCGGAGCGATAGAATAATCAATCGATTGAGGGACCCGCTCCCACTAACCCTGATCAGGAAGTCGGTCTTCCGTTCCAGGTAAAGTGCAAACATCACCGTGCACTAGTCTGCTCTGCACGTAATCAAGCGAGGCCACTGGGCAGTGACAGCCAGTCTTCACAGCAAATAACCTCCGCTCGGTAACCGTCCTTATTCCCGGGTCCCGGTCTCGCCATGCACCAGCCAGATAACCGGTTAGGGCTTCCCTTCCCTTCCGACCCAATCGACCCCCTCCCCGGCGGCAAAAAAGGCCAAGTCTCTGACTCCACAGCGGGAACAGCTTCACAACCACGAGTCCACGACAAGTCCCGATTCCGTGATGATCGCGATATCTCCAATCACGGTTCACCCTGCAGGTAAGGGTCATGATGGTTGGAGTCAAAGGATTGGGGGCTACTAATCTCTTCTGGCCACGCGAGCGTGAATCTCATTTTCTGCAGGGTTGACTTCAAGGGTTGGAGCTGGACCCTCTCCCCCCCTCTTCCCCACCTGCCCTAATAGCTTATTCAGGCCCGTTGGCGGTTGGGGATGTATCCCGACCATCACTATGCACCGGTACTATATATAGAGGGGGATATCCACCCGATGGTAGACAGATCTACAGACCAAAATTTTGAGTTCTCAACGTCCTCGACACTAGAAGTCCAAAGATGTCACAAGCAGAGATGATGCCGAGTGCCTGGACCCTGGACCCCGCCGTGATGCTAGACTACCTCTCCCTCCTCAATGCATCGTCCTTATCATTATCACCGCCGTCCCCTTCCTTACAATCCCGATGTTCCAGCCCCTCACAAGCATCTACGGTCCTCGACCCGACAAGCCCAACCCACTCCTCCACCGATGATGAATACAACACTGCACTCCACAACCACCCCGCCACACCAAAGAAACAACCCACGAACCCCCGGCGCAAACGCGGCCGGCCGAGGATGCTCGACAAGACCACGGGGGAAGTCGACGACGCAGCCACGAAAGAGGTAAGTCAGCTCCCGCCCCCCAGGTCCCAGGCTCCTCAACCAGACCCTCCCCAATCCAAGAAGTCAAACAAACAAACAAGCCTAACTCCCGAGCCCCCAACCAGCGCCGCAAAATCCAAATCCGCGTGGCGCAGCGCGCCTACCGCTCCCGCCAGCAGGAGCGCACCGCCCTGCTCACGCGGCAGGTGCACGAGCTGGAGCAGAAGCTGCTCATTGCCCGGAACATCTACCTCAACACGCACGCGGCGGCGGTGATGGGGTGTGTGGTAGACCCAACCGGATCGGATCGGAGCAGCAATAGCCACAGCCACAGCCACAGCCACAGCAGCAGCAGCAGCAGCAGCAGTGGGGGGTACTCGCGGGTCCTGCAGGAGAATCTCCGGCTGTTGCTGGCGATTACGGAGGTGGGTGGTGCCGCAGACGGGAAGGATGCGACGGGGTCCGAGGGGGAGGGGGAGGAGGTTGGGTGTGGTGGAGGACGACAGTTCGAATCGCTGGACGGCATGAGGGTGCGGGCACGGGCATGGGCACGGGCACCGTATCCGCTCTACCCGGGCCATGGGAATGGGCTGTTGCCGTCGACGCCGGGGGGGTTGTTGCCGGGGAGTATGTTTGATGATCCGTTTGATGTTGATCTTTGAGGGGGCGTTTCTGGGGGAGCGGATAAGTGGAGTGGGCGTCGTGGGGGGTACAGTCTCTGCCTGCAGCGATTAGCAATGTTGTTGCTTTCTTATATATACAGGCAGTCGTGCAGATTGGTAGAATTATGGAGTTCGTCACAGGGCTTTTTTGTTGTTTATGGATTGTCTCATCCCAACAGCAAACACATACGGCCACCGGATGTGGAAAACAGGGCTTCCCGTCCGTTTAGCCGTATTTAAGTTATATATCAAACACGGCCGAATAAAATATAAGTTCTTTTTCAGTTGCTGCTTTACAGATAAGAAAGATTACAATAACGAGTAAAGACAGATAATTTAGATAAGCTTATTAAAAATATAGGTAAGCAGGGTAAGCAGAATAAGTAAATAAATAAAAATTAAGTTTATTTTCTTTTAGAAAAGGCGGGAGCAGAAAAAAGGTGTGGCACTAGCCTGGCTGGTGTGGCGGTAGCGGATGTGGTGTTCCGGTAGCGGTTTCCCAATAAATATAAGATTATTGAAAAATATTTCAAGAATATTAATACTTTAAAGAAAAAAAGGATTGCAAATAAAGAAAAGATTTATAATCTAAGAATAATATAAAGAAAGATGGATTAATCTATCTAAGCAGCTATCCAAACTGCCGGCCGGAAGACGGTGAGCTGCCCAGTCAATGGGAGGCCAGGCCCTCCACACCTATGGCTACGCAAGATTCAGACGACAGCTGCGTTGAATCCATAGAAACACCGTCCTCCATTAAGGATATCTACACCGCGGCTTGCAGAGATGATCAGTCTATCGCAGAATCCTTGTCCATCCCTTCTGATTGAATATCTGCCACGTTGCTGGTACAGGGCCCTGGGAGGGAGGTTATAGCCAAGATTGAAGAACAGTCATTGGTGAGCGCGCATACTTCAGTCGCTAGATAGCGCTCCAATATTGAACTGGTGACTGCTGTGAGCGACAAAGACCACATTGCTGGTTTTTACCTCTCGGACGGTGTTTCCGAAAAGGTTCTCTGTTCAGCGACCCAGAAAGGTGTGGACACAACACAGCCCATCGCATCTGTGATGTCTGAGAACTGGTTTGTTTACTCCTTCTTCGGCGATGTTACCGACGAGCGAGACTTCTGCCAAGATTTCCAACTTGTGATCTCGGAGCTTTACGAGTCATCTATCCCCAACGACCGCGGTCCTTTGGATTACGCTGCAGACTTCTCCAGTCTCAATGGTGCTATTGATGCCAGCCCCCCCGCTTCCTCACGTTATCCCCCAAGCCTTCATCATCCCTGAGCCTATATTCCACATGGCTGTCACCCAGACTCGCCAGGGAATTACTATCCGCCAGCTCCTTTGCACTCTGCCAGAGTCGAGCTCCATCGTTGGCATTCCTCGGCCTGTTCTAGATCCCCGCCGCCCCGTCGACCGAGCCCCAACCGCTTCCGAGGCAGTGGAAGGTCTTTTCCGTTATGCCCCACTGCTCGAGTTTGATGGCAAGTGGTTCATCACTCATGCTCGTGATGTTTCAGATATCAAGACAGTACTCTCCGAGCCCACTCTTCTTGAGAGTACCAACCTCATCTTTGCATTCGGTGGCGATATTTTCGGTACAAGAGCCACCCCTAGCCAAGCCTTTGATGCTCTTGGCAAGAGCTTTTCCAGATTGCAGCTCGTTCTTACAGTGGTATCGTTGGCAATCGGTGTGGCTTTCCTAGCCCCCATGGTGAGTCATCCATCTTTGTTCCTTTGCATCGTCGATACTAACAATATAATTCTTAACCCCAGAAGAAGCAGGTCAACTTGCTGTGGAAAGCGAATTAGAGATCCGAGGTTTGACTTTGGCTGGAGATGCATGTACCTAATATGACGCTTGTTTAAGAATTTAGTTTATAGTTTCGACAGCATTCAATCTAAGATCAAGACCCTGCTGGTTGCAGCATATCGCTCAAATGGTGCCCCCTAAGCACTGTCAAACTATACCCCCCAGGGCTATATTGTTTGTTTCACCGCATTGATGATTACGGAACTTCTTTGGAAAGCATACTGTAAAAAAATTGTTCAAAAAGGATACTCCAGGTCCACAACCGTTTAACTCCACCTTGGAATGCTCTTTGTTCTGATTTGACATCAGGAGAAGTAAGATCAAAAGAGGAGATTTCTTCACCCCCAGAATGAGTTGAGTATGCCTAGTCAGTTAGAGTAAGTCAAGTATGCGGATTTTCATACTTAATCTTACAAAGGGTATCTTAGACCTGCAAGGCAAACATGCCTCCTCTCTCCATCGGATGGGGCAAGAGACTGGGAATCACCTCTTACCAAGCTAGAATGGTTGATGGTAGGCCCATATCATCCAGGTCTAACACGAAACAGTGCTCAACGAAAAGAAAGCCCCAAGGGTGAGCCCCAAATGGGCTGGCCACAAGGTATAGTTGAAATAAGCCTGCGCTGGCGCATGCGACTGGGTTAAAAGCAAGTAGGCCAAGGAGATATTTCCCGCAACAAGCCCGAAAATAAGGGACTGGTTTCTTGTATGAATTGAAAGCATAGCAAGATTTTCGCTCCATTGAAGCAAACCAACAGCCCAAATGATAAGTAAGGCAGTGCAACTGAGGTTACGTCCGACCATAGCGTCGGTTGCCTGCTGGGGCGTAGTATATAGTGGTGGATTCAGGGGTGGGCTTAAGACGACATGGTTGATGAGAGTAACAAGACACATCACGCCGAGACTGATGATAGCATAGCTGTGGGCATTGAGTTGTTCAGGCGAAAGGGCTGTCATTCTTGAGAAAATGGTGAAAATAGAAGCATATGTGCAAGCAGATGAACTTTTTTGGTGCCCGAGCTGCAATAGTCGTGGCTTCCGACCGGCAGCCTATTGGCCTGAGTTTTGCCATTATCGACAACGTCTCGGAATAGATTGATCCTATTTATGTATTTCTTCTTTAGTGAGTGGCGTATACCCACCCATGGACCTTCGTCCCATCAGAGAAATATATTGATTTTGCACATTTAGCAGTCCGTCTTTGGTCCTCTGCATGAAGAGCCACATTTATCTAGGGCTGATGAGTGAACCATTTTACAACTCTATCTCATTTACTATTATTTTTTCAGGTACTGGAATAACTCCATTTATCGCCCTTTAAGACCCCATTGGTCCCTGCCCCACATTCGGATTAACTTGTGTAATGTACAAGTATCCGCACAGCCATCCCCATCATTATTCCTCGCCTAGCGAAGCTCAGTAAACATCCGCAATAATCGTGACTAGCTAGTGACTCGCTGGTGACTCTCTGAATGAGATTTTAAGCTCTATTTTATCCCGTGCCTATTGCACTAGTGTCCGGTAGGGCAATTTTCGAAGACACAAGCCATTACTTATTATGCTTTGTCTACCTAGTCACCCATCCTCACATCCATCCTTTTTTTCCCTCAGAAGACACGGGATCCGTGTCATAGCACGTGCTCAGAACACTTTGAATGTCATCCTGTGCCAGTTCCCAAATTTTATCATCGTCAGCGACCACCCAGGCACTTTGGAACACTGGACCACCACCATCATTGACATTAAAATATTTGAATTATCCAATTTTTAGCTGTACTGCAGTTAGATATAAAAAATCATTAATCTAATTATAACCTGGCGGTTAGGTAAAAAAAATTCTAATTGACCTGATCTGATCTGGCTGTTAGCCACTCTACTATTTATATTAATATAGTTAACCAAGCAGCCGACAGGTTTATTAAGCTGATTAAATCTCATTTATTCTTATTTCATTAAATAGCTTAGTATAATAAATCTTATATCACATCTATATCTATACTTTATTTACTTTCTGTCTTAAGAATATAAGCAGTTTTATATATAACTCAGGAGTAATCTTCTTGTCTATGAAGAATATAACAGATCTGAGGTTATATAACCTCGGATCCCACTACTTCTCGGAAAAAAGGTCACATAGCCATAAATATACTCAATACACAGATCTACGTTTCTCCTTCCATAATATGCTTTGTTAAGGTGGGTAAAACTGCCTACCACTCTTACGAAGTTGAGCAAGAGTGACGGGAGGTCTGATCAAGGGCCTGGACAATTTATCCAAAAACATTCAATTAAGGCTCCTCGTTTGCAGGGAAGGTATAGCTGCAAGGTAAGAAACAGATGTCTAAGAGTAATTCGCAACCTTTTTATATAGGTATCCGACCTTCCCGTTCAACTTTTCCAAACAAAAAAAATATCATAATCACAGGGGTATAAGCCAGTGTTCCGACTGGGATCCAGGACTGTCTAGGATACCCATTAATGGCAACTCCCTCCCCCGGCGATAGTCTACTGGCCTGGCCTCTGTGTCTTCGCATTCCTCGCATTCCTCTCCCGCCGCCACCGCGGCGACTGCGTCCGCAGCACGACGAGCATCGACCCAACAGCCAAGAGGTCCAACAAAGCCAGTCCCAGGAAACAGTAACCCCAGCCCATTCGCTGGACGAGCGGGCCCACCACCACCGCCGCGACCGCCGCGCCGGGACTGCGCAGCATGTTACCCAACGCGAACGCCCCCGCGGCCTGCTGAGCCACGCAAAACGTAAGGAAGCTGTTGGAGGCGACGAACATCCACGACATGCCGAATCCAACTACGGTATGTGGTATTAGCATAACAAACTGATGTGCAAGACGTCTCGGGCCCGGGCATCTCCACATACCTAGGAAAGTCGCAATCAGAGTTGCCGCCGGATGAATGGAGTAGCGCACGAAGAAGCCGAAACAAATCAGCCCGACTGAAGCGACTCCGAGCCCCCAGATCTGGTCATCAAGACGCATCTCGGGCGTGACGCGCTGGGCACCCAACTTCTGCTCGAGACGCGTGCGCTGCCAGTCGGAGAAGCGACCGCCGGCCATGGAGCCGATGATCATGGCGACGCCGACAACGACATAGCCCGCGCCGACGGCGCTGGTGGACCAGCCGTAGACGCCCTCCAGAGCGGAGGGCAGCTGGATGGCAATACAGAAGTAGGAGGAGTAGAGCAGCGCTGTGTTGACGCATGCGATGCCGATCGGGGGGTAGGAGAACAGTCTCCAGTAGCCGTGCAGAGTGGGCTTCGGTGGCAAGAGGCCCCGTGCGCTCTCCTCTGCTTCCGGAGATATCCAGCGCGGCGGCCAAAGGAGCCAACTTTTGTCAGCGTAGAGGCCGCCGTTGCCGACGCGGGCTCGTAGGGTTTCAGGGAGGAAGAAGAGTAGGGCCAGCCACAAGACCGCGCCGGAGATGGCTGTAGAAAGAGGTATGGTATTAGTAGTCTGCTATACAAGCACATGGTGCCGTGAGGCCATACCCAGGAACCCAAAGATCCATCTCCACGAGGTATTCCCCGCTATGGCGCCGCCGATCAAGGGTCCGAAGATTGGCCCACATTGCGGGCCGAAGAGAAAGTACGACATCGCCCGTCCGCGCTTTTTAGGCTCGGTGATCTGTTGTAGGAAAAGGAGATATATTAGTCAGTGGACCAGATTTGCTCTACCGGAAATAATTACTTACATCTGCGACTGTTCCTGCGCCCAGTGAGACCACCGCGGCTGATCCAAACGCCTGAACGATGCGCAGAACGATGAGAGCTCCATAGTTGGCCGGGATCACGGCCAGCAAGATGTTAGCCGCAATGTAGACCAGGAGTGAAGACAGGTAGAGCGGCCGTCTGCCCCCACGGTCGGCGAAGCTGGACCAGAAGAGGGGCTGGTTGGTGGATTAGTAGGTGCATCGATGTACGACAAAGGAGATTTGTGACGCACCCCGAAGGCAAACACCACCATAAATACGGTCACCGTCACATTGATCTCGGTTGCGGTCACATGAAAGGCATCTTCAAGGACCGGTAAGGCCGGGAGATAGATGTTGCCCGCAAAAGGCCCGAGGAACCCTGCAATAGTGACCAAGGTGAGAATCAGGCGTTGGCGCTGTGGCGACAGGACGGTGTACGCAGAGGTGTGCGGTCGGATCTCGGCTACTGGGCTATTCTCCTGGGCGCTTGCAGGGACAGGGTCTAGGGGAGCCGGCAATTGCGGTTGAGATGCGATCTGCACCTCTTCTTGTTGGTGTTGCTTTTCGTCCGACATGATGGTCTGGTCGAAGGTGGTCCAAGGGGAAGGTGAAAGGGGGGCTACTCTCTTGCCTAGCCCAAAAATTGCTTGAGTTGACTCAATTTCTGCCCTATGCCGGGGCCCATGGCCGGAGAATGTCTTCTAATAATTTTTCTCAAGCACCGCCCAGATGACAGTCAGCCTCTTTGATCATCACCCCCCCATGAGGTATGGATATATTGAGGGAGCGAGCGTCACAATTCCGGACTTTGGCGAGGTTAGCCCAGGCTGAGTGGGGCAGCTGCAGGATCGGAGCGCCATATGTCCCTCGTGATTTTAAACCGCGCAAATTTGCTCAACTAGTGGCTCGCAGCCAAAAACACGAATGGTAAAATCAGCTCATGATTGCGCGAGAGGCTAGATAGATGTGATGGCTGGCTACCCCGCGACACATATTGGCCACCTCATGCGGACATGTCGTAGTGGTGAAGACCATGGACTTGGCGCAACAATTGGTGGCTAATAGCAGGGATAATGTTTCTCTCAATTGCATGAGCTAGTCGGCAAAATCCCGTCTATGGCAGTATATCAACCCCAGGATTTGTCTTGACTCGAGGGTTTATTGCGACCTGATTTCTTTTTTCTCAACATCACTTGCTGCACCTTGGCTATTAACCTGCCATTATGTCTGTGCATAACCGCGGGTCGCTCGAGCACTATGTGTCCGGTCCTCATGATCATGACAGTGGCAAAAGGGTTCTGGCCACCCAAATCGCCGTGGAGGGAGATGTCGAAGCTCGCGAGCAGCAATCGGCCAGCGACGGGGTTTTCAACTCCAAACGCGCGCTGTGGGGTTTTCTCGTGCTCTGCTTCTCGGTAGGACCAGGCCTGTCAAGTCCCTCTGGCTGCGACGCTTATCATTGAATTTGAATAGACTGGGCCAGTATCGGGAATGTCGTCGACGTATGCGTCGGCGGCTATTCTCTCCGCGGCTAACGTCCTAGGGCACCAAGCAGGGACCAACAAGCCGTGTCCCCGACGCGGCACGAATATCAACTGCGTGGTTAAGTTCGGCGCCGGCGAGATTGACTATGCGAGCTATACGTAAGACTGTCTCCTGGAATTTCTCTGCACACCCGTCGCTGAGTGATATGACAGACTGTACCTCCGTGCGATCAGCCGTGCCACCGAAGGCGTGTTGGCGATCATCACCGCTGGGATTGCGGATTATTGCGGTATGTACCTGTTGCAATGAAGCACGCCACTACTGGATTACAGGCTAATGAAGAGGCTAAGACTACCGCAAAACCATGATGATGACCTCCATCTTCCTGTTTGGCATCCTGGCCCTCCCCTTCGCGGGGCTCACCGGGCAAAGCTACAGCCATCTGACGGCACTGTCGGTCCTGTACTGCGCTCTCACCACTGTGCAGGGCATTTACACCGTCATAGAAGGCTCCTACATTCCGATCTTCATGCGCTCTACGGGCTGGTTCCGGACCTCGGTGGTGGGACGCAGTGACAACAGCACCGAAGGCCGGATCTGGCAGAAGGGTGTGTCGGTCAGTGTGCTGGCGCTGGTCTCGAGCAACGTCGGGGCTCTGGCGGCGCTAATTATCGGCATCATCCTCGTCTATGGTCGAGGCTCCTATGTGGCCGTGGGCTACTTCAACTACCTTCTCGCGATCACAATTGCGGGATGCATGACAAGTAAGCATTGCTCGCTCCCTCCCCTTCCTTCCCCACGCAATCGCCAACCTCTAACCAACCCCCCATCTAGTTCTCTTTGCCATCCTCGGCCACTGGCTCCTTCCCAATGTGCAAGGCAAGAAGTTGGAGCGGCCGCGCGACGCCCTGACCCTTCCCATCCGCAACTGGGTGCGCCTCATCCGACACGCTCTACGCTACTCGGAAGCCTTCAAGCTGTGTATTGGCTGGGTTCTATGGAACACGGGATACAGCAACCACCTTTCCATCATCGGCTCACTCTTTCTCCAAGTGACCGGCATTTCGCGCAGCTCCGGGGTGTACTCAGTTTGGTCATTCATGAGCGTGATCCTGGCGTGTGTGGGGAGTCTGAGCTTTATGTTCCTGTACCCGCGGGTGCGCCTACCTGTGAAAGCCTGGGCGTACACCCTGCTGGTCATCAATATTCTGTGCGTGTTGTGGGGGTGCATCGGGATGAGCCCGCACGTCACCATTGGCTACAAGCACGGCGCCGAGTTCTGGGTCGAGCAGGTGCTCTTTATGTCGACCAGCAGCGCCCTGCGCGCCTACAACCGGGCCATCTATTCCTCGCTAATCCCGCGCAACGCTGAGGCCCAGTTCTTTGGGTTGGAAATTACCCTCGATTTGGCTACGGGGTGGATCAACCCGCTGGTGATGGGGGTGATCCAAAACCGCACGCATAATCTGCGATTTCCGATGATCCCTAATTTGTTGCTCATGCTGGTGGCGCTGGGGTTCTACTACTCCGTTGATATGCGCAAGGGAATCGATCAGGCGAGGATACCACTGGAACTTTAAGTGGAACCAGAGGTAGGAGCTTTGGATTGTGGCTCTGTAAGACTCAATGGTTCAGAAATCGGTCTAACGCGGCTAGGAGGTGTCGAGGCTGGATGCCATTTTGCTGTATGACAGAGGAATTAGATGGCATGATTGCAATTCCACGGGTGAGGATTACCGATTATGGCTAGGATAGACTCCTAATGCCGGACATACAGAGTCTTCGTCTGATGCAACTCTCCAAAATCCGCATGGGATGGTTCGGTCAAAATGAATTGTCACTACCACTATTTGGGGGCTTTCACTTCGACAGTCCGTCAAATCAGAAAAAAGAGTAGACCGAATCTAAAAAAAAAAAAAAAAAAAAAAACAAGTCACGACAGAATGAGGTGACAGCGTAGAGAGTAAGCACTAGTCCTCCGCGAAGCACTCCGTAGTCTACCAAGGTGCCCAGAACTAAGCTACAGTAAACAGCTACTACATAGTAGCGCACTCATAAGCCAAACTCGGCGATATTTGTCCAAATAAACGAATGCCAAGCCACTATCAGCAAAAGGTGTGGCTCGAAGTAAAAGCCTGTCAAGCTCTCAAGGAAAACGCCAGTCAACGGGGGTTTGTGCAGCCAGAGTCATATCATGCTCAAAGTAGTACCAATACCGTCAATTGTACCCCCTCTCCACCCCCACCCGCCACCCAATATTCACTTCGTGTTTAACGGACAGGGAAAACTGCGCTTTGATTGTCCCTCATGTCTTACCCTAATCCAGAAATGCCTCACGCTCACTCCTGATTATACCGACTGAACACGAGTCGCAAGCCGCGAGGGTGTAGAGGTCCCGCCTGAGTCGTACCCCCATATGTTAGCCAAATCAACATATCGGCTAAGAAGAAATCACCCTGGAAAGGACATCTTCGTCTAAACAACGAACATACGAAAAGGAGGAAACGATTCTTACAGGCACCATCCTGGGGACCCAGCTCTCATCCAATCTCCAGATCAGCTTATCAAGCAATCCCACAAGCAGGATGCGCATCTGGAGCATGGCGAATTTCTCGCCGAGACAGGCACGCGCCCCACCATGAAATGAAATGAAGTTAGCCCTCGCTTTGGCCCGACGGTACGTCCGCATAATTTCCTGGTCGGTCGTACCCCAGCGAGTCGGCTGGAACTCGTGGGCCGAGGAGCCCCACGCTTCCTCGTCGCGATTGGTCGCGTAGCTGTGATACCCTACATACATGCCCTCGGGGAGCTCAATTTCGTGGCCGAGCTGGGTAGTTTGGGCCACTCGTCGGTTGATCAGTTGTGAGATTGGTGGGAAGAGGCGCAGGGATTCGAGGATGATGGCCGTCAAATAGGGAAGTCGGGTCCAGTCTTGATGCGTTGCTGAGATTGTTGTCAGGCCAGAGGAGCGGATTTCGTCGCGGAGGCGCGACTGAACATCCTGTGTGCGATAGCCTATGTTAAAATAACGAATGATAGTATACATCAAGCCTCGTCTCGGGGCTTCGGACCTGAGTGTGGGAGGCGGCTTACCGGATGTTGGGCCAGCAGGTACAGGGTCGAAATCATCAGTAACTGCGGGTTTTCCTGTCCTGCCACATACAGAACCATCAGGTTATCGCGGAACTCCTTGTCCGACAAATTTTCCTCGCGCCAGGCCTGCGCCAGACGACTACCGAGGTTGCCATCGAGCTGGTGCTGGTGGTCAGCGCGGTCCCGCAGGATCGTGGACTGCAGCGCGGCGGCGAAGCTGCGCACTAGCTGGCGGGCCCGTATTCGAGAAGGGATGAGCGCACTCAACTGATCCAGCACGGGAAAACTCATGAACAGAGGCCGGAATAGGTACTGTTTGAGGGTAAGCTGCAGCTCGTAGAGGGGCGGCGCAGGCTGGTCCCCCATCATGGTTCGCGCAACATCTGGCTGGCCCAGCACGCAATGCAGAAGATTAGCACTTGAGTACCGCTGCAGGACCTCCTGCACGACAACTCCATGTGACCCTTGTGCACTCTGTAGGTGAAGCAGCCATTCGCAGAGCTGCTGGGTATGTTCCACCAGTGGTTCGACCGCAAATGCATTGGGCAATAGGCCGGGTTGCACCACTCCGCGATATCGCCGCCACTCCTCGCCATGCGCGGAGATGATGTTTGATCCTGTGTAAGACAAATCTGCTCAATACTGCGCATGATTAAGGCGGCAGACGGAAAGCAAGCCAAGGGACCAAGGACCCGAGACCAAACTCACCTAAGAACTCGGCCAAGACACTGTGTGGAATTTTTTTCTGGTTGCCACTCTTGTGGTAGATATCCTCTCGCTTGAATATCTCCGCAACGAGCGATGGTCGCTGCACGAGTACGTTCCATTGGCCGGCGAAAAAAACCTTGACGGCTCCCTTCTCGCGAAGGAGAGGGGCGATGTAGTGCAGAAAGACTTCCTCCTGGTCGACATCCTTGATCAAAGGGAGTAGGCTTACCCAGAATGGAACCGCGGGCACACCATAAGGCTGCTGCGGAGGGGCGAGAAAGCTGTAATAGAGTGTTAGCAGAAGTCCAAGGAGCCCAAGAAGGTATGGAAGCATCGCGTCGACATGCAGACACTCTCTGGCCAAGGTCGGGGTGAGATATGCGCTCGGTTGGACTGGGTGACTTCTTCCATCTCCGAATCCTGGCTCCTCTTTATAGACCTTGTTTTAGCGAGACATGGCCGAGTGGACACCTTGCCGAGGCTCCCAAGCCGGCGTCCAACAGTCTCGAATCGGTGGTCGTATATTATTCCTTTTGACAAGAGTGTCAGTAGAGACTGCATGCATGAGAGAGTATATAGTTCGCCGAGCCTTTCCGTGCAACTAGACCCTTGTGAAGCCCCTTTTCGAGCGTGCGTTTAGATCTGCTTGTACCCCCTGTCGTCTTCTCCAATACTTACAGCCCCAATTATCTTCTCTTATCGTCTGCTATCCACCTCCGTCCCAATGGACAGTCATTCTTTTTATACACGGGCATTTGCCAGTTATATTCGTACTGGCGAAGGCAACCTTATCCAATCGTTCGGCTATGATAACGTCCGCTTGCAAGAGGCGTGGTTCAAGTTACAACCCGTCTTCGCGACGCAGGAGCCAAGCTTGTGGCATGTGTTCTCTTACAGGTGGGAGGATGGAGTACACATCTCTGTCTATGAGCTGCAGCAGCCACAGGGGGTGTTCGGCGTGGTAGTACGCGACCTCTCCGCAGATCGCAAGTCGGACGAAGTCTTTGCTCGATTACTGCTCAACCACCTGAGTCGGTATGGCGACGAGCTGACGAAGCCGGTCTGCTGCAATGGGAAGCTTCTTGCGGATCGCCTGGTCGAAGTGTTTGAACAAGACCTGCTATTTCAGCCCCCCGGTTCGCAGTGGGACGCGGTTGGTAGGGTCGCCATGCGCGAGACCATATCATTTTTCACATCCCGAGAGCTTCCAGTTGTGATGTGTCTGCCTGCTTTCCCCTGCAAGTCGTCGAATCTCAACAAGGTGGGCGGCGTGGGTCCGGATCGGGGAGAGGAGCTGGCGTTGCGGCGGCTACACGAGGTACTGGGTCGTATGCAGGAGATCTACGTCCCTGGGGCATATCTCTGCATCATCAGTGACGGACATGTCTTCAGCGACTGCAGTGAGTCGTTCACCCCAAGCTGTGTCTTTTTCCAGTCACACGTACTGAACACAAATTTCTATACCCCTAGTCGGCGTCGATGACACCCAGGTGGACCAGTACGGCGCGCAACTGCAGAACCTGAACCGCGCCATCGACGACAGCAACTGCCAACGCATCAGCTTCTTATCGCTGCCCGACCTCCTCGAAGGCGGGCAGACGGGCAACGGCCTCCCCCTCCCAGCCTTGCAGCACCACATTCCCACCGATCTGACAGGTGAATCTGAACTCTGTCGACAGATGTTGCTGCACATGTGCGGCTCCAACCCGGACGGCCTCCGCAACCAGATCCTGATGCAGAAAAAAGACGTGCTGGCGCTCTACAGGGGGTTTGCACGCTTCATGCTCGAAGACTTGGAGGAGCACGCGGTGGCGCGGGGGCTCTCTCGCTCGCAGCGCAAAAGGTTGGCCGAGAAGCTGGCCTTCGAGATGGTTCTGCGCAACCAGGCGTACTCAAACCTAACGGAGCTTTTTCTGCCGCATTTTCTGCGATTGTCCATTCACGCCCACGCCAACCGCGGGCCAAAATTTGGGATCTGCCTTTTTGACCGAGCCACGACCCGCCTCATCCGCCGCGTACACAAGCTCGCCGACGGCCTCGGGAGCTTTGTCGACGAGGCCTCGCCGCACCAACTCCACATCCCCACCCCCTGGCATAACTGCGTATTGCAGTTCGCGGGACACCAGGTTGTCTGTGTGGCGAAAGCCAAGCTCGTCCGGGATGCCCTGGCTAGCGGTCAGGTGCGCGGGGATTGGGTGGCGGCCGATGTGGCGGCGGGTCGCGGGGGTTACTTTGCGCTCAGCTGGGTGGAGGAGGACCTGGTGGTTCGCGGCGCCTCGACAACGATGACGAAGTCAGCAATTGAGCCCGTAGTGATAGGCCTAGACTCTCCGATCTCCCCAGCAACTGATACTTTCGGCATCGTTCCCTCGGTGGCAGGCATGAAGACAGCGACAACGGAGCCGCGAAGCAGCATTTGGTGGGGGTGGACATATCTGCGCAGGCTGCGGCGGTTCCTTGACTTTCAGCGCAAAGCTACTGGGGTTTCCTGAGAACTCATCGATTGACATAACATAATCTGCGCTACATGGATTCCTCGGGAGGAGCTTTGGATCCTCACTGACCCTCTTCTGCATCTATGGGGAATAAAGGTCACCGCCGGGCTTATTTGATGGTGCGCGTAGATAACTAAGCACTACCTTTCCCCTGTACATAAATTATGATTGCAATGCTTTGAGTTTGAGATTTGTGCTTGATTCTGGTCGGATGGCTTGGTGTTATACTTGACACCTTCGGGTTTTTGTTTATTTTGCATACAGTCACTCACCGTGTCTGACCTATGGATGCCGCGTTACTCCCTTCCCTATTCACAGTTTCTGGCTATCTTTTGACAGCCCAATGATCTGAGAATCTTTTGTGAATTGCATTCGGTCATTACGATTGCAGGATCGTTGCATGCAAGTCGCGAAGCGAGACCAACCAGGAACTAATGAGCTACTGCACGAGATTAAGACGGAATATAGTGATGCGAAAGGCCGGTGGATATAAGACCTCGGTTTGCTGTTTAGCTCCCAAGACCATAACCACTGACATGGCTTTGTCGCTCGCTCTAATGATAGGTACAGGATGATTGTGTGGTTCACTAGCTAATTGCCTCAGATCACCACCATCAACTCTCAGACGGCCTGTCAAGCCTTTTGACTAGGTAACCTGGAAGGGGCTACATGGAGCGATCTCTCTACACCGTGGTGGGTCTTATAAATGATTGCCCCATGCTAAAACGACAGTGCAGGAAAGACGCGCTAAATATCACGCAGCCAGATGAGATCAGCCACGCCGACCGAATACTTTGAGAGATCATCTCAGCGGCTCTCGCCACATTCAAACTTCGTATCGGAATGTATTCGTCTCTGACCTGCAGTTACCATCCCCTCGCCCGGGCCGTGCAATTCCCCTCTCGCTGCCTGCAAAGCATTATAGATCACGGACCTCATTCCGAGGCATCTTACCTCACCGCTCAGACCCAGGCCTACACAGGACCATGCGCGCAAGTAGGCAGCACATCCCGATAGACATACCTTTCAACCCCCGTCAGCCCCATACCGCTGGGATCACGATTGAGGAGAAAGCGCTCGAGCTGGGCGGCCGGCAGGGCAGCCAGGTTACCCGCGCGGGTACGGCGGCGCTCCAGCAAGCGCTGGCAATGCCGGTGGACTTGACATGCGCGGAGCTGCGCCTTATTGTACTGAACAATAAATAGACAGCTCTGGAAGAAGACGAGAATGACGACCACGAGGAGCAGGCCGGAGCGCGTGCGGAAGAATCGCAGCGCGGGGGGGTTTCTGTCGGCGGCAGTTGTCGCATTGCTGTAGTCACTTGCATCAGCACTAGCACCGGCACCGACACCGGCAGGACCAGGCCCCGGCCCAGAAGGGCGCTGAGACGCGTACGTGTACGTGTACGTCCGTCGAGCACCACCAGCGGTCGTCTGCGGAGCGGCGGTTACTCCCCACTTCCACCCCACGCCTGAACGGTCGTAGGCCTCCCGCTTGTGCGGATCCGAGAGCAGTTCGTGAGCGGCGACGACCATTCGGTACCGCGAGGCCCGAATGGCCGGGGCCAGCCCGGACGGTACGGCCCTGTGTCGGTCGGGGTGGTAGAGCTTGGCCCGCTCGTAGAAGGCGCTCTTGCGATACGGTTCGCCGGGCTGTAGCCCAAGGATGCGGTACGGGGTCAGATCGTCGGCCGTGGACGGCCACAGCGGGGAGGCAGAGTTGTTGCTGGAGTCGGATCTCCCGTGCACGCTCTGCATGGAGGCCAAGGCAAAGGATCGTCTTTGGGTGCTGGACGAGGTGAAGTAGCCTCCCAGAGAGACCGTTGGGCTTAAGGCGATCTTACGCATGTCCATGGGGAAGGTTCTGCAGAAAGGAGAGTGCGAGAATAAAAGGGGTGAGATGGGGGAGAAAGCACGAGCGCACGGGGGGAGTCCTGTCCCATTAGATGACCCTCGTGCCCGGAATGGCAGTCTCTTAAAACACACCCCTGGTCAGACAGAGTGAGGGGATCCCGCCGGTCAGGCTCTCTTGGGTCATATCCACGTCAACCTCGAGAAATTCACTCGTCCACGAGGTACTGCAGTGGGCGTCGCATCCGATGTCTGACCCTTTTGCTAGTCACTCCGCGCTCTCCAGAATTGATTATCGGAGATACAGTGGACCGAAAAGCAAAAGATTACCGGCGGCAGACGCGACTGTGTGGCATTCATACCGAAATTGAAAGAAAAGGGGATTGAGGGGATTTGAGCGGGTATGCACGCGGGGAAAATCTATCTAGTGCTGCATTCAACATGTCCACATCTGTTCCATTCCTGTACATGCTTGACGTTTCAGGCTACATACACGATCTGATCACACTTCATACAGTATACAGAATGCTTTAACGGTATGTTCACTAGCTGTTCTCACGTTGTTTGTCCCATTGCATTCGTAATCAATTTTCCTGCCCCGTGTCCATGAGAGGCTGGACAGATCAGGGCGGACCCGTTGGATTGCACTTATTTTCACACCAACAGAAGACTAGGTTCCTAATAAGCTTAAATAGGCCCCTATGGCGTACTCTTTCCATTCCAACCATAAACTTCTATATCCTGTCACACGATCTGATCCGACCTCTTCATTTACTAAGATCACTGATCATACAAGCAAGATAAGTAGCTTGAGGCATTGTAATTTTCTGATGTTAAGCACTATCACGACCAAAGCCACCGCGAAAGCGAAATTGCCCCCCCGAACAAGCACCTTCAGCTTCGAGCCCAACCCTGTCCCGCGGCTTCCACTGGCACGGTCGCCATGGACATGGCAAAAGGCCGCGTTCTTCACCCCAAACCACCGGTAAGGTCATGATCAGAGCTTGTCCAAGGTATTCCGAAGTACTTATCGTGGGACTGTTCTGGCCTCTAGGTTCTTGAGCATGAGCCGTTCATGGTGCGGCGAGCGTGAGAAAAGAAAGTCTTAGAGGTCGTTCAAGGGCAGAGACAGAGGGGGAAACAAAAAGAAAGGGGAAACCTTGTATTTATCTAAGCTTCCATAGTCAACATCCCGAGACAATGTGCAAGTAGCTCGAGAAGAAAATCAAGATCAAAGACAAAGCTATACAGAGATTTGCCGGCGGAAATATGTAAAATGCTAATCATCATGGCAGGCCCCATCCTGCCATGCCGACTGAGCCGAATGAGAGAAACGACCGAGAGTGAGCTCCCCGACCATGACCCCTGCCACAATCGCGGCCAGAACCCCGAGGTTGAAGGTCATGACGGCTAACATTCTGGATATGCGTCGGACCACGGTGATTAACGACCAGACTTTCATCATAAGTATCAACAACACTTACAGCAGATAGCCAGTTAAGGACCGAATCCCTTCGAGGAGTGTGTTTAGGCCATCGATGCGCCAGCGCCACGGTCTCGACGCAGCCCATGTGGGGAAGGGGCAAGCAAGGCGAGGGAACAGCTGGTCGTTGCTCTCATGGGATTTCTCATGGCCTGGAATAAGGCCTGCACTTGGAGCCGAATTGGCGCTGCCATGGTCCCATTCTTCCGCGGTTGGAAACGACTGCAGTGGGAAGCGACTGGAACCAGAACTGAGGGGTTGTGTGGCCTCAATCTGGTAGCGAAGGGCAGCGAGGAAGCGGTTGAACCATGCAAGAAGACATAGCGCTACCAGGGCAGCCAGATAAGCGCCCACAGACTGGGTGGAGAGAGCAGACGAAAACAGCGTGATCTGCGTGCCACCGCGGAATATGGCCGACATGGCCATTCCCTCATGATGTTCGGACTCGGAGACATTCATGGTCACACTTGGAGCCATCTTGCTTCTCGCTAGAAGCTCAGTGGTTTGACTATCCAGAAGGCCAGGTTTTTGTACAAGAGCCTACATAATTCCAGTATGACCTGTCAGCTCGACATGTGCCCCCCCGTAGACCCCGGGACCAGCTCGGCCGGTCCGCTTCTCCTTTTCGCACGGGCAGAAAGAAACCTTGTTCCGATTTCCGCTCAAATGCGCTCACTCGCATGCACAATCCCACTGAATGAAGTCCCTTACACTCGGCGAGAGCAAATCTCAGACAAAAGACAGGGATATGTCTGATTGTAATCCAAGTACATAGCCTCGGTGCCTCCAACCAATCAAGTAGATATCTCTTCTACGAAATAAAGCAATATTTATGCTATGCATCCCTGTCTTCTCTCCGCAAGTAACCACTGTACCATTAGCTCGTATGCGAGCTCACAATAGATATTCAGCTGATCCAAATAAAAGTCACCTATCCTTGCCTATATTGGACGCGAACAGGCGATTTTGCCGCAGGCATAGAAGTATTTGGTAAATGCAAAATGCGTCTCGCAGAGTGGTGACGAAAAGTAATCAAAGTCGCACTGGCAGATGACACATCAAGCACTGCTTGTGTTGCCAAAATTGGGGAGATGGTGAATTGTCCGCTATTGTCAACCTTGTGATTGCTGCGATGGAGCGTACTGGATATGTGGTGAGCTTTGCTATTATCATACTATGACCGATAGCTCCATCTCCTACACAATCAGACCATAATTGTCAGCAAGGTTGGAAATGGATCCGGTTGGGTGGAGTGTTGGAAGTAGCGAGTAGTCTGGTCAAAAAAAAAAAGGGAACAGAGATTAGAAAAAAGGCCCACATTAGCTGAACTGATAATATGCTCATTTTTACTCGGGCAAATTCCTCCCATCCTGCTCGTGCGGGACACGCTAACCCAGAGCAGAAGTTGGCAGCTCAAGCCCTCCTGAGAAAATGCAGTGATCGTCAACGCAACCAACGTACAGTGCGTAAATCTATGTTTCACCGCCACAAATGCGGCTGTAGTAGCACATTTTCCAGCTTGTGTACACCATCCGCCCTAGCTGACGCGCATATTTGCGCAATTTAAATACCAGGATAGTATCTTGCCCGCGGCTATCGAGGGAAGATAAATCCCCGCCATGGCACTTTTGGCAGGTCCTAGGCATGGTGTGGAGGATTTCCCCAGGCTTAACGAACCATTTCCCTCCTGACCCTGTGCTCTGACCACCTGGACGGACATTTCCGTGAAATTCAGCTAAGAACCGAGCGATCCAGACAGCCCTCGATACCATGGCGGTGGATAAAGGGGGGATACGCTGGGCATGGTAGGAAGGCTCCATCTTTGGTCACTCGCATGCTGTTTAAGTGTGTCAGTTGATTCCAAGGCACAACATCCCCTAAGTCATCGTTAAATTCCCAGTACTGACCCATGGGTTTGGCAAATGGTCACAGTCGGATCTGCATTCGTGGCCACCGCGTACTGAAATGCCAGCACTTTGAGCGCCCAATGCGTCGTGTGCGCAAAGTGGGTCGTCCGTTAACATAGTGTCCACACGCTGGTGCTTCCAATTGCCAATGTGGGGAGCTCTGGTGTGTGATGGCACCTGTGCCCAACGGTTGGTGGCGCAGATCTTCTTCTATGCATCTTTATCGGTCTTTGTTTTTGTGTGCATGGTATTGACCTAACTCATGACCACTTGTCCCGGTAGAGAGATACTTGTGTGAATTTGTGCGCGTCGTCGCTCAATCTCAAACCCAGGCTCCTTGCGTGCTCCAATGGCAACCCTCTGCAGAGCCCAACGTGATGATGACGGTGGCGACACGACCCAGAAAGCGAATAAACGGGCCAATGCCATCCGATAGTCTGGAACCATCGCTGCCCGAGTCCAAGGGCAAGGGCGATGATGATGATTTTCTAATTGCACAGGGAAAAGCATTATGTCGGCCTACCGAGGGGGTCGAATAATTCTTTCCGGCCATAGTGTGTCCTTCACGAATTGGTTCCTACGCGATACTGCTAATCGTGTCATGGCAGTGACAAGGAATGCGAAGCGGTTTCAATTCTGTTTTCTCTTCCATGTCTCTCTCATCCTGTGTGTTTGTGTCCATCTCAATGGTGAGCATACAGTGTATCACTGGCCCATCCCCCCAGAACGAATGTCCCTAGCCACAGACCGGCGAGCACCGACAGGAAGTATCCTACATTCATGGTCATGACCGCCAGCATCAGCAGATAACCCACGCCGGCGACCACCAACTCCAACGTGGCGCGGCCGGCGGCAGGGTTGATGGCCCAGCGGGTTCTTCGATGCCCATGCTCGGGGCAGGATCTCGATATCCCGTCATTCCACAGACGTGTCTCAAATATCGGTTTTAGCGCGAGGAGAAGACGGAGAATGACGGCCAGGGCAATCAGAAAGATGCATGTTCCCGCGTACTGCCCGGTGGTGGAGGGTGTCCAGGCGTTGGAGTACAAGGGTGTGGTGGTCGAGGTGAAGAAGACCATGGTCATGGACATTGACATAGAAGAGGAAGAGTCGGTTGACATGCTCATTGTGCTGGAGCTCGTGGCTGTGCTGGTTCTCATGGCCATTGCCATGGTTGTGGTGGAGCTCATGTCCATGTCCATCATTGCGTTGGAGGAAAATGCCGCCGCGGGCGCGGAGGAATGAGGAGGGCGAAGGTGGGAAAGATTGCTGGGATTTGAAAGGCGGATAAGATGATAGAAGGGAGAAAGAAGGTGACAAAGGGCAAGCCGAGAGACAAATAAATTGGGAGAAGACTGCGCCTTGACATATTGGCCGACAACTTCGACCACCGATATCTCGAATCCTCTCATTCCCGCGCAGACTGACTCGCCAGGCTCGGACGCTAATTCTTACGCTAGTTTGACGCTAATGCATTAGGCCGCGCACTGCCCTGCCCAAAATCCCCTCAAATGTGCTCATATCCCGACTGTACTCCGTATAATTTCCCGCCAAAGAATGGCTCAGGCTAGAATGGACAATTGGCTCAGTAAACAAACGCTGTGAGGGAGTATACCCCGAGGACTAAATCCTGTCTTGACGCGTGGCATGTTCCATGCAGAATACTACAATCTACTATCAAGTCAGTGGCGCCACAGAGTCATTATTCTTCTACAAAGGATATACATGCAGTGCGATTGTTTACCACAGGCATAAGGAATGTAGGGACAGTGAAAACCACTTCGCTTCAATTCTATCCTGTCTACTACTAAACACCTCCCCTTACTCTTTCCCTCTTCGCCTCTCCTATTCTATCTTCCTCTCTGTATCTTCATCACACATCCAGCATGGTTATGATACCGTGGCTGACCTCGCCCGTCGCCCTGCACTCCAGCCGCGATGCCGGGACGTGTAGTTTGACCCCGGAGCAATGCGCCTTCAAAAGTTCTTGGTGGGTGTTTTGGTACGAGGCTGATCACCGTTACGCCCTGCCCACGGTGGCCTTGTTTCTCGTTGCTATCATTCTTGTCACCCTCGGTCAACTGCTCGGTCTTCTGGTTCCTGCGCATAGACGAAAGAGCGGATCGTGTTTCTCTCGCCTGTTCGCCTGTGTGCGTCTCCTAGCCACCCAGCAATGGCGCCTCGGAGGATGGTATACGCCCTCGTTGGGAAGCCTGCTGTTGGGTGCGGTCGGACTTATCTTTTTCTTTAGTAGGACTTCTCACTGAAATCTCAACTTGTGACCGTCTTGCTAACAAATTCTGAGCAATGACTCTTGGTCCTCGTCCTTACTACTGGCCCAACACCAGGGAGCTTGGTTTCGGTAATTCGCCACCGATCGCCACCCGAACCGGCTGGATGGCTCTCGGCTGCATGCCCTTCTTATAGTGTGTCTGTTCTGATGTGCTCCAGGTGGAAAGCGTGTGCTGATCAGACAAATAAAAGTGTCTTGGGGTCGAAGGCCAACCCAGTGAGTGCATTGACGAGGATCCCGCATGAGAAGCTGAATCGATGGCACGGGTGGATTGCCTGGGCCATGTGGGTGCTGGCTTTAATTCATACCTTTCCATTCATCATCTACCACATCTGGAAAGGAGACCTCGTGTATCAGTGGAATGATGGAGGCGTCTGGGTAACGGGTGTAGTCGCGCTGCTCGCCCAAACGTGGCTTACCGTGCTCTCGATCTCATGGCTTCGGTATGTACAGCACAAACCCTAATATTTGCCCCCTCCCTCTTCATCCACTGAACAACAAACCTTCACTCTAGCAATCGTTATTACGAGTTCTTCCGGTTCTCCCACTATGTCGCCGCGCTGGTCTTCATTATCTTTTTGTTCTTCCACTGCGACTTCCGCCTCTCCTCGTGGGACTACTTCATCGCAACGGCCGTGCTCTACACCCTCTGCTGGACCTATTCGCAGCTGAAGACCTTTTTCGAGTTTGGATGGCACCATCGGGCCTTGATCGAGGCGGTCTCGCGCCAGACACTGAAGATCACGATCCCGACCTCCCGCGTGCACTGGCGCACTGGCCAGCATCTCTTCCTGCGCTTCGCCACGCCCGATGCCGATGTTTTCACCGCCCATCCATTCACAATCACCTCGTTGCCCAACGCGCTTGACCTCGAGCGGTCAGAGCTCGTCTTCTACGCGCGTGTCCGCAAAGGGACCACCAAGCGCCTGCTGGCCCGCGCGACCTGCTCCTCCACCCCGTCGTCTGTCCCGGTCCTCCTCGAAGGCCCGTACGGGGGCGTCTCACACCGCCATCTGCGTCGCTTGTGCAGCCCCGCCTCCACCACCCTCCTCATCGGCGGCGGCGACGGTGCTGTCTTCACCCTCCCACTCATTGAACACTACCTCTGCCACGCCGTCCACGACCTCGAAGCCGATGCCCCCTGCGAGCTGCGCGTGGTCATCGCCACCCGCGACCCCGAGCTCACCCGGTGGTACCGTGCTGCCGTGCGATCCCTGGTGACGGCCAGCACCATGCTTCCCCTCGGTTGGAGCGCAGGTGAAGGCGAGGGGAAGAAGAAGGAGGAGGAGGAGAGCGCGGGCAGAATGCAGAGCTCAGGCGCCAACGGCGGACTGAAGATTGTCATCCACGAGACGCACATCACACCAGACCAGAACAGTAGTCAGAAGATGATTGTGATTGTTGCAGGGGTGGGAAAGCAACCCCGCTCGCTGTGTCCGGAGGAAGAGCCGCAGGACGGGAGGCACGCGACCTTGGATGAGGAGGGAGTCGGTGGTAAGGAGGCGCTCACGGCTGGAGTCTCGCTGCCGGTTCTGCTTCGCCAGGGTAGGCCGCCGCTAGTGGATATCGTCGGCGCGGAGGTCGAGCGTCCGCCGCTGTCAGCGCGGACCGGCCGCTGCGTTGGTGTCGTGTCCTGCGGGCCGGCCTCGATGGCCCACGATGTGAGCCAAGCGGTTGCCAGTGCTCAAGCGCGAATCCTGGCCGGGGGGCTGCCGGGACGCGAGATCTGGTTGCATCAGGAGGGATTCAGCTATTGAGCCAGAGGCTGTAGCGGGCGGAGCGGCTGCTTTGCTGTCCGCTGCTCAATAGTTGAGCGCAATGATCCCGTCAGGAACAATTCTCAGTGTCAATCACGTCACGTCTTGCGACCGTTTTTTTAGCGCTGATTCTGTCAATCTCAGCCTGCTCCCTCCTCCATGCATACGTTGTCCCTCTTGTTCCATTGGAAGAGGTGGACTTTTAGTTGCAGCGGTAGTGGTCTGGATGTGGGAAAGAGCAAGATCGCACAGTGATATCTCAATCATCAACTGCGGGGACCCACTACCATATTCAGACGCCAAGCGTCTGGTAGGTTCAAAGACATGGATCGTAACACACAGATGATGGCAAGCCAGGCCGGATGGTGATGTAGGAATGTATCCTTACTGCTTAACTCAAAGGGTCTCACGGCCCTCACGAGAAGTGAAATCGTTCGCCTGGGGCTTGACTCCAGGTGATGTGCAGCCCGGCATCCGCCTTGAGAAGGAAACGGGGCATTAATCTCAACCAAGAGGAATGTAGAACATTGGGTTTCTTGGTAAGGTCGGAAGCCTGACGACTGAGGCGTTGGACTTATTAGGAAAATCCTGGTTGGTTGAGATATGCTCGTATTATTGAATATTCTTTTTTGACTTACGGCACTAGCAGGACAAAAGTTTTCACTGCACATAAAAGACGGAAGGAACGGGTCATTTTATTTCGTATTCTAGCCCTAATTGATGGCACCAGGCCAACGCGGCATAGTCATTTGTTGAGAAAATCAAGCCGGACACGTTTAGATTTTGACTCATCTTTCCACCTCTAGCATACTATGACGCACACCACGCAAACTACACCAGCGATCGTTTTCGACATTGACTAGTATGAAGCTAAATCTGTGACACGATCTCGGCACATTGTCTCCTTTTGGGGCATTGGGTCGAATGTTAACAAATCACCTCCGCGCAACCTAACGCGACCGCGACTGGTCGATGAAGCCAGGAGGTGGAGTTAGATTACTCGCGGCGGGTGTGACAATACCGGGTAGTTTGCCTAAGGCAATTATAAGATCATTGATGGACCATAAGACTAGCTGGGTCGTTGCTGTGTATGTCGTTCCGAGCTTTCGATACTCACGGAAAAATGTAATAATGTCATATCGAGGTGCCTCAGTTGGTGTGGGATAGAGACTGAGCGGAACAGCGCATCCTTAGCAGTGAGGAGTATGCACAGGGCATGTCAGAAATCCACTATCAAGCCACACACCGTCATCAGACACGGGAGGCTAAGGACGACCAACCAATGGATAGCAGGGTAATCAAGCTCAAATCTGCTCATGCCAACACCCGGCTCGGATCTAGCCAAGCGGGGCAAAGCGCTAGACCCGTCAGGGCTCTACTTGATCACGCCGCACTCCTTCAGACAGCACTAATGGACAACTTGATAGAAGTAATGAGTAATAGTAATAAACCCCAGGTCCTCTGTCCTGCAACATTTGGCCGGAGATTCACATCATCTGCCTCGAAAAAGATTGCGGCAAGACTTCCAATATGTCCGCAGCCTGGCTCACACCACCAGTCCAGCTGACAGGGAGTCGAAAGTTCACCTGTGATGGCTTCACAACGGAACAATGCGACTATTATATGCAGCGATGGCACTTTTGGTCAGATTGCTCCCTGGATGCTCCCCGACCGACATCCATAGTCCTAAGAGTTGTCGCTAACATCTATGCAATGCAAATAGGTACATCGCCGACTATGTCTACGCTCTACCGACCATCGCGTTCTTTATGTGCTCAATTGGGATCTTCATCGTTGGGTACTTCCTTTCTTCGATACTTGGTAGCCGGAGAAAGTTTCAGGGCCCTCGATTATGGCAAAAGTTGGTTGCCTTCATTCGTTACTTGTCCTACCGTGGCTTTCATGTCTGGGCACTCGGATGGAACTCAGCTCCCTTGGGCGTCCTGCTTCTGGGTGCGGCAGGGGCCGTCTTCTTTCTCTGTAAGCCACCATCGCCGTGGGAGCGCATGTCGATGCTGATGATAGCTGAATTATCAGGCATGGTGCTCATTCCCCAGCCTTACTACTGGTCCAGTCTAGATTATGGTGGTTCGCCTCCCCTTGCTACAAGATCGGGATGGATGGCGCTGGCGTGCATGCCATTTGTCTTGTAGGTCCCCAAGTGGCTGAAGTCGCTGTTTTATGTAATAATTATGTACAGCGCAACGGCCACCAAGACCAGTTGGATCACCCTCTTTACCGGCGTCTCCCATGAGAAGCTCCAAGTATTTCACCGATGGATATCCTATGCCTTCTTCGTCCTCGCGCTCCTGCATACCTTTCCCTTCATTGTCTACCATATCCGATTCCATGACATGGTGATGCAATTTGAGATGAGTCTTGTTTTTTACTGGACCGGAATTGTGGCTCTCATCTTCCAGGCCTGGCTTACCTTTGCCTCGCACAGTGTGATTAGGTATGTGACCGCACAGCAATGGGCACAAATGCAACATTCTCACCTATATAACTGTGTTGCAGAGGACTGGGGTACGAATTCTTCAAGGCGACACACTTCTTGGCTGCTGCCGTTTTTGTTCTGATCTTCTTCTGGCACTGCGACTATACCTTGACCTCCTGGTAAGCACAAGCAACTGACGCGGCCTCCTTACCTTGGACAACACCACCAATATCTATCTAGGCACTACTTCATCGCGACAGCTGCCGTATACGTCCCCTGTTTCCTCCATCCTTGGCTGCGGACGCTTTTCGAGTATGGAATGTGCCAAAGGGCCCAGGTTCACCTGGAAAGCAACGGCTTCATCCGGATCACAATCCCCGTGTCCTTCCGGTGGCGACCCGGCCAACACTGCTTTCTCCGCTTTACCGGCTTCGGGCTACTCCATGCGCTCTCGGCGCACCCATTCACTATCTGCTCGCTGCCAGCAGACAAGCCCGGTGGCCAGTCCTACCTCGTCTTCTACATCCGCCATCAAGGCGGTTTTACGGCGCGCCTTCACGAATACGCCGTGGCGCACCCGGAGGCTTCCGTGTCGGTGCTGGTCGACGGCCCGTACGGCGGAATCGACCTGCAATCCTACGTTCGCAGCAACAATCTTCTGTTGATTGCAGGGGGGTCTGGCATCGGATGGACTTTGCCGTGCATTCAGCAATTCCTTGTGTCACGGTCAGCGTCTGGTGACGTAGAATGTGGCCAAGGAATCGACGTCGTGAGCGAGGACGACACACCAGCAACAAGGCAAAACAACCCGCCCTCTAGCAAGGGCATTTCTGCACCTCGTTCCCTGCGGATTATCCTGGCAACTAGAGATACCGAAAGCCGCATGTGGTTCGATCAAGCTATCAGTCGGCTGCTGGAAGAGTTCTCCGCGCCCGGCGTGCTGCTCGATCTTCACATCCAGTTTCATCTGACTGGTGGCGAGGCTGACCGGCAACCGACCCAGAGGCAGCAGACCCCCGCTCAATTGAAAGAGCAGGGCCCCTTGCCTGCAAATGGGGATGTTTCGGATGATCAAGCGATGCTCACCATGATAGAGAGCTCCAAGGGCCGGCCACGGCTCCCTGAGATCATCCAAGAAGCAGTTCATCCCGGCGAGTCGCTCGGGGTTTATGTTTGTGGGCCAATTTCGATGCAGAGTGATGTTCGCAATGCGGTTGCTGACGAGAACTTGAAAGTCCTGAAGGGGGCCAAGTCCGGGGGGATTTATCTGCATTGCGAGCATTTTCAATGGGCATAGTGGCAGAGATTTGTGTAGATATTTGGTTAGGAAATCTTTATTAGATCATGAATCTGGCGAAGGGGATGTGGTCGGAGCCTCTTAGTAAGAGCAAAGTCGATATCCCTATGCGCCGTTGAGCTAGTATGTCGCTATAACCGTGGGAAACCGTGGAACACATTACCCGAAGACCTTGTTAACCCTCAAATAATAAAACAAATCAGTATTTATCTAATACTTGATCTAACAACCAGCAAAACCGGTTAGATATAGCTTTGGAAGGCAGATCTAGATTATGGAAAGCAAGAATAATCAGATTAGTAACTATATTAAAGTAATTATTTGAGCATTCATAATTCATGTTACAGTGTAGACCTGAGGGGTAGTCTCAGCGCGGGAGCGTTGTATATATATTTGACACTACAATTCACATCAGCATTGGAAATGATTTTTGCCGAGGCTAAGAATTGGACAGCACCGATGCCGTTTGATATAGCCAGTTGCATATAGCCAGTTGAAGTACCTGCAGGCTCAGACCACGTTGCTCAACAAATAAAGTCTACATCTACCTTCAGAATTAAACTTGTCAGTTTTACATACTATTTTTAAATTTCACAAATCAGCTTCAAAGCTTCTGGATGACCCAGAAGCTATTTTTAAATAAGCAATATACTGATGGGGAGTCTTAATCTAGTATATCTACTACAGTGTTACGGGACGGATAGATTGTGCTTATCGAAACATGCCTTGAATAAGAAGAAATAGCTGAAGAGATATTTCGTCTGTTCGTACGAAATTTCTTAAGATGTGTGTGCTAAGCTAGCGCTAGTTTAGTGTATAGCGTGCGAGGCCTCAGGTATTAACTGGTGCCTGAAGCCGAGCTCTATATCAGGGCCCTGGTCTCATAACATCGACCATCAAAATATTCTCTCATTCACTTCAAATCTTTATTAAGATTTGGGTAGAGTAATTTTTGTGTTAATCTTATAGGGCTTCTAAGCTTTCTCTTAACTTCATCTCCTCTATTACATACTGGTATGAGGGAGTAGGGTTAATTACGTAGAAGCTAGATCTAAAATAGATAATCTTAACTTAGTTTCGTGGCTCAGCAAGTTCAGCATATTGTTTTAAACCAATATTATTAGTATACAGAAATTAAGTGGATATTAAAGTTTCAATGGATAGGATTACTGAATATCACAAGATCTCAATAATTATTCATATATTTTTAGAGATTACTTATTCTAAGTTATTTCCAGTTGCGCGACTGTAAAGCGGTCTTATCTGCTGATTTATTTGCGCGGTATCCAATTGAAAAATCAGTAGTTTGGGTGAGTGACCACCAGCGAATTCCTTCTGTTGTATGTTTTTTTGGCCTTGGGCTACATCTCTGCATTGGACCTTGAGTGGAACCTACTGCAGTTCCCCGCTATAACGAGTCCCGCTACCATATAGCGAATTCCTCGCCATAGCGAAAATACTTTACGTGGTCTTTCCGCCACCATATACAATTCGTTATCTTTGCGATATAAAGAATCGTAAGACTTGACACTCTCTACATATAGAAGTCATTGTATTGAGGAAAGATTATACCTGGATAAATAAGCACTTGTTTCAATCTAGATAGATAAGACTTTTAAACTCACGTGGTGGGGTTTTCTAAGGGTCGATACCTTAGAATACATATATTTGTACTCCAAATATGTACATTCGCTAGAATCTTTCCCCGTTACAACGAACATGCTAGGCGTGACGGACTGATTCGTTTTAGTGGGGAACTGCAGTACCTGTTTCAGGCGCAGACTACCTAGTTGGCAGTCGGCCCACCCTGAGGTGGTGGCTGCTGGTGCTGCTGGTGCTGCTGACCAGGCCATGTAGCAGCAGCAGCAGCATTTGCGTCTGGTGGATGTCCTTGTTGTGTGCCAGGTTGGGGTCCATAAGTTACGGGACCCTGCGCGGGCGCTTGGGAATATATCGGTTGAGGGAAGTAGGGGTAGGGATAGGCTGGCTGGGGAGCCCCGGTAGTATTGTATTGCGGATACGCATAAGCCGCACTCACTGGCGCAGGCTGCATCGGATGAGCATTGGGAACATTCGACTGGGGCACCACTGGTGCGGCTGTCGTCTGAGCAGTGCTTTGTGGGCGTGTATCGGTATGGACTGGCTGCGCCGCAAGAAGTATATCGATTTCTTGCACGCGCAGCTTCTGCAACCTCGCATACCTGATCGAGTCTGCCCCACGCACCTCGTTGATATACACCATGAAATGCTCATAGGCATTGGAGACCGTGACGAGGTCCTGCGTGGTCAAATGGACAGCTGCGTCCACATCGACGACTTGCTTGGACCGGTCACCCTGCGCGCGGTATTCGGCCAAGGCCAGAGCTGTCTGGCAAGCGTTGCGGATCTGACGGCCGTTCCATTTTTCTTTGTGGTTGTTGAAAAACCACCTCGCGTAGTCCACGATCTCTGGTTCATCAATGTCGATCTTTCGGCTCCGAGAGTCGAATCGTTGTTTAATCAGCTTTAGGTTCAGCCGAAAGATCGCTACTGTTGATTGCTCATTGAGCTGGGGATAGTACAAGCTGATATGGATTCGGGACGCAAATGCCTCGTCAAAGTCGCCAACGCGGTTGGTGGTTAGGAACAAAACACCTGCGTAGTACTCCCTCACACGAAGGAAGACTGTTGCTGTAAGTTAGCATTTCGGGGCTCTCTTTGCGGCTTGTTGGGTCAGGCGGAACTATACCAGATACCAGCCCGTTTCGGATAAAGTCGGTCTTGCTTCGCGCTGTCAAGAACACATCTGCTTCATCCAGCAGTAGAACGCACCCCCACCGACTCGTCAGGGTAAAATGCATCTCAAGCGCTTGCTCGACTTCTCGTGCGGTAGTTCCCAAGTCTCTTGCAACGGAAATGTTTAGAGACCGGCCCCGTGATGAGCGTCTTGATAAAATAAGGAAGAGAATCAGGACGTCACACATACCGCAGGTTATCTGGAATAAAGGTTTTCGAAACATTTCAGCGACTCCCTGTGTTCAGTTACCCAGTTAGTATGAGGTTCGTCAAAGCAGTAACTGCGATTACTATCCCTACACACCTGCCGTGCTGGTTTTTCCGACACCAGGAGCTCCATGAAGAAAGAATGATCAACCCTTTCCCTGATATGATGTCAGAAAAGTTCGTGTTCTGGAATGGCAATTCGCCGCGTCATATACCTTTACCACGAACGGTGTCGAATTGTTGGTCATCTTTGACCTGGGTTCTTGCAGCATCTTTATCCCGAAAATGTTGCGCAATCAATGACTCAACCATTTCTTTATGGCCCTGGGGAAGTACGAGCTGGTCAAGGCAGTCTCCATTTTCTCTTCTTAAGTCTGATAAGCAGTACCACTAGCTTCTGGAGGGCCGTGATTGCCATGCTCGATCCCATCCTTACTTGGGGCATTGACCGACGGAGGGCCAGATTCAACCCGAGTAGACGAGAGCTGTGGTGAGCCGAGGTGGGTTAAATCCAACTGCGCTGCCAGCGCAAACCACAATTAACCATATAATGCAATGCCCTCCTCCTCTCGGGGGGAAGGGGAAAAAGGGAAGTAACAAAGGCAACATTGGAAATAGCCAGCAGAAGAGTTTACTCACACCACTTCCGACTACGCAGAATGAAACAAAAAACACGATAAGACAGGATGAGCAAATCTTCATCCCAGAAAGCACTGTCCAAATCATAAATTCCCTCCAGCGAGCGAGGGAGCAGAACTGGTGAAGGCTCTTGCCGCCGGTCTTGGGGCACGAGCGAGGCCATATACTCCCGGTTCCAATTGGTGTCCGCATAGTTGTCTCTGTGAATATTCTCCCATTGACAACAGCTTGCATTACACTCGTCCCTTTTATCCTCTTCGGGCTCTTGGCCTATGATAGTCTCCAAGTTTGGCCTCCAACCCTTTTCTGTGTTCTCTTGAGCCACAAAGGCCTTCTGAAAGTCCACAACCACCTGTCTGTCAACCTCATCCCGGGTATCGAGGGTCCATCCGCTAGAATGCATTTCCTTAAAGCTTGTTGAACTGAGAAACAACTTTCTGCGGGCAATCATTCTCTGCCGGAAGGTTGTTTCTCCGGGATCATCGCTGCCCTCGTCCGCGAAACGAAGGGGGAACGCTTCTAAAGACGTGACCGGTTTTTCGCCATCACACGCGGGATGCGAACCTGTCGGCTCACGGGGCCCAGGCTCTTGTCATCAAAGTCTATATACACGCAGTTCAGGATCAAAGGTGTCTCTTGGTTTTCGTCTTTAGAGCTCCTTCCGTTGCGGTACACAGGCCATGGGGAAACACGCGATGGCCAGGACTCGTCATGCTTATGATGCGGTAGACCTGACCTTGGTTATGGTCGATTACTTCTTCACCTTTTTTGAACAGATACCAGAGGTCTGAGAAGACCACAGTCCGACAGTGAACAAGATAATCAAGTTTTTTCTTGATGTCACTATCCATAAAGTTGATGAGGCACTGCAAATGCTCGTAAGCGGTCCGGGATGTTGTATATCGGCTGCAGGTTTGGGACATATTCGACAAGAATGGTATCGGGCGGCAGTCTGTTGTCGTCATTAAACATGTGAAGATCTGGCCAAGCAGCGGGCTGGATATTTGGTAATTGTTCTAGAGAAATTCGGGATCACCCTCCTCTTCCACAAGCCTTTGGAGTTCATTCCACGGTATACAGTGGACTTTGAAATACAAAGATTGATCTTACGGTTAGAGGGATCGAGCTCAGACGGGTCTTTATCATAATACTTTGATTCAAATAAGTAAGGAGCTGGTAACAAATCAAAGTATCCATACTTAATACCTTTCTGACATATATCCTTTCCTAAAAACGGACGTCAAAAATCACCGAGTACTTGACTCTTTCTTAGCTTTTCGAAAGATTCCACATCAGATAGTTTAATTTAAATCTTGTTAGACATAAGGACTATGTGTGGTTTGTAAATAAGGAAGAGACGAGGATTAAACGTAAGTTGTGTGTGCTGGCTTTGTATTCAGGTAGTTCATGAAGAATGCTCATCCCTTTCCGGAACGAAGTTGTGTATTTGTACATTGCCTGAGGCATAAGCACCCGCGGCACATGTGACTTTCTTTCCTTGCAAAGTAGATGGATCCTACGAATGTCTTCTCTGGTATGATAGCTTCTCGTTTCCTGCAAGTCTAGGTCACTTTGGAAGCTTTGTTGATATTCAGTCAATGTTTTGGCAATGTTCAATTGGCAAAGATAATTAGTTACTTTACATGTGATCCTTGCTAATATCCGTCCTACAGTTAAAGGCAAAAGCAACTGTAGGTTCCTTGCGTACATAGAGTATGCTGCTCCGTTACTCTGGCTGCGGCTCCACGTGTCATACTTATATCATTTGGGCTATCTGGGGCTATCTGGCGTTCAAGGAGAAATGTGCGTCTGATTGGTAATTGAGATCCTGTAGCGATACTTTCTTCCAAGCCGGATGCCTACTGGTCGAAATAAAGCCCAAAGTAGAAGGCATACTACATTGAAAGATAGCTTGTAACCGACGGATTAGACTAGACCACACAGCACAGTACTTTCTCTGTGAATGCTCGCTCACAGCGCGATCACATCTCTGATTTCAAGCTATATGCTGGAAGGTTAGTATCCAGATAGATGACTATCAGCTATTATCTTGAGGTATACGTTCTTTCTTTCGGATTCCTATTTTTAAGCATGGACAAAGTTGTACTGAGTTCAGCCTTGGCAGTAGAGCTCGCCTGGGATGCGATCAGGTGACGGAACTTTTAAACACGAAGATTTTAGGGCTTTTGTACTGCTTGGCTATCACCAAATCCCACTTATCCATACCGGCTTGAACCTCAAGTTACCAAGCTATACCCCCCTTATGGTGTTTACAAGAGAGCAGGAACTCTCCACTACATAGCCCATAGAATACATCTGAGAACAGATACTTGCTAAACAGGATCCGAAGTTGTATAATCTCAATGAGATATCATAATTCTTTGCTTGGAAGCTTTATATTTCTTGGAAAGGGGATATCTCAGGACACAGCGTCCTGACTCTATTGCTGAATAGAACAAGGGGTCACAAAGATAAATTCCGAATCAGGTTCAAAATAGTAACTCCACAGTAGTTGAAGCTAGACTGATACTCATGAATTTAGAATATTGAGGTTGTACTTGCCCAGAAATCTAGCTTAAACACATAGAATCGAGACAAGGTTCTCATTATAGAGAGAATTGGCTAGCTACTGATCTGGCTTCATCAAAAGGACAACTGCAGCTCTACCATCGGATATACTAGTGTGTATATCCGAGCGGTTGCGCAAGGCCGTGACTCGATGCGATCTGGCTAGATTGGCTATATCATTGAGGATATTGCAACAGTGCCACAGTCTCATTCCCCTCTACCGCAATAGATCGTTCTGTCTGCCTGCTGTGTAACCTGAAGGATGACGTGGACGCATACAAAGCCCCTGTCAGACTTGGATACGTCCAGCAGCATACAGGGTTATCGATGGATAGGTAATCCCGCCGCGCAAGAGAATCCATTGGCAAGCCTCCTTCTGCTCACCCCAAGCATCCACTATTCTATCTCTCGGCCCTCCCTTCTCCACACACCAAGATACCCTCCACCATGAGCACAGCAAACAACCCACCCCTGTTAATCATCACGCACCCGCGCTCAGCGTCAAACCTCTTCATGCGCATCCTCTCACTACCCGACCACCCGAGCGTCCTCGCCGCAGAAAGCGGCGGCTACTTCTTCTACCCGGCCCTGAGCCACCTCCGCGCCGCGCGGCTGCTCGACCGGACCCCCGAGCACTGGACCGACCAGGAGACCTCAGCCATGCAGCAGGTCTTCCAATCGTGCTCCGACAACTTCCGGCATCTCATCAGCGCAGCGCAAGCCGCGGGCAAGCGGGCCGTGATCAAGGAGCATGCGCCCTTCCTGATCCGTCCGGAGGTGCGGGCGGACTTTGTGCATAGGCGGGGGCGGCAGCAGCAGCAGCAGCAGCAGCAGCTTATTGCAACTCCGTCAAAGATGAATATCGAGATCGGCGCGTACTCCCACAGCAGCGCCCCGAGCAACGGCAACGAGACCGTCCTGCCCGACGAGGTCCTGCTGCAATGCGTGCCTGCATTCCTGATCCGGCATCCGGCCCTGGCGTTTCCCTCCTACTACCGATTGAGGCGGTCCTTTGCGGACGGGGACTGTCAGAAGCTGGAGAGCATGATGAGCAATCTGGCGGCGATCTGTAGCCTGCGGTGGACGCGCTCGCTGTATGTTTGGTATATCGCTGCGTGGGAGGGGCAGGGGCAGCGGCAGCAGCGATCGCCGCCCATTCTGCTCGAGGCGGATGACCTGATCGAGCGGCCTGAGCTGGCGCGCCACTCCTGCGACCTCGTGGGGTTGGATTCTACCAGGGTGCGGTTCGAGTGGGGGGCTGTTGTGGACCCAGAGGAGTTGGCCGAGCATCCTATCCGAAGACACACCCGCGCGACGCTGATGGCCTCGTCGGGCATCATCACGCAGGGTCAGACGTTCCGGGGGCTTTCGGTGGACGGGGAGGTTGTCAAATGGCGGGCAGAATTTGGGGATTTCGTTGCGACGAGATTGCTGCACTGGGTGCAGGAGGCTATGCCGGATTATGAGTATCTCTGGGGCCGGAGGGTTGTTTTGTAGGGCGATTCGGTCGGTTCTGGTTGTGAGATGAAGGGGGGAAGATCTTGGAAGAAATAGTTGTTTCTTAGTGAATATAGCGCGATATCAAGCTTAGCTTACTCGGTGTATGGAGCCACAGGGCAAGAAATTAAGCTCGCAGCGCCCGAAACTTCATGGAGACCCATTCCTCGCATGAGCGCATCGGCTCATCCTCTTTACTCACAAAACCCAAGCCAGGAAGCCGCGCCATGGGCGTCGATGGTTCCGGCCGCAGTAGATATACAAAGCTATAGCGGTCCTGTGCCCCCAACGCCCCGCCCCCTGGTACCGAGACCACGCGGTGCAGCACGCTCTGAAACCGGCCGTTGCTGAGCGTCTTCATCGCGTCTCTCAGATTTACGAGGGGCTGCCCCCTCTTGGGCAGCACATGCAGCCACTCCGACGAGCCGGCCGGCTGGATCTGAAGGCCCGGCGCGTCCGTACACAGGAAGGTCAGCGATCCCATGTCGGTCTGCGCTGGCTGGGGGATGCTGAAGTGCGGGTTGTCTAGGGCCAAGGCCCCCGGGTACCGCAGCAGGCGGACCAGATTTAAGGCCGGGGTCGAGTGGCACGCCTGGAAGGAGCTCTTCTTGGGCACGCCGCAGGCGACGGAGAGTGATTCGAAGAGGACCTGGGCGAGGTCTAGGCAGATAGATTGAAATTCGGCCAGTTCGGGCCGGAATTGGGCTACGACTTGAGGAGCTGGAGAATCGGGATTGGAAGAGATCTACCCACTTCTGTCTTTAGTTCATGGGGGCGATGCTGTGTAGGGTGTATACTTACCGCGTAGCTCTCGAAACCGTCCCGCTGGCCTGGGATGCCTCCGACGTTGCGGCCGACGGGCTTGTATCTTGCACTTGGTCAGCGTCACTGCCCGGGAGAAACCATTACAATAGAAAAACTAATCACCCATTGAGCTTATACGGGCCCAGCTTGTCCACGTCGAATCTCATTTTCTCTTTCTCACTCATGCCGAACAGGCTGCGGCTCAGCCGATTGATCTCGTCAGTCGCCCTATCGAGTGGGACCTCGTCGGTGAGATCAAGGTAGAAGATGCCATCCTGTTCTGCCGCCCCCAGGAGCTTGGAGACTTCGTCCGCGCAGCCGCGTTTCAGCGCCTGGAGGTTGATGGTTTGGAGCTGGCCAACGGGCTCCAGAGTTTTCGGTTGGGGTGATGTCTGAATCGTGCTTGTCTTATAATGGTGAGTCAAATGTAGTGTGATTATGAAATACAGATATGCTGGTGTTAGCGGGGAGGGGAGGGGGGCAAACTCATCGCCAGGTATGTCATTCGTGTGACGTGTATAGTCCTCAGCCCAGGACTCCCCTGCACCGCGTCAGGTATTGGTGACAATTGACAATAGGGCCAGGATATGTACGCGTTAGTCCGGTTTGAGAAGTCACCCAGGTAACTTCGCTACTTAGAATAGCCAAGTAAGAGATCTGCAAAGCGGCTGGTACCCAATACTGCTGTCTTCTACTTGTCTACGAATGTAGATAGAAAGCCAGTCGTATCTATCAACGTGCAATCACGATCATATTGATCTCTAATGAAACATATGTAGGTAGCACTTAAGTCATTTATCGTTGATTGATTAGTGTATAACTCTAGAATTAGTGATAATGCTGTCGGTGTACTAGATAAAAATTCAAACGGACATCACACTGACCGTGTTCAAGCCACATACCAAAAGATTGGTATTTGGGTAAGTAACCTCCAGCGACTCCCTTCTGTGTTTTTCTTTTTCTTGTTTTTTTTTTTCCCCTTTTCTTTCCTTTCCTTTTTCCCTCTCCTTGTACGATCTATATATTTCTAGCATTCACCAAGAAATCTATTAGCGACAAGTGGCATGGATAGGAATACGGACAAATCCTACCAGATATTGTCACCGATAATAGTACTCTCAACCTACAAGAAATCGGGTATGTATCGCTCGTGCCGCAAAGAGGACTGGTCGCATATTCAATCGACTGGAGTACAATGAAGAACCACCTCTGTATTTCACACTACATCCCACACTTTAAGAACCATGCTCTCAGCAATTATAACATAATCCGCCCCTCGCCCACCAGCACCGCCGTCCCGCGAAGCAAAATCTTCGCGATCTTCCCCCCACCCGCATCCCGCTCCACAGTCACATAGATATTATTCCGGCGGCCCATCTCCACCCCCTGAATGATATGGTAGTCAAACGGCCCCGCGCCATCCTCGCCCGGCTCCTGCAACGCAAGATACGCCGCCAGCGCGCTGGAGGCACTGCCCGTGCCCGGGTCCTCCCAGCCGATGAACATGCGCGTGCGCAGCGTGCGACACCCGCTCTCATCCCGGCCCAGGTCGACATAGTACTTGCTCCCCGTGGGGCCGGAGTCCCACCCTGCGTCCAGATGCGCGGTGGCGAAACAGTCCGGCAGCAGCGCCTCCGTCACCGCGGCCAGGGAGGCCAGATCGGGGAGCTGCTGGAGCGCAAACGACAGCCCGTTGACGATGGAGATGACGGGGGCGGATTGCACGGGTTTTTGGTGTTGGTGGTAGGCGAATGGGATGGAAGCGCCCACCAGGTCATCGGCGGTGGTGATGGGGATGGGCCCCGCTTTCGTGATCAGGGTCTGGAGGCTGCGGGTCCCCGTGGCGGACGCCTGTTGCTCGAGCACGTGGCATGCGGTGCCGATGGTCGGGTGGCCCGCGAAGGGGATCTCGCATTTGGGGGTGAAGATGTCGATGTGCAGGTCGGTGGGGGAGGCGGATTCGTGCAGGAAGACGGTCTCGGAGAGGTTGAACTCAGTGGCGATCTTTTGCTTGGTCTCTTGCGTCAGGGTGTCGCGTTGCTGGGCGGGCACACGCACGATGGCGAGCGGGTTGCCTTGGAACCGGGTGCTGGTGAAAACGTCGACCAGGGCGTATGGAAGAGACATCTTGGGTTGAGTGTGTATTCTGTTGAGGATGATAGGAGCTTAGGTGTGGTTGGAAATGGTGCGGAGGTTGAGAGGAAGATCGATTTAAGATTGGCAGGCTCGGGGTTTTGTGGCCGAGCCTTTTTGACTCCCGTTGCTTTCCGCTCGGAGACGGTTCGCCGAGCCCCACTTCTATCTACTCTGTATGCGTGTATATATGATGTGAAAGGACATGGATTCTGCCACAGTATTCGGTTGAAGGCTTGCTCTGCCCACTTCAATCTTCTTCTTTATACCCTTTCTTCGACTTTATCTGAATTCTGAGTCACGATGGCAGCAAAAACCCCCATTTTCACCGACCAAGCCCCCGCACCGTTCCCGATCTTCTCGCAGGCGATCGTCCACAAAGACACAGTCTACTGCTCCGGCATGATCGGACTGGATGCAAAGTCCAACACTCTGGTGACTGGCGGGGTGGAAGAACAGACAGTAGGTGGTGTCACACCATCTTGGCCGTGAGTTATTGACTTGACCTCCCAGGAGCAATTACTGCGCAATCTGGATCTGGTCCTCCAGGCAGCCGAATCCGGGCTGCAGAACATTCTCAAGATGACCGTTTTCATCACCACCATGGATGACTTTGCTGCGATGAATCGTGTTTATGCACGACACTTCTCTGTACCCATGCCGGTAGGTCCCCGACACAGTTGGGACATTGAGGACTAGGGCTGACTGACATGACATGTTCCAGGCGAGGACTTGCGTGGCGGTGAAGGAATTGCCCCTGGGAGCGCTGGTTGAGATGGAGTGCATTGCGTACAAATAGTTGACTTCTTGATTTTCTGACAAATAATGATGTGGTTTTACCAAGGACTACGTAGACATCGTATACTCTGGGGTGACGGATGGCGAATGCCGAAGCCGAGGCGGGAAGGCGGAAAGAAAAGTCCGAGTTGTCCGAGCGGGATCGGAAATCTCTTTTCCCCTCGTCTCTCTGCTCCTCTGTAGCCATTACCAACCCCACTTTGCCCATCGACAGTGTGAGAATGACATCGCAGACTCCCAGACGAGCCTGTCGAGAGTGTAGGCGGCGAAAATTGAAGGTCCGACGCAACCAGGCGCTTCATAGGTCGATTCGTACTGACGCAGCTAGTGTGACCGTGCCAAGCCCGTGTGCTCGACGTGTGAGCGCTCTCGCAGCCTATGCGACTATCAAAGGCCCAACAGAACCCCTTTGACCCGAAGGTATTTGACGCAGCTGGAGAGCGAGCTCAACCATGCGCGGACACTCTTGCGAGACACCCGACGGGAAGATCAATTGCCTGCGCGCCTGAGTCCCGACAATGATGACCTCGGTTCACAGCCACCCGACACCAGCGCTGCAGTCGATCCGGGCTCATCTTTACTCAAAACGCGGCAGACAGAGCGCTGTCTCCTCCTGCCCCCCGAAGTTGCACCTCCAGTCGCCAGTTTTGAATGGGATGAGCGGGATAGCACTCTGCAAGACGCCTCCGAGGCACCCGTCAAGCTTTCCGGTGGCGGTTATTTTGGTCTGCTCCGCCATCCCAATTGCGCGGGTTACGTTGCTAATGGCAATTTGAAGGCATCGCCTCCACTAGAGCTTTCCTGCGCACGACCGGTCACCAAGATGAAGCTTACCCGCCAATGACCATAGCATGCTCTCCACAGACTATATCGGAGCCTTCCGTGCCTTTGCCTTTATCGTCGATCGGCCAATATGTGGATGCATACTTTGGTCATTGTCACCCGTTGCACCCGTTCCTACACGAGACTGCATTCCGCGCCCAGTTGATGGACTTGTACCCGCGACCGTCACGGCCGTTGTGGGAGATGCTCCTCTATGCGGTGGCTGCGCTGGGAGCCTTTGCAGTCTCCTCCCCGACGGATGGCACCACCGATCGGGGATTCTTCGAGGCGGCCAAGGCACGCTTCTCCAGCGACATGATGGAGACGGGCAACAAGACCCTGGTCCAGGCCCTGACCCTGATGTCCCGATACTTGCGCATGCGAAACAAGCTCAACGCCAGTTACAACTACCTGGGCCTGGCGAATCGGACCGCGATCGGGATCGGGCTGTACAAGGAGTTCCCGACGCCGGAGAGCAACCCTTTCTACCAGGAAGTCCGCCGACGCGTGTGGTGGAGCCTGTACACGTTGAACCTGGAAGATGCGATCGCATTTTCCCGCCCGCAAGACTTCCCCCAAGCCGGGGTCGAAGTCAATCTGCCTCTAAACATTCAAGACCTAGTGCGTCTCTCCGCACCCAAACTGCCCCACTGTAAATTGACCCGATCCAGGACCTAACCCCGAGCACCCCCGCCATCCACGCCGAAGCAAACCAGACCATCCTATACTCCGGTCTCAAATTTACAGCCGCCTTCTACTCTACTATCAGCAAGGTGTACAGCAGCATCACGACCATCCCATACCCGCGCGCCCGGGAGCTGCTCCATTACGACGATACCCTCATCCACGATTGGGAGGCCTCCCTCCCCGCGTTCTACCGCAGCACCGCCCCCCAGGAAGCCCGATACAGCCTCGCCCACGCCCTGCTCTTCTGGCGCCGCCTCAACTTCCAGATCCTCATGTACCGTCCCTTCATCGTGTGGCATTACACCACGCGACACAGCGTCAGTCCTCCGAAGCTCCCCGCAGACCCCGAGAGCGTCCAGGAGGCCATCCAACGCTGCCAGCACGTCGCGGACGAATCCATCCGGGCGATCGCCAATTTCTGGTTTCGGGGGAAGCATCAGCAGCGCAGCGCGTTGGAGGGGTGGTATGCCCTCCAATTCATCTTCCCCGCTGTCCTGATTCCGGTGATGTCTGTGCGGAACGAGTCGTCTGGGGCGGCGGCGGTGGTGGCGGGATGGCGCGAGCGGATCCACCAGGCTCTCGAGGTGATGGATTCCGTGGCGGAGGTTTTGGAGTCCGCGACGCTGCAGGGGCGGATCGTTCGGAGTCTCTGTAGCGGCGTGGTGGAGTTGAATACAGGGTCGGATGTGGTGGGCCTAGGGCAGGGGAATCCGCTCCCTTCCGCGGACCTGGAATACGGTGCGGCGGCGGCCTTCTCGGCGACTCAGCAGATGTTGTAAGTTCGAATCCTCTCCACTCTTTCATTGCTGCAATTGATCAAGAGCGCTGACACCGTCTCCCTGGGGCGGGGAATACAGCCCCGAGTACCTCGATCTTGGGGAGTTGACCATGTACTCTGATTTTCTTTGAGTTAGTCCTGGATTCGTCTTTCAGATGATAATTTGGAGACATGTCAGATAATCCAGATTGAACTTTGCATCTTGTCTGAGGCGTCAATCACGATCGCTCCACTTGAATATCATACGGTCTCGGAGGTTGCGGGGTTGTGGGGGTCGGCAGCAGCCGCTGACTAGGGGTGGATGCTCCCTCCGCACTCGGTGTGCTCGGACAAGAGACAGCCGAGATCATCATGTGATAACTATGCCGCACTCGCAAGGAGAGCTTTAGTCTACAAAATGGGCTTCCAGGACCCCTTAACTCCCATCGGATCGCATTGAATCTCGATTCACTGGAATCTACCAGATTCAGTCGCAAGGAAAATGGTTGAGCTGTCCGACCGACCGAGAGTCACGAGCCATTGAGGACCCTAGGTCCGGGTCCGGGTTCATCGGCACCCTCCCTCAAGGGCTCATTTTGACTGATCTGCGGTCCCAGCAAGCCTTCCCTGGCAGGTTAGGTAGTTTATTTGCATGGCTTTCACCCTGGCTGGGAAGAAAGCCGACCGTGGATTCGAGTCGCAAAAGACAAATAACGGAGGATTAGCTAAGTATCACCTCGTTGTGGACTGCGCCAATATGCGGTCTGGCGCTCTCTTCAGCTCAAATAGCCTCGTTGTTGCGTCTCAACGGCCCCAATGACAGCCAGATCGGGAGTGGAGGCTTGCTGAAAGGGTATTCAAGCCTTTTGACGCAGCAAAGAATGGTAGGACCTCAAATCAGCGGGCGGTTTTGAACTGCTCTTCCTTGGAAGATAGTGTTGGCATCTTTGCAGATAAAAAGGGGGTTAAACTCAGTTGCAGAAGTGCGTCGATTACATACAACAGAGGGCCCTAGCGTCCCCTCTCACCCATCACTCCAAATTCCAGTAACCCACAACCCCGGCGAGTTACCGCAAGAACGGCTAATAGGCTCATTTGTCCCCTCGGGCCAAGGGACAGCGAATTGCGGGGATGCAAGCGCAACTGCGACTGGGCTGATCATTGGCAAAAGCTTACCGAAGCTGGAACCCCCTGGTATACGCCCCTGATTGGGGGAATATTGTTGAGCGGGAGACCCCCAATTTTCCCCGCAACCCAATTTAGCCGACACGCCCCGTGCGTCTCTTCCGGATGTGATATAAATCCAAATGCGGGGCCCCGCAGAAGGCTTCTTTCAGCCTTGGTTCTGGCCTCACCTATCCCTTGGAGAGGTGATTTTCGCCATGGAACAAGAGAAAGTCGAGATTGAGAGGGTGGAACACCTCCCCACCGAGCAACAACATGCCTCCACCGAAAAGGGCCAGCCGCTGATGCGGTCGGAACTCGATGACCTTAGTGTCTGGGAGAGTCTGGGCCGGTACCGCTTCGTCACCATGATCGCAATGGCCGCCGCGTTCAGTGCTTCGCTCGATGGGTATCGTACGTTTGTCCTGGGGAGAACGCTCAAGGAAGGAAAACAACGAGGAGAGTCGCTAATTGACCCAGAGATCAACCTCAACGGCGGGGTGGTGTCCAACACCGGATTTATCCAGCAAATGGCTAGTCCCGGAACGTCGATCATCGCGGGCAAGTATATCTCGGCATGGGGTGGTATTCAGTCTGCTGGCCAGACAATCGGTCAAATCGTAAGTCGCAAGGATTAGTGCATGTTTTTCTTTCTTTTCTTTTTTTTTTGGCACTAATGACTTGCGATACAGCTTCTCCAGTACGTGACCGACGGATACGGACGTAAGATCGCCTTATACATCATCTTCCTTACTTTTGTGATTGTATGCACCCTGTCCCCTTCCCCGTTTGTGGGTCGCCTGCTGAAAGATACTGGTATAGAGCGTGATGATCGAATCGTTCGCGACGCACTGGGACCACTGGCTAGTGGCCAAGCTTTTCTCCGGCATGGGGGTGGGGATGCTGCAGTCGACCATGCCTCTTTATCTGTCCGAGATTGCGCCGACCCAGTTGCGAGGGTTCCTCATCAACGCATATAGCTTGTACGTGCCTGTGGTTTCATCCCTCCCTGTTAACCTCCCAACTAATCGTGCAAATAACATCAGCTGGTTTGTCATCGGGCAACTCTTCGCCTCGGTCGCCCTGAACCGCCTGCACTCTACTGATCCCTATGATTTCCGAACGCCGATCTACTCTCAGGTTCGTGTTGCGAACCAATCCCATAGGTCGACTGCGCTGACCGTGCATAGTGGGCGATGGTCGGGGTTGCGGGCATCATCTTCGTGCTCCTCCCGGAGTCACCGTGGTGGCTGGTGGGGAAGGACCGGCCGGAGAAGGCGGCCCAAGTGCTGCGCCTCTGCTGCGGCCGCGTCCAGGGCTACAACGTGGACGAGCAGATTGGCATCATGACCGCGACCATCACGGAAGAACGGCGCCTCGCAGAACGCAACCGCAGCCAAGGGGCCTGGGCCGTGTTCCAGGGGCGCAACCTCCTCCGCTTCTTGATCGCAGGCTGGCCCAAGATCGTCCAGCAATTCGTAGGGCTGTCCGTGTTCAACACCTACGCGACCTACTTCTGTACACCCCCTTCCCAATCACACACCACCCCGATGATCAATCCTGACATTTGATATAGTTCAATATGCCGGCAACGACGACCCCTTCCTCGTCACCCTAATCCTCTCCTGCGTGCAGATCATCGCGATGATCGTCACCTGCGTGCTCACCGACCGGGTGGGCCGGCGGCCCCTGACCGTCTATCCGTACGGGGTGACCGTCCTGTCCGTCCTAGCCCTAGGGATCGTCGGCTGCTTTGACTACACGCAATCGAGCCTGAGTTCTCTTCTCGTAAGTCTACCGCCGCTTCACCCCACCATACCATCCCCCTTCCCAGTTCCACCCTGACCAAACCACTCTCACAGATCTTCTTCGCCTGCCTCGCCACCTTCTCCACCACCGGCGCCTCGGCCATCGGATACGCCTACGCGGCCGAGATCCCGTCGCAGCGCCTCCGCGCCCAAACCGCCGCCTGGTCCCTGGCGCTCTCCAATCTGATCGCCATCATGTTCAGCTTCTGCACGCCCCTGATGATCAATGGGGTGTCCACGCACTGGGGGCCCAAGACGGGATTCTTGTACGTCAATGCCCCCACCAACCCTGCATCTGGTCCATAAGTAGTCAGTCTGGTGTTGCAAGCTAACGCGAGCGGATGTAGTTTCGCCGGCACCGGCGCCGTCGCCGTGGTGGTTGCGTGGTTTATTCTTCCCGAGGTTACGCGTCGGACACCGGCGGAGATTGATGAGCTGTATGTTACCCTGGATTCTGGTGCGGTCGGTTTGGTGGATGTGCTAATTCAGGGTGTGTGTGCAGGTTCGAGAAAAGGGTCAATCTGCGCAAGTTTGATACGTATTTGACGGATGTGCAGATCAATGCGAGTGCGCAGGCGAAGGGGGAGGAAGGGGTTGCGTAGGGTGGGTTTTCCCGGGGCGGGGCGGGTTGCGGGGTAGGGGATTGAGATGGGTGGTGGTGGTGGTGGGAGTACTTCGATGGGGTGATTGTTACCACTGCTGTGCTGCTTGTGCACGAAGGATATTTTCCTAGATGATCAGTGTGGTTTTGAGGAAGAACTTTACCCAAATACATCAAGAACTATACTTGCTGAGGCACGAGGTCTTGCGAGGTCACGTGGCTGGTTCTCGCAGGGGCCAAGGTACGGGGAGCGGAGACTCGGTATGATGAACTTACAATCCTCAGAACGTCCTGACTCGAGAGGAATTCTAGCTAAGCTGTTTTATGTCACCCTCTCAATGGACCTCGGCTCACTCCTGGACAGGAAGTGGTGTGAGAGAGCTGAAATGAAGACAGCAGATCGGTAAAAGTGGTTCAAAAAACGGGAGTGGTACCGCGCTAAACCGGGTACGTATACTGGCAATATAGAGTGCCCTGGTTAAAGTTCCCTGGTTATCACGAAATGGTCTGGCCGTTCCCTCATTGACTCATTCTATTGAGGCTCCAGTGGCTTTATTTTAGTGCATTCTTCTCAACCGAAAGAGCCAATGGTTGCAAAAGGGTCGGCGGCGCCATACCTTGATGCGGTGTAGTCACCGTATGACCCGACCCACTTAGATCTGGCAGCGGATCGAGAGCCCGAGATTTTTCTTTTTGGTAATGTTAGGGTTTTCCCGGCTCGTGCCGCCGGCTGTCTCCCTGAAGAAGAGACCCTTGTTGTTCCTGAATTATGCAGTATCTGTGATCGCCGGGGGCCGGAGTGTAGGGAACCAGTGCTTCAAGAGCCTAGTGTAACCCTGAGTATGTCTCTGTGATACCACCGTTGATAGCTGGGCCTTTCATCCAAGGCGACATACCCTTCCGACACCATTTCCTTAATGCAGTGTTAAGACCTTTGATATAGCCTGCCAAGAATATGTCTCCGTGAAAGCGATGAGATTCCCCGTTACGGTCCACCAAGACGACTGCAGCATAGTCGAGTTACTCTATCCAGCCTGAGGAACCCGCAGGCACAAAGACGATTTCGTATTCCCCTGAGGTCCACACGGGAAAAACTTTGCAGCGTAGATGACCTCTCCAACTCCATATTCTGGATATGGTTAGAGGTCAGGGTCGTCGAGTGGACTCTGTGATCTTGGCAGGGAAGCTGCGGCTGCTGATTGCTAGAGATAAGAAACTTCGCGCCCCACCGGTCCGGCCCGCCAGCCGTGCTGAGGTTAGAGTCTATTCGAATACGAGGGTCTCAGATTATCGAGGTTGGAGTATAGATGAATACGAGAGTTAGATTATCTCCGACGGACTCACGGTTTGTCAGGTGGTGGAATAGCTTGACAGTCGACGGGAAAGATATTTGCCTGGCAATCGATATTTTTAAAGAGAAGCCCGGGACCTCGACAACATAAATAGGCCGAGTTACCCCATCGACAGTCTCCCAGCAGCATCAATCCCAATCTCAATCTTCACCTTCATCTCCTCTGCAATCTCCCACAGTGAGCATATTCTTTCTCCCTTCCCAGCCAACCAGAGCCAATCTAACCCGTATAGAATCCTCCTTGTCCTCCATCCAACCCAATCAACGAAAAAAATGCTCTCCAAGACCCTCGCCACCGCCCTCTTCGCCGCCACCGGCGCCCTGGCCAGCTCCCAGTACGTCACCGTCAACCTGTGGACCGGCGACGACTGCACGGGAACCTTCCACCAGGAGACCATCGCCTACGACACCGGCGCCGGCAACCAGGTCTACCAGTACGGCTACACCTGGGCCAGCGGTCAGATCGCCGGCGGTGCCTCCGCCTGCGGCGTCGCCTTCTGCCAGTACGGCTCCAGCTGCTACAACAACCCCGACGTGTCCGCCGGATGGTCGCCCAACTGCTACACTGGCGGCCCCACCATGGCCTTTGATAAGATCTTGGTGAACACTTGCTAGTATGCCTGCCCTGTATCTGGCGGTCTGGTTTTGTGTTTTGGTTTAATCTGCGCGGTATGGGTTTATGTGGTTACTTCAATATCATCTTCTTTGAAAAAGTCTGTTTGCTCGTTCTGTTTATGCTGTACGATGGGTGATGTGAGGGTGAGGAGATCGTGAGGAGTCCGTGTTCGTGAACAGACGAATCCCTTCCTTCTCTTAGACAATCTGTAAAATAATCGTCCTTGAATGATCAGGGCGCAGAGCCAGTCTTCGACGAAATGGTCATGTTGCTTTGACACTTTTAGGAACCACTGCCTTGTATTAGATCTAACTCAGTCTAGCCATTTGTACGGTCTGCAGGGTCGATGCTGGTATATCATTGCCTTCCCTCCACGTTATGAGGGTCAAATGATCCCTGCCTCTACTCAATGCCGACTGAGTCTGAAACCAGGCACACCGCGGGCTGGCCTTTGCTAGATTTGAGATGATTACACGTCACAAAACATGTCGTGTGCTGGATATATCAACATAAATAATCTGATCGAATTGACGGCTACCGGTTTAGAGATGGAGGTAGTGTTTATCCCAGACAGGCCGTGGGCTGGGCGGACCGGCTTGTTGTGGAAATTGAAGGCCGAATAGTGATCACTTCGGCGAGTGGCTTCAATTGCAACTGATAAGTACTTTACCAGAGAATAAAAAGCAGGATCATACTGGTGTTCACAATAGCGGACGAGGTGGAGAGCACTGAATGCTACGGCCTAAAAGGTGGGTTAGAAACAGGACAATTCCAAGACAAGTTGGCCAAGGGTTTACTCTAGGTACCGTACAGTTCCATGCTGCTGGATACTAGGCTTTAATTCAATAAAGTATCTAGATCAGATCCGGCTAGATAAATGCTTGCGTTTACAGGCAACAGAGCTGGGGGAGAGAGCATATACCACACCAAAAGAGGAGCACCCACTTCAGTGCTACTATCCAGGGGCAAGAAGGGATGTTTAACAACAGGCAGCCAGCAAAGATAACGGGTTGCTTCTTTTCCACCCGTCTCCGTACTGCTCTGCACCAAAAGTCGAGATGACCGCCCCTTAACACATCGACAACTACAACCAATCGGGGTTTTTCGCTGGGGGGTGGTAACAGTGGATCTGTGGACTATGCCCTCATCGATACAGTATATACACAGACAGGCGATGTGTATTCTCTCATTCTCGATTGGAATTATGCAATGCTATCACCCCACTCCTACTCCACTTCACCTCCCTAATGCCCAACAAGCGCCTGGTTGGCCGCCCCATACCGATTTCCGTGCGGCTTGGCGCTGTCCACAATCCGGCGCATCTCCGCGCGCTCCGCCTCGCTCAGCTCCACCTCGCGCGACGCCCAGTTCGCCTCCAGCCGGGCCACCTTGGTCGTCCCGGGAATGGCGATCATCCCCTGGGCGGCGACCCAGGCCAGCGCGATCTGACTGACCGAGCAGCCCTTGCGCGCCGCCAGCTTTTTGATTTCCTCCACAATCGCCTTGTTCTTGTAGAAGTTCTCGCCTTGGAATTTGGGGGCTTGGTCCGAGCATCAGCACATGAGAGTAGACTGAAAGGGCGGGGGCGCCCGGGAAAACTTTCTAGGGAACTGGGGATAAAGGGGTATACGTACACGTCCGCCGGAAATCATCCGGCTTGAAGTCCTCGGGCGACTGGTAGTCGAAGTTATCGACCAGCCAGCCGTGGCCCAGCGGGCTGTACGCCACGTAGGCGACGCCCAGCTCCTTAGCTGTGTCAATCAGCCCGTCCGTCTCGTGGATAGTCTCGAAGGCGGAGTATTCCGCTTGTACGGCGTCGATCTTGGCGACTACGGATGACAAGACACCATTAATACGTTGATCCATAGTGTAAACATTCTGGAAGAACACTGAGGGGGCATACTGGAGTTCGCCTTGCGGAGCGTCGCCGCAGAGCACTCCGACAGACCGATGTATTTGGTCTTTCCGGCCTTGCGGATCTCGTCTAGGGCGGGGATGGATTCTTCGAGGGGGGTGTCTATCATTTTCGGGATTCGTTAGTATCGGGGAAACTGTGGCTGGGGGTCCAGTGGTACAACGCACTAGGGTCAATCCGGTGCAGGTAGTACAGGTCCGGGGCGAAGCCGAGTCGCTCGATCGTTCCCTCGATGTACTCCTTGATGTGGGCGGCGGAGTTGGTGACGCCTTTGTTGCCGAAGACGTCGAAGCCGCATTTGGAGGCGACTGCGATCGTTCATTGATCCGGGTTAGTGGTCTAGATTTGTGTGCTGATGGCAAGGGTGGGGACGTACTGAACACTTTGTCGCGCACGTTATGCTTGCGGATGAAGTCACCAAGGAGTTTCTCGTTGACACCGGCTTGGTAGACAACCTGTGCATTAATAGTTAGAGGATTCGAAGAAGATGCTATGAAGAAAGTGAGAGGGGTCAACGTACGGCCGTATCCCAAAAGGTGCAACCCAGCTCGATCGCCTTCAGAAGCACGGGCTCGGCCTCCTCGTAGCTTAGGTTATTGCCCAGCCCGAAGCTGAGGCCCATGGCGCCGAAACCGGGCGAGGGGACCTGGAGGTCGGCGAAGGGGAGGAATTTGACCATGATGAGTTGAAGATTTTTGGTTGTATGCTGTAGTCTGATCTAAGCTCACCGCAGCTGGGGCGGGGTAAATATAAGACTCCGAGGAAATGAATAGGCAACAGTGAATTAAGCACCGGATTGCTAATTCCAGGGTCCGATCGGCTCATCGCTCGGCTACGTTAAGGTTGCATGATGACAGAGATGCGCCGGATTCGGGCTCTCGGGTGCTCGGTGCTTCTTCCTATTCGTGATCGCTTCATGCATGTGGGTCAGCGCACAGACCAGGGGCTAAATGCTGACAGCTGACTCGGGTTTAAGCATATGTCCGTCAATTGGACCTGCAGTGATTGGTGGTGAATCTGTAGGTCAGCAGCTTGGCCCACACGTAGGTGACATCATTGGTATATCTCGAGTCTGGCCTGCAAACTACAGACGCTCGATAGTGTTGTCGAGTGAAGGAATACGACTGACTGCCTAGCTTCATGCGGCCTACCATGTCATCATCATATTGCTGCTTATTTCTCTAGTTGTCAAGTTGCTGATATTTAGTCGATTATATAGTTTTGATATACCCAGTCCTTACGAGGGAACCTGCCGTCTATCAAATGAATTTCCTTTTTCAAAAGGTGTTGTTGTGTAGGCGACCTTCCCTTTCCGTAGTGTCTGCGGTGCCTGCACGTTGTAGGGATTCCACAGTCGTATACAAAAGTCAAAAGAAGGGCACAATAGGCCATAAATTGGAAAAACACGCAAGTACAAAACTGTAGGCGGTCTAGGATCGGCAAGAACCCAAGCAAAGGTACACAAGGTTGATCTAGAACACGGTCTCTTCTAAGCAAAAAGCATCTCATATAAAAACTAGCAAGTCCAGGGCCATCTTTCTGTAGCATAAACGCACAGCACTCTTCAAAGCCAGTCATCCTCCACCGTGAGCCCAAACGCGTAGGCGACCAACAGCTGCAGCATGCCCCCCGTGATCCACTCGGCATCATCCAGAGCCGGCAGACGAACGGGCTCCCAGCGAACGTGCTTGCCCACCGCAAAGCCACGGGCCCGCTCACAACACGCACAGGCGGCGGTGCAATGGCCCCATTTCGCCCGGTGCGCGCTGCGGGGTCCGGCGCAACAGCCGCACCCGCGCCCGCAGCACCCGCCGCGGCCCTCGCAGTCCTCCCGCAGGAATTCCGTCAGATGCCAGTCCGGCCTGGCCCGGTTGGCGCACACCGCACGTTTGACTGGCCCAAAGCTGACGGGGAATTTGCGCAGGATCCGGTGCGCCTTCCGCTCGAGCTTCCAGATCTGCTCGTGGACCGTGCGCAGCTCGTTCTCGATCGCCTGCATCTGCGACATGGCCGAGAAGATGGGTTCAGACCCTACATCGCTAGTGTCGGCGAGATGCCGGAGCATCGCATCCAGGACTTGGTGTTTGTGCTGCAGAGCGGCCTCGTGCTGGATCTCGAAGTTGAGGTCGTTGTCGTTCTGGATCAGGGATATCATGCTGCGCCATAGTTGGACTCCCTGCTGCAGTTCGAATGGATCTTCAAATTTGCGGGCAGCCAGATCCCACGCGAAGAGTCGCAGGCGCGCGCCCTGCGCCTGGTGGAAGTTCCCGCGCTTCTCGTGGAAGGTCTCTTTCTTTCCGTCGATCCATGCACCTACTTTGATGAATAGGTAACACGGCATGGTTGGGGGTTTGATGTGGGGATATAGAGACGGGATGATGGGTCTGTGTGGGGTCTCAGATGAGCAAGGTGGTGTCTTGTTTGATGGATGATACGGGAGAAATTCGTCCTGGGGAAGTGACTGGCCTCCTTGCCGGACTGTATGTACATCATCATGGCGACTCTTACCGCAGATTCACGGAGCGTGGCAATCATCATGACAACATTCGGAGCGAAATTTGCAACCCGTCCCATGACCATGACTCCATTACCTGGTCCCTCGAGCACAACTTCCGCCATCACTCGCACACAGCCCTTCACACGTCCAACTCAACACATCTTTCCACCTTCATCCCGATCATAATATACCCCACCTTCCCTACCCTTTGCACGATGTCAAGAATACCAGATTTATTGGGGACGGGGGATCTGCTCCCAGTCCCGGAATATTCATTCACAGAGGACCAATCTAGAGAGCTGAAGCACTTGCTCCAGTGCCATGAGTCAGCCATCACCACGATCGATTTCTGCATGGATGAGCTATGCGGAGCATTGGAGCGCGCCAAGGTGCAACTGAACCTGATAGAAGAGCAGAGAGAGGATTTGGACAACCTCGAGGATAGCATCGAACACCTGAGATTCCGACCCGAGAATAAGACGTCTACCTTCTGGGCTGGGACCCTCCAAGACAAGTTCTTCCCCAGGATGTTCGGTGTCTCACCGAGCGACGAGCGCTACGACTGGGACGCCCCTTCGGCTAGTGTTCCGATCCCTGGTGAGTTGGTTACCCACACCGGTTGTGTTTGGTGCATCGAGAGCGTGCACGGGTAACTGATAGTCAGATAGCTGGGTTCCTCACTTTGATGACGCAGACCTCTCTCGTCGAGCCCAAGCGAAGTGACAAGATCCCCAGCAGCGCGCTCGAGTGGACGCTCCACCGCATCGCCTATGAGGTCAACCTCGTCCACGGCATCAACGCCTGCCTGACGTACGTGCAGTCCAGAACCGCCCTGACCTACGACTTGAGATGGCCTCGTGCCAGACTCTCAGGCGTGCCGGACTTCACGGTGATATCCCGCCTCCGTAAACGTCGCCCTCGGGTGCGCTTCGTGATCCTGGAGAGGGACAGACCGATGAGTTCGGCGCCGGACACGGAGCTTTTAGCTTACTTGTGTATGTGCTTCCTAGTCCTTCTATACCAGACTTCCTTCGAGCCTGGGGCATTATACTTATCGCTGCATATCATATCATTAGTCATGGTCCACAGAACCAGGCAAGACGCGTGCGAGACGAACCCCGTCGTCTACGGCCTGGCCACCGACGGGGATACAATGGCCTTTTATCGATTCGAATATCTGGGGAAGGCAAGCATTTGCGCTGGGGGGTTTTGGGCATGGAGAGAGACTTTGCTAATAGTTCTTCTCTAGTACCATTTCACTATCAAACCCTACAAGGGTACAGGGTTCGGCCATGATATCGTCACGATTCTCTGGAAGATCTTCATAGAAGCCCGACACGTGGAGCGACACCCATGGGGCTTGGGGTCGGATGGAGACTCTAGTGGAACGGAAGGCGGTTCCGACGAGCATGTTCGGATGAAGGAGTAGAAGTGGGGTGGAACGTGGGTGAATTATGTTTTGCTTTAAGAACCTTCCGACTTGCTTTGCAATAGCTTGATGTTGAACTAGAGGATATGCTCGAAGAAGGTCAAGTTCTAGTGAAGTTGAGATGATTGAATTTGTAACAGCGCAATTCATTTTTCATCAATGATGTTTACCGAATGTCTATTGTTGTGTCAACTGAACCCAGTGATGATGAGACGAAGATACGAAATGCATTCTTATCTCCGGAATATCGTGTGTGCCATATACTGTATTAGAGCATTGTGAGGATTGTTGACTTGAATGCGTGGTTCTTATCTCCGACGAAGCTGCCCAATCTCCGACGGAGCTGCCCAATCTCCGACCCTTAAAACCGATCCCCAACTCAGTCAATCCAACAACCAGGAAGAGACCTTTAACCCATTCCCTCAACATAGCTAATGCACATCTCACAAGCGAACCAGCCAAGCATCTCTATCCTCATACACGATGCCCGCGAACCGAAGCGTCAAAAAGGCCCTCTCGCTGATCGAGGCCGACGCCACCAAAGTGCTTGGCCTGAATGTCGGCCAACACAGGGATGTCCAACCGGGCCAGTACATCCCCCGAGCGGGTCAGGAATCCACGCAATGCGGGGCAATCTGGAACCAAGACTGACAAGCCTGATGCTGTGTGACAGAGGCACAGTCTCCGCCGGAACTCTCCTTCGGCAACCTCTCGCCAAGCACGACCTACATGGTCATCGGCCTCGACATCGACGCCCCCTTCCCTTCCTTCGGCGTCCTCGGCCCCATCCTGCACTGGATCCAGCCGGGTTTGCAGCCCACTGCATCAGAAACTGATTCGAGTGTCCACGTATTGAAAGTTACGGCCCCGTTCGTGGCGAACTACATCGGTCCCGCCCCGCCCCCCGGCAGCTCGCCGCACCGGTATATCTTCTTCCTGTACGAGCAGCCGGCGGATTTTGTGGGGGAGAGGTATGCTCCACCGGGTGGGCAGAAGCTGGGCAATATGCATCGCATGCGCTATGATCTTGATGCCGCGGAGGTGGAGTTTAAGCTGGGGAAGTTGGTGGCGGTGAATTATTTTACTAGCAATTAGGGCTTTGGTGGGTAGGTGGATTGGTGATGCGGAGTACAGCTGTTCACCCAGCACGATTGTTGGCATATGACGGTCTTTGCTATAGTATAGATCGGGTTTGTGTCTTATGGGTAACACTACAGCCAGGTTGGTAATCTCTATTAGGCAGCTATTGGACTCTAGCAATAGAGTTCGGACTTTCTCCATGTGCTTCGATCATCTTGTACCAAAAGTTGCTATCAAGATCTGCTGAAAGTGAGTAGGCTGGGCGCCTCATGACCAATTAACTTATGACCAACAAGGCGTGACTCAAGCAGACAAGGAAGAATGCTAGCTGTACTCCGTACTGCTCAGCAATATCCGATCCTCTTAAATTTACTTTGTGTAATTTGGGGGGGATGCGGTGCCAAGCCATTAGACGTTGTCCCAATGCAATAATCGCCAGTGATTAATCTGCTTGCCTGACAATCACCCCTCTGTTCGGCACTGTGAGCGAACAGATCTAAGATCAGATTCAATGATCATCTTCATGAGCGGTCCATCCCTTGCATTTCCTGTAGGAACTTGCAATCATAACTCCGTTCATGAATTCCACATTCCGCCCTGGGCTTGACTCCGACAACTACAAGCTACCATACAATTGAGGACTTGCCAGGGTAATCGTGTACAGTGTCAAGCGACAACACTGAAAACGCCGTAGGGTTCGTTATCTGGGATCGTTAATCTATGGCTTGCCACTCGACTCCAATATCCCAGATAGATATTTAGTATAGTTTGCTAGACGAGCGTCTGCTGAAAAGGCGTGTTCGGAACGATGATACCATCCACGCTGCTAGTTTCGCAAATTCGGTCCTGTAGCTCTTATACTTGCATCTGGAGAAGATTGGTATCCTCGTTCTTGGCGCGTACAGCTAGCTGACTGCTTTTGGTTCTATGGATATCCACAGTACCGAACCTTCCGGCGGCAGATGTCGCATGGTGAATGCTGGCTGTCATCATTTGTCTTGTGCGCGGTAACCGTGTCGGTCCCTTTGGGCTACAGTAAGATGATGATCCGACCTATCTTTGGAGCCAGTGTCCTACCCTTTTTTTTGGCGACAAGCTTTGCATGCGGAGCAGGCCCCGTCACTGAGTACAGAACATTGGCTTATATGATAATCTGGGGCTTTGATGCACTGCGTTCACGTCTAGACTCGCATACCTTTCTTCTCTGCGATGCATGTTTATTTTGAGACTATGGCAATAGGTACGCAACTCGTCTATATGAGACGACTTACACTCCATCTAGTCGTTGATCTGAATGCTTAATACGTCTCATGACTGTCAACATTAAGTCAAGTCTGTCGTCGGTCTGTTAATCGTCATCAGTAAACACGCCCTCTGAAGACGAATCCGAATCATTCCTAGGCTTCTCTTCGTCATGCACAGGCCCCACCTGCAGCTCCGGCTTAACCCATTCTGAATTCGCCGCCTGTATCTCAGAGAATAGCAATGCAAAGTACTCCTCAACGCTGCGCGCCCGGTCGCGAGGGATCGATCTCGTCAGCCGAAGGTCCAGACGACGTATGGTCACCATCCACAGCATCATCTTGATTCGTTCCAAAAACTCCCTGGAGAACGCCACCCTCCCACCATAGCCCGGAGAAATAATCACAATGATCTCGGCAAGCAATTCGAGGTCCTCAGCACGATCCATCGGTAGGAGGCGGATCATCGCCTTTTCGATCGTGAGAATACTCGGATAGGCAGCAAGAACGCCCCCGCCGCCATTGACGCCCCGAAAGGCCCGCCGGTAGTGGCGCGACGCCAGGGCGTTCGCCTCCCAGTTGACCAGCATCAGCGGCGGCATGAACGCGGTGGCCGCATAGATCCTCGGACGGCCCGGGGCCACCGTCTTACACCATCCCCGCGGCCGTTGAGGCGGCGTATAACCCGTGCAGGTGATAGAGACTCCGGTGGGGTTGTCGGCCATGGCCATGGCCCAGATCTGACATCGCAACTCGGCCGGCAGGCGTGGAAACGGATGAAAGGTCGCCCGTCCTGCTTCGACTGCGCGGGCGGCGACGTCGTCGTCCATCTCCCTTCTCTTCGCTTCGTACTCCTCGACGCTCTTGCAGCTCCCCCACAGCGCCATGTCGGCTGCGCGGGCTTTTTCGGCCCCCGTTCGCGGCGCAATGTCCGGATTCCCTATGGAGAGACAGGGCGCTGGGCGAGTGGGGCGCAGCGTTCCATCTTCTCTACTGCGGGAATAGTATCGCTGTGGGTGGACGGTGTGGACTTTCCATTGCTCGTCGGTATAGGTGTAGGGGCTTGGTTGGGCGGCGGGGGCTTTTGGATCTGATTGCGGTGCTGTTGACATCGAGATGTTCTGGTTACGTGCGGTAAGAGGGTGGAGTTTGGGGGGGGTGGGGGGGGCGTGAAGGTGTATTTATGTGCTGCTTGGTAATAGAATTAGGGCTTACGGGAGGTATTGGTTTAGGTGTCAGTGAGTCAGTCTCGCATGCACGGGGCGTCATCAGGAAGGTTAGAGGGCCAATCGAGGTGCTCGGCGTAAGACATACTTAGTACAAATCGAGTTTAACATGAAACTAGCCGGGCACTAACATGTGCTAAGTTAATGCTGATGCATAGGGAGGGCACTTACTTTCATATGCAGCTCGAACACCCCCGAAAAAAAGAGTGGGATTATGGTGGTATTGTGATTATTCATGGGTAATTCGTAAAGACAAAATAGACCTACATCCTTCCCCGACAAAGTCTCATTTTGGTGTGGACCCAGCCAGGACTTATCTCGTGAAGACGAACGCTATGACTATATTATATAAGCAACATAAATGGGGCATGATTCTATACCGACCTGCGGATAATGAAAGTAGCGCAGCCAATCTTCGAGGCTACCGGTCGGTCCTTTGGAAGTGCTGAAGCCCTGAATCCCTCAAACAACCAGCCAGTTGTGTCTCCCTAGCAAATCAGGAATATGACGATGCATCCTTGTTGGTTTCAGCCACTGCAGACAAGACTCGGTATAATTATGCACATTGCTTTTCCCAGCTAATTTGTTTTCAACAATCCCCTGCCACCTTTAGAATATGTACAGAGATAGGACGAAAATCGCCTAAACCACAGATTCCAGCTCGCCGCAGCTACGAGATAATGCCGAACACGGTGTTCGATGTTTAGGGATACCATACTGCTTCGATATCTCATCTCGTAGTGTTCTATGATATCACAATAAGACATACCCGCCACATATGCCAATTCCGTGCTCCCTCCCTTGGACCACAACCCCCGGGCTCGAAAGCCAGGAGACCCAACCTGATGACAAGGATAACAGTGCAGACCGTAAGGCTTGAACAACAGAAAGTTAGAAGATCTATGCTAAAGCAAACCTAACAAGTATCCACCATGATCTTGTCAAGATCCATCGAATCACCACCCGTGAAGCAATCGGGGGACCATCCCACGTAAACAATCGGATGACCAAAGCAACTCTCGCCGAACTGACAGAAGTTGACACCGCAGACAGAGACCCCACTAGTAACTGTCCCGCTCTGCCAAATATAGCTCTGTTGGAAGACCTGGGGGCCGCCGCCGGTGTTGAAGACCAGGGTCTCCTCGTGCGGGGTGCCGGTGCAGTTTGAGTGGGACCACATCTTCACGGTGACGTAGTGGGATGCGGCGTGGGCGCCGGTGGTTACCAGAAGACTGGTGGCGATGATGGTTTTGATGAGCATGGTGTGTGTCTTAGCGATGGGTGTCGTGTTGTCTTGGTGGACGGAGAGAGGGATCTGTGAGATGGTCAGAAAGGATAGTGCAATTCCGATAGAAGAGGCAATGAAAGCCAGTCAGACTGACTGAGACGAGGCTAACACTTACTGCAATTAATGCTTGGGGAATGTTTTGCTTCTTGGATGTTTTCTTCTTCCATGCGCCAGTCCATGGACAGACGAGGTTACATATATATTTTCATCGGTCTCCTTTGAATGTAAGCCCCAGGGATATCCCTCTACTAGATCTCTTCCACATGACCAGCTCCAATCCACCGCCCCTGATTGTCTGTACCGTCAGCATTGGCAGTATACCAAGAACCTCGTATCTAACCCGGTAGGAGACTTGGCATAGTAGACGAGTTGAATGGGGGCCAGACCACCACTCGCCCGAAATGGCAATCGCCAGGGTCTTAGGTACCTACGCATACTCCTTACTCTGAAGGCTGATCCCTACCTTCTAGTCATGACACACTGACTGATATATAAATCATGTAATAGCATCTTGATCGCGGCCTGGGGCCTTGCAGCCTGGAGGCGACCCCGCTCACCGCCCGCCCGCCGGTGGCTGTCACTTCCGCTGCGATCGCCTCGCTTGATCGTTCTTCATCCTTTCACGCATCCTTTGACACACTAGATGTCCATCGACTGCATCTACTGGCCCCCATTGTCATCACAGGAGATACGAGAATATCAAACCATACCAGCAAGGATCTTTGGACAAGAGCTGAGGCACACGAACGGATAAATTTCGAATCCACGGGCTGCGACTATCCTCCCAGCCTCCACTGAGTCAACTAGCCGCAGGGGTTGAGCATGGATTTGCCTCAGGCTTTGCTCTGCTTTGGTTTGATCTCTCTAACTACCCTCTACTCCCGCGGCCGAGTTCACATTTCATGCTTGCATGGCGAATGATTCGGATTGTTGAAATATGTATTAACACAAACGTAACGCTAGCCATCCAGCAGTACCGGTACACGAGCACTAAAGCAGACCTCAAACAGAAGAGCTAATCTGACGAAAGTGCTCTGACAACCTCCTCAACATCCTTTCCAAGCACCTCCAGAATTCCCTCGGCTTCGCGAGACGACATCATATCCAAAGTATAGTCGATCTTCCACAGCAGCGCATCTTCCTGCTCGCTATACGCCACCTCCAGCATTAGATTGCGACGACACGGCAAGTCGTTCCAGTCCAAGGTGTCAACAGACGTTTTCTCCTCGGTTAACAGCGCAGTCATGGGTCCTTCAGAAGGGCCGATGCGACACGGGGTCAGAATACTATCCCTGGCATCGCCACCGGCATCGCGCCTCAACTTGCCCCAGAGGATATTGACAAGCAAGTTGAATTGGAGATCGTTACCGGACGATTTCATCATCTGGAGCAGGTCTCGGAGGTCTGTCTGGTCGTGCAGAGCACGTTCATTCAGGCTTTGCTGGATGTCGCTGATGCTGGCCGATACGGGCCCGGAGAGGGCGTTCTGAACGACAAAAGGTAACATGTTGACCGTCGGACCCGCCAGTCGATGGATATCGGGAAATTCGTTGGACCGTCCCGCTGAGAAGAGTCCGAACGTTGGGTGGTCGACTGTTGTGATGCGCGCTAGGCCGCGGCCAACGGCTAGCAAAATGACGGAAGGCATCGAGATGCCTTTCTGGTGACAGAGGCTCTCTACCTTGCTCAGCTTTTGCAGGCACGAAAGCTCGGAAGACTTGATATCTCGGAAGTCCTGCTGGTTGTAGGCGTTTGACCCTAGAATCGTGGGCTGCCCCATGCTAAGCCTTCGTCGCCAGGACGAATCGGGCTTGCGCTGGGCTTGACGGGCAAACGAGGAGAAGTCAGCCGGAGCTGATAGAGATTTGCCCAGACAGAGGGCTTCCAGATCTCCCAACAGGATAGGGATTGTCCAAGCGTCATACAAGGCATGATGGAAGGTTAGTAGGAGGATGTCAGAGTCTGGCGAGTCTATAAGACACAGCCTGGCTGGTGGTATGAACATGGTCGACGAGGAAGCTGCATTCCTGTCGATAGAATGACGAACGGAACCCTGAGATGCCTCATTGCACAGTCGCCTCTCCGTGCGAACTCTGTCGGCCCGAGGACTTTTAGACACGACCTGCACAACCTCAGCGGAAGACACGGCGGCAAAAGAGGTGCGGAGAATGCTATGTCTCTCCTGAAGCGCGTGCCAAGCATCCTGTATCCGCCTCTCATCAATCCGAACACTGCTGCGGAACGCGAATGTGAACTCCCAAAGTCGTCTGCCACTTTGAAGCCAGCGAGATATGTAGAAAAGCTGACCGCTGAGACAAGGTAGAATAGCCTCTACGTCCCCTTCGGCCAGAGACAATATAGCCAATGCTTTTTCTCTTGACTCGCGAGTTATCATGGTACGATGAACAGCTTCGAGTCCCGTATCCGGTAAGGTGATCAGATGCTTCGCAGCAAGTCTCGCAATGCCTCGGACTGTCTTTCCCTGTAGAATATCACTCGCAGAGAGTCTCAATCGAGCCTTCCGGCATCTGGCACTGATGTCAATTGCTAAAATCGAGTCCACTCCGAGTGTGAATACGCTGCTATCGTTACGAATCTGCTCAACAGGGGTCCCCGTCACTGTCGCAAGAATCTCCTTGATGACCGTAGCCTGGTGCGCCGCTTCCGGAGAATCGTCGGATTCTTCATCGATAACCTGCTGGCAGGGAGTAGCAAGGGGCAAGGCACTAAGCCCAGTTGGAAAGCTCAGCACGGGCGCATCGGGGCAGTTGACAATCTCGACCAGCCCTTGAGCAAGCGTCTCGAGCCAGACTTTGAGCTCACCCTTTCCCCCGAAAACATCGCGACAAGACACCCGAATAAACAGAGATTCCGGAGCTTGCTCGAATTCGACATTGAGTTTGTAGTGAGGAGGGACCAGCTCGCGGTCCGACACGTACGGCTGGAATATCGAGGTGCGGTCCGGACTCTCCGACTTGTTGAATGTGAAGAGCGCGTCGAACAGTAACGGACTGGGGCTCTGGCTCGTTAAACGCCAGCCTTTCTGGACCTGACCTAACGATACGTGCTGATGCTGTAGAGTATCCGCACAGAAGTGTTGAATAGCCCGCAGGGCCGAGCGAGTGCTCTGCAGAATGGAGTCCAGTGTCAGACGAAAAGGCACCGTGTTGATAAGAGGGCCCATGATTGACCCAGTGGTGCCATCATCCAGCCCACGTCCAGAAACAACATGGCCGAATACCACATCGCGCTGCCCTAACAGGACTGCCAGTGACCTTCCGTAAGCAAGCAGGGCGACGGTTTGCAGAGTGACTTCGAGGGAGCTGCATCGATGTAGCAATTCCGCCGCCGGAATATGCACCTTGACCTCTGCCCATTGCGGTTGGGATTCTGTGGAAGAGTCTATTGGAGCTGGAATACCAGAATATCGATACCCTGCCACAACAGTGATCCAGAATCGCGTGGATTGTTCCTGAAGGTTCGCGACCCTATGAGCAGCCGGCGCGAATGGCTGGACTATCACATCTTGTCCGCGGTAGATCCCCTCCAAGGAGTCAAACGTGAGTGGAAGAGAGAGCCCGTCATACAGACAGTGATGCATAGTGACGACCATTAGCCGCTGAGCGTTGTGTTGGAGAATGTGAACTTTCCATGGTGAAGCTTGGAAGCTGTCTATTTCGGGATAACCCCCTTCTTCCGAAATTCGACGAATGGCGTTTGCCAACGATTCTTCTTCGATATCATAGAACCACCGTATCGATGGGCGCTTATGAACTGCAGCTAAGAAGCCACCACCTGCCTCATGACGATGGAATGTAGTCCGCAGAATATCAGCCTGCTCTGCAAGCTGCTTCCACGCACTCTCCAGATGACCAAGGTTGACGGAGTCGTCTAGAGTGACGATGTGGTGGTGCACATAATCCTTCCCGTTAGTGCTCAAACACTGTGCTATCATGGCCGTCTGCAGTGGCGTGCAGCGGTATGTCTCGACGATTGAGTCGTCTCCATGTAACAGATTGATCTCCGCATTTGAGACGAGTTTAGTCTGTTCACTCTGGCGTACGGAAGGTAAAATAGAAGTGTTCTCCAGATGATTGTACAGTGACCTGACGGACGGAAATCTCAAGATATCGCTTGAAGACACTTTCATCTGATGTTTTTGGAAGCAACGGGCGAGCCGGATAGAGATCACCGAGTCGATCCCTAGCGCAAAGAATGAGGAATTCTTGGCAATCTGGTTTTCAGGTAGCCCGGTGATCTGAGAGACGATCTGTCTGATCTTCGTCTCACCTTCTGTCCATTGAATTTCGTCCCATGCAGTTGTCTGTGTCTGTTCATGTCCCTGAACTAGAGCAGGCTCATCTACGACTGCGTCTCCTGCAGCCACCAGGCTCTGCAACAGGATGACCATTGTGCTGAGAAGGGAAGTAGATTGCTGGGACAAAGAAGGATCACTGGTGGTTCTCAGCCGCAGAGTGATAGTGTCTGTCTTTGTGTCTGCTCTAACCTCTAGTGCCAGTGGATAGTCTACCTCCATGACACTATCCATTTCCTGCAGCAAGACATCGACCGATGAAGTCCTTACGGCAAGATAAGAGAACATCGTGTTGAATAAAGGGCCTGGGGCGTGGCAATATCGCTGAATAGCACGTAGCGACGTGTGTTGGTGAGGCAAGGAGTCTAGACTGGCTCTGGTATGCTCTTTGATCAGATTGACCAGACTCGACGCGCCAGATGACAGGCGGAACCGAGCAGGGACCGTGGTCACAAGGGGAACCAGCATGGTTTCAACTGAGTCTACTGGTATCGCTCTACCATTCATGACCCGGCCAAAGATAAGATCACCTTGGCCCAGAAGCTTCGCCAAGGAAATAGCCCATATAGTTTCTATCAACAGCGGGGCAGTTGTCGATATGCGAGAGGCAAGATTAGAGAGCTCAGATAGCTTGACAGGTAATGCCTCTGTCGTGATACTGTATGTCGTATCGCTCGGGTCATCAACGATGACAACTCCAGGATAGCAGTCTGAGAGATATTGAGACCAGTACTGCTCGGCTTCTTTCTCCGCTGGCCTGACCAAGTATCGATATAAGGGAGTAAGATTAATCGCATCGCTGGATGATTGCCCGGAATAGTGCTGATATAGCCTGTCGAGAAGTATTCCCATACTGGCCCCGTCAAAGATCGAATGATGGATGGACAGCATCAGCCACCCGGAATCATGGTTTTCCGTTGAGCACGCAGCAGTCATGTGCATAGGAGGATGTCTCTCGATGTCACAAACAATCTTGGATGCAATATGTGGCTGGCATTTCTTGAAGTGCTGCCGAGCGGCTTGCTCATCCGCCACCTCAATCTCATCCCAAGCTACCTTCGCTACTCGAGGCTTCAAGACCACTTGCACCACCCGGTCATCCATGATGTGGAAACAGGTCCGAAAGATCTCATTCTCCTGTATTATGTCTTCAAATGCCAGTCTCAGTGCTTTTAATGACGCGGTAGGCCGCAGCCGAAATAGTGTATGGTTGACGTAGAGTGGAGTATCACTGTCAACCGAACTGCAGACAAGGCTTTCCTGGAGAGGTAGGCACGGTCTGATAATAGCGATTGAGGAGTTTGGAATGAGCTTCGGAGAGGCGCGAACGGCACGATCAAGGGTCACCAACTGCTGCGTAGATTCGAGGAGCTGCCGCCCTGCCTGCGCGTTTCGGCCTGCCTTGTCGCCGTGCCTGGGAAATAGTGCCAAGTGCTCTACAGTCGCACTGCGCATGACGTCGGATGCGGAGCAGACAAAGCCAGCTTCCCGCATCCGAGCTGCTAAATCTAAGGAACTAAGGCTATCCAGCCCCAGTTGGAAGATGCTAGTTGTTCTTGTAACGGCATCACTGTCAGCCGACGTCACGGAGCAAACAAGATCGACAATCTCCTGCTCCCCAACTGTCAACGGTGCATCTTCTGATTCCGGGTTTGGTTCTCGCTCTGTGACCGAAGGAGTCTCAGCTCCATGCAGTAAATCGGATGCAGGGATACCCTCGTATAGAGCTACTAGGCGGCGATTGTCTGCTTTGCCCGATATCTGAATGGGTATGAAAGTGACAGGGAGCAAGACACTCGGAACCATGTAAGCTGGGAGCTGCTGACGGCAGCGCTCTAAGACCTGGGGGACCCATTTCTGATACTCCTCCCGCGCAAACACTGGCTGTGCTGTGGCATTTTCAGGACGATCGCTGGCAGGACTTATGAAGGTGACCAACTGAGGCCGCTTCGTGATCGGTGAAGGTGTCACTATCGAAGTGACGTTGACTGGGCGCTCAGCACATCGACGCACTGCGATAGATACTTCTTCCAGCTCCAAACGCTGACCGCGGACCTTTGCTTGACTGTCTCGTCGACCGAGATATTCGACACAATCGTTCGCCATCAAACGAACAATGTCACCGGTGCGGTACATATGTTGCCCGTGAAAGTAGGTGAATCCTTTTGCATCCGGTCTACCGTGATATCCCTTAGCGACAAGATCTCCGGTGACGCAGAGCTCTCCTGCCTGGCCTCTTTTCACATAATCATTGGTCTCCGGCTCGAGAACATGGAGGGTGATGTTCCCTACAGCTGAGCCAATGTTTCGGACCGTCGAGGAAACAGTCACCGTGTGGCTTGTCAGCCCGATCGTAACCTCAGTTGGTCCGTATGCGTTGACCAGAGCAATCGATGGCTTTCCGACAAAGCGTTCGATAATCGTCTCTGAGATTTTCTCACCCCCAACCCCGAGATATCGGAGATCGGGCAACTGCTCAGCACTGAGACCCGTGTGCTCGAGGAGGGAAGGCACAAATCCCGCGTGAGAAATGCGGCATTGAGTGAGGACCAGGCGGAGGTTATCGAGCAGCATGGTGCGTGGGGCAGTCACCAGACGAAGCCCATGACGCCAGGCCAGAACCATCTCACAGATATGAACATCAAAGGCTCGACTGGCATGCGCCAAGTAACTGCCCGCGCCTCCTAGCTTCAAGGTGTCTGGCACATCCCGACAGATATATTCGGACTGCGCTTCTGTGAAGGCAGACAGATTGCCACGGGTGACCAGAACGCCCTTCGGCAGCCCCGTGGACCCGGACGTGTAGAGAAGATAACAGTTGCCAGACGGGTCTGCCTCAATCACTGTTACTTCGTCGATGCTAGAAAGCTCCTCACGAAGCTCAGGACTGTTGACATCAATGACCTCGCATCCATCCGGAGGTATCACGTCTCCTAACACCTCATGATCCGAGAACAAAGCCGTAGCACCACTATCACTAAGCAGAAGGACTCGCCGCGCTTCGGGCAGGTCTTCTGCAATGGGAATGTAGCAGTTCCCACTCTTCCAGATCGCTAAGACTATTGCGTACGCGATGAAGGAGCGACCAAGACAGACGCCAATCATCGAATTGCTCCAGCCCCGGCGGACGAGCCACGTTGCAATCTGGTCGGAAGTTTGTGCCAGCTCACCATAAGTCCACATTTGAGACCGAATTCCGTCTTCACCGACTAACTCTATGACTTCAACGGCTGGCCAGGCTGAATTCAACTTCGCCCAGTGGTCTACCCAATGAAATGGAGATAGACTGGGTGCTTGCTTCAGTTGCTCGCTGACCACAGGTGCGTGTATGGAGAGAAGGTGTCTAGGAAAGGTCCGAGTGAGGTCGTGGATCTGCTCCGTTGGATTGCCGATCATTGCTGTGGTCAAAGCATCAATCTGCTGTAGCACGAGGTCTACATGATAAGTGTCCATCAAGTCACCTCGAACTGAGAGCCTGCATGACAGATTGTCTTTCCCAGAGCATTGGACGCTCAATGAGACTGGGGAGCTATCGATGGTAGACTGCGCAGAGTGTATTTCTCCTGGCTCGGCATGAGTATTCCCCGTGTAATGTGCATTGAACGGGGCCCGTTGCGGAGGACATTGCAGGATCTCTCGCATCAACCCGAGTGGCACTTCTTTCAGTGCAACTGCACTTGACATGAAGCCATCAATTTGACGTAACAAGTCTCTCGCCGTCATTTGAGGATCGATGACAATCGGAACAGGTACAGTAGGATCCGAAGTCAGGACAGCCGAATCAGCGGTGGATGAGGTGACGTCTCCGAGAATCACTCTATCCAGCTCAAGGTATTCGGAGAGGATCGTCGCAAATGCGCCTTGGAAAATTGTGTCAATTGACTTCAGGCCGTACTGAGCCGCGAAATCCTCAAAATTCTTCCTGGACGCCTCCAGAGTGAGGGTTCGTGAGACGGTTGGTGGATAGTCCGGCTCCAGAACCATGCGCACGCAAGAGAGTGTTGGGAATTGTCTTTCGCAGACTCCGACAAAACCCTCGAGATGCTTTTGCCAAAACTGAGAAGGATCGTGTTGCTTGTCATTGCACGGCAGCAATGACTCCAACTGTTGCACCAATGCCTGCAGACCTTTGCCCTGGACCGACCGTGATTTATATACCAACCTGGCTTCGGAGGATGCGACATCGACGCATAAAGTTATTTGGATCTAGAGGACGCAAGGAAATGGTCAGCACTCGCACTGCGTGGGACAGTCATGGCTATACTCTAACTCATACATTAATCTCTGACCTCACTGGCATCTTTCCGCCATGGACGAGACACAGCCCGAACTCGACCCTCTTCATAAGCACGTTGGCGTCTAAGACCGGAACATGAAAGACACCCCATGTGAGCGCCAAACTGTAATCCATGCATTGTGCAAGGACCAGTATGCGTTCAGCCTCGCAGTCTTCTGCTCGTGCACTGACCCAGAAGGCAACCTGTGTCTGGCCGGTTGCATGCATCACCCAGCGCGCATAGCCCTCCACCAGGGCATTGACATCGGCTGAGCTCGTGAGGTCTCTCAGTTGCTTCACATTGTACACACCATTCTCCGTAGTCTGTTCATCCGATGACTTTAAAGGTCGCTCGGGAGCTGGAGTGGTCGGCACAGGAGTGCCTCCCAGCCCGTTAGTTGGACGCAAGAGATGCCCCCAGAGTTTGAGGACTGGTACCATCATGATTTCGAGTCTTTGGGTCTAACGAGCATTGACTGCGTTCTGGTCTGTGGTTGCACACCATATCAGCTCTATCCTGTTCAGCGCGGATAACGAGCGTCTCCCGTCTCTCTATTTATCTGTATCAGTCCAGTGTTCTTTATCTGTTTCGCTGCTACATGAGCTCCCCCTCCCTCCTACTGCCTTCCTTCCGAATTATTCACACACAGGGGAGGAACTACCAACCAGTACAGAACAGCGACCTATCCTAATCCAGCAACCATAAAACCTGCCGACCCCACGCAGTGACGCCTTACAACTGCATATATCTGACACGAATGAGGGTAATTTTCAACCTGGTATTTCCCGCAGCCTGCCAAGATGATCCTGCAAACAGGGGCAGATGAGACATTGCTTCTTGGCGAGACATGCCCCCTCTCTTGGCAGCACGGCCTCTAGCGCTTTCCGCGCTTGCTCGTATCGTCAGTTTCCTGAGGAGATCATTACTCGATCATATGAATATGTTTTCGGTGAGGTCCACGGGTCTACGCTACTATGTTGTACCGATCATGCCGAGACAGTAAGCGGCTGTGGTGGTGGAAGGTGGCCTACTTGTAATCTGCATAAGCAGTGAATACAGCCTATATTGTTTCGACTCGAAGACTGGAGTACACAGAATCACGCAACGACCACCACGACACTGGCATGCAACCCGCAGACAGATCATATCCCGAGCAACCCCGTTGCAAGAAGCCGGTACCGGCGATTATCAGATTGATAAGGAAGGCTTGATTTACGCCGACTGGCTTGTGATCGGTGGGTTATGGTTCGACAGGGCGGGGCCAACGGGTGTGGAAAACTCTGCTTACACGCTAGGGAAAATGCACATGATGGGAGGCCGCTTAGCTAACCTAAAATATCCCCACATCAAAGCTCGACGGGTTGGCCCTCTCCGCTTGTGGCACTGTAGAATGTGTCTTACTGGATCGGGCTACTGGTCAGGTCCTGCGTGATAATCCGCCCGGTATTGACTTTTGGGGGACGGTAAAATAAATTGAGGTTGCATGCCAAGGATCTGATTACCAATTCCTGGCAAAATTGAGTTCAGGGTCTCACTAAAGATGGTTGCGAGTGCATGCCAAGAAGCGAACGGGCCAATGGCGGGCGATATTCAGAACAGGGGTTCAGTTTAGATGCGATTATCAGATTAGATGCTAGTCGGTGCGTGGGTCCCGAGCGGCTGCGCGAGAGCTGATACGTCAATCGTGAGAAACAGGGTCCATGCTGTTCCTTGTTACCACCCGACGGTAATTTTCAGAGACGAGATACCAGCCGTACCGCAGTGGAAGTCGTACGACCATTCCCAACGCCGAGGAGTGAAAGCGGTGCACTATAAGATTTTAGTCTCGTTTGGGATCAATAGTGCCACCAAGCCGAGTTACGCCAACGAGGAGGAAAAATTCTGTTGCCACCCATGTGAGACGCATGTTCCCCGGAAGGCTGTCTGCCGGTGCTGTCGATACCTTTTTCAGTTGTTTCGACGCGTGTCTTAAACCGCGCTCCTCTCGATCGCAACATTTGGCAAAGATCTACTCTTCCTTTGGACATCGTGTCGCTTGACTTCACAAACCAGCCATGGCAAGTCGTGCTTCGCTCGATCGTACTCGAGTCCATCAGACTTCATCCCCGGATCAAGTGACTGCCTCCGACCCTGAGAAGCACGAACCCCCGACCTCGAATGACAAGGAAGCTCAAGGGCAAGTCAACGAAGCGATGGAGGGCGGAGCAGCAGGCCTCAACAAGGTCGAGGCAGCAGCTTCCGTCTGGACCAAGAAGACATTGCTGGTGATCTACGCCTGGTTCGTTACCCTGCCTGTCCCTCAGCCCCTGCAACAAAGAAAAACAGGCTAACAAATGTCTCCTCATCCCAGGATCTGGGTCTGTTTCTTCATGCTCGCCTTCCACTCCTCGATTGGCCTGAACGTCTTGGTCTACGCATACGCGAACTTCAACACCGCCCCGGAGATCGCGACGGCCGCCATCCTCGCGACCGTCGTCGGCGGCGTGATGAAGCTACCGGTAGCCAAGATCCTGAACGTCTGGGGCCGCGCGGAAGCCCTCCTCATCTTCACATGCCTCTTCGTACTGGGGATCATCGTCCTGGCCGCCTGCACGGGGCCCAACGGGTTCGCAGCCGGCTACGTGCTGTACTGGGTGAGCTACAACGCCCTGTACCTGATCCTGGATGTATTCATGGCCGACACCTCGGGCCTGCGCAACCGGGCGTTCGCGTTCGGGTTCTCCAACACGCCCTTCATCTGCACGGCGTTCACCGGCCCGCTCGCCGCGCAGTCGTTCCTGTCGATGGCCTCGTGGCGCTGGGCCTACGGCGCCTTCGCCATCATCTTCCCCTGCGTGTTCCTGCCCCTGGCGGTGGTGTTCAAGTTCCACGAGCGCAAGGCCAAACAACTGGGCATCTACACCCCCCGCCAGAGCAACCGCACCTGGCCCCAGTCCGTGCTGCATTACATCCACGAGTTCGACGGTACGCACCTGTCCCCTGCCCCCTTCCCCCTCACCCCAGCCATTCCCTCCCGCCTATCCAATCCCACCCCCCAACTAACCCTCAAACCCACAGTCGTCGGCGCCCTAATCCTAATCGCCTCATTCATCCTCCTCCTCCTCCCCTTCAGCCTCACCGTCTACGGCCGGGCGCAATACAGCTCGGCGACCTTCATCGCGATGCTCACCGTCGGCTTCATCCTGCTCCTCGCCTTCGCCGGCTGGGAGCGGCTGTACGCCCGCCGCCCGTTCATCCGGTACACGCTCCTGCGGCAGCGCACCGTGCTGGGCGCGTGCCTCCTGTCCGCCTTCCTGAACCTCGGCTACGCGGCGTGGGACCTGTACTTCCTGAACTTCGCGATGGTGGTGCACGACCTGACGCCGGCGGAGGGCGGGTACATGAACCAGATCTACAACATCGGGTCGTGTTTCTGGGCCCCGCTGTTCGGGCTGTACATCCGCCGCACCCGCCATTTCCGGAATGCATGCCTGTATTTCGGCCTCCCGCTCATGATCCTGGGGTCCGGGTTGATGGTCTACTTCCGCGGCGAGCACCATCCCATCGGGTATGTGGTGATGTGTCAGATCTTCATTGCGATTGCCGGTGGCACGCTGGTCATTGGCCAGGATATGGCGGTCATGGCGGTCGCGGATCACGATGGCGTGCCGATGATGCTGTCGGTGCTGGGGCTGTTTGCCAGTTTGGGCGGTGCGGCCGGGAATACCGTCGGGTCGGCGGTGTATACCAATGTCTTTCCGGACCGGCTGCGGCAGGCGCTGCCGGCGGCGGCCCAGAAGGATTGGGCCGATATCTATCTCGGTGGGTATCTGGCGCAGATGGCCTACCCCGTGGGCTCGGAGGTGCGCACGGCCATCAACTTTGCCTGGGGCGAGAGTCAGAAGTATAGCTGTATTGCCACCACGGCGGTGCTCGTGCTCGGGTTCCAGTGTATTCTGATCTGGAAGAATGTGAGCGTCGATCAGAGGCAGAATAAAGGGGTGATGCTGTAGGTTTGGAGAGAGTATGTAGGTGATGCAGGTTGCGAGAGCGAGGGGGCAATTATCCTACCAAGTGTTATTGTGCTACGTTCTGGTATTTAATAGTGTGATGTTGCGGTTGATTGGTGCCGGTCAATAGAGACGGCCTTTTTATATTCCGTTCAAATGTCTTAATATTTACCAAGTTCTCCACTCTAAAGAATTCACACAAGTCAACGTCCACCGCCTACGACACCTCTAAGTCACATATCCAACGACTGATGCACCACGCTCTCCCGATAAACCGCACTCCGCTCCACCAACTCCGCATGCGTCCCCTGCACCGTACACCGACCCTCCTCAATCAGGAAAATCCGATCCGCCCGATAAATCGTGCGCAGTCGGTGCGCAATTGCCACGATCGTCGTCTTCCCCACGAACCCCTGCAGCGCCTCCTGGATCTTCCTTTCCGACTCCCCGTCTAACGCACTCGTCGACTCATCCAGGAGCAACAGGCGGGGCTTGCGTAGGAACGCTCGTGCGATCGCCAGCCGCTGCCGCTGACCGCCCGAGAACTGCTTTCCGTTGTGCGTGCAGATCGTCTCGTACGTGTCCGGCAATTCCATGATCACGTCGTGGATCTGGGCGAGTTTGCACGCGGCCTCGATCTCGGACTGCGTGGGTGTGTCGGTGGGCCGAGCTCCGAGCGCGATGTTGAAAGCGACGCTGCCTTCGAAGAGCACACTCTCCTGCGGGACGAGGGCGATCTCGTCACGGAAGTCCGTGGAACGGACGCGGGTGATGTCCTGATTGTCGATGTAGATGGTACCCGAGGATGGGTAGTAGAAGCGTTCCAGCATCGCCAAGATGGTGGATTTGCCCGAGCCACTGGGGCCGACGAGGGCGTAGAATCCCCCTGGAGCCAAGGTGAGGCTCAGGTTGCGGAGGACGGGGAGGTCCGGCGAGGTAGGGTACGAGAACTGCACGTGACGTAGCTCGGCGCCAATGGGGGTAGGTGAAGGCGTCGATTCGGAGCAAGGCATAAAGGCTGGGTTGGCTTCGATATCGACGTCAGACTTCTCCCCGCACGGAATTATCTCTTTATGCCTGTCCGTTTGGGCTTCCTTCTCTGCGGAGTCGGTGTTCACCAAGTCCACGATGCGAGAAGCAGCCTTGCCGGCTTTGGAGAGGTCCGGTGCAAGGGCGAGCATCTGGCCGCAGGATTGAGTGCTGAAGAGTAATGCAGGCAAGACAATGAAGAACTGCTTTTGGGAGTAGAGACCTGACGCAATCTGCTTGGAGCCCCACCAGTAAGCGAGAGCGCTGATCAGGTTGCTGACGCTGAAGGCAGTGGCCAGCCAAAAGTTGCCCCAGGCGATGGCCTTCATGGTCTTCTTGTATGGGCCCTGGATTGCATGGATGAACTCCCGGTAAAGCTGTTTTTCCAGGGAGAATCCAGCCACAAAACGCAGATTTTCCAGCGCCTCGACGGTGATCTCAGTCACCCGCGAGAATGCTTTCTTGTGCCGCTCGGCGAATTGATTCTGTACGCGGAGCTTCATGACCCCGGCTGCCAAGAGGACAGGAATGGTAGGCAGCAGGACAATGGAGATCTTCCACGCAACGATGAACGAAATAGTAATCCCGGCAAACAAATTGACAGTTGTTGCCAGCAGAAGACCAATTGTTGTTCCAGTCAGGCCGCTGATAGCTGAAGCATCGCCGGTGAGGTAGGAGATCAGCGTTCCTGGACTGCGTCCATCTGTGCCATGCCAGGTGATAGTCTGGGCGAGCAAGGAGCGGAAGGACGCAACGCGGATGCGATAGAGTGTCTGATCTGCAGCCCACCCATAGGCACAGCCGCCGATGATATTGGCAAAGAACTCTACGAGTCCGACGATGAAGAACATGAGGCCGAAGAAACTTCCGCTGTGTCGGATGCTAGGAGTGCCTTTACATGGACTGAGCGCTCCCAGCGTATTGCCGAATAGAACCGCGTTTGAGCTATAACTAGCACCAATGATGACCGACATACCCAGCCCTAGTATGATCAGAAGAAGATTAGGGCGGATAAAAGAAAAACAGATCTTCAGAGTTAGGCGCTTCGAGCCAGGGGGGTCCTCTTGCTGTGATACTGGCGTCTGTTCCACGGTCGCATCGATCTTATCTTTCTCATGGATGTTGTTTTTCTCTGTGACAGGCACAAGCTCAGTGTGAATGCCAGGCCTATCATTCGTGCTGCCGGCGCCCGTCACAAGCTCTTGTGCCTCCCCTTGATCCAACTTCTGCTGTGCAATCATCGCTGCATACCTACCACCCTGGTCCATTAACTCCTGCGGAGATCCATACTCAGCCACTCGTCCCTTCTCGATGACGATGATCTGATCAGCGTCCTTGACCGTTGCCAGACGGTGTGCGATAGAGACTATCGTCGTAGTCCCCGACACCTTGAGCAAGGCCTCATGGATCAAGCGTTCACTGATAGAATCAAGTGCAGCGGTTGCCTCATCAAGTACAAGCAACTTGGGCTCACGAACAAGTGCAGTCGCAAGAGCAATGCGCTGCCGTTGACCACCGCTCAACTGCCCCCCAGCAGTCCCAACACTCGTCGCTATTCCAAAGGCTTGGGCTTCAATGAACGAAAGTGCATTAGCTTTATCGGCAGCCTCTTTCGCCCGACGAACAATTTCGGCAATCTTAGGATCGCAAGCAGCGAGAACGTCTTTTTCCGGGGTCCCCGCTTGAATCTGCTCCACGACAGCCGACAAACTCATATCCAGAATCACCTCCGTCAGACTTTCGTGCGCGGTAGACCCAACGAGCCCGTAAGCGATATTCTCCAGGATCGACCGATCGAAGAGTTGGGACTCTTGTTGAACAAAACCCAACTGCCCGCGCAGGCTTGCCACGTTCACCGCACGGATATCTTGACTCCCGATCCGGACTACCCCGGAGCATGGATCATAGAACCGCTCCAGAAGTGCCACGATGGTGGACTTGCCTCCGCCTGACGGACCCACGATGGCAGTGTGTTTCTTTGGCGGAATGTAACAGTTGACCCCTTGCAGGACGGGATTCGAAGGACGTGCGGGATATGTAAAGCTCACATCTTCGAAAACAATCTCCTTATCGGCGAGGTCTACGCTCTGTTCCCCCGTCTCTGAAGTGCCATCGATTTGAGAATCACGGTTGATGACCTCCAACAGCCGTTCGGATGCACTTGCGGCGGCGCTGAACACATGCATGTACGGGGAGACTTGACTCAAGATGAAGGAGGCTGTAAGACATCTGTCAGCATGCTAGAGCTAGACTAATGAGAGGTTCTCAAATGCCAATGGCAGATAATCGAAGGAAGAGGCAAAGAAACAAAACTAACCATCAATGAGAATAAAGATCACCGTGTACACGGCCCCAAGGGAGACCCCAGACCCAAGACCATCAATATAGTCCGCAATCAGGTGCGCACCCTTCCAATACGCCAGAGCATTGGAGGAATACACGATAAAGAACAAAAAGCCCATCTGGGCCGCATGCACTGCTGCCTTCTTCAACGCATCCTTGCGCGCGTTGAACAGATTCGATGAGAACAACTCCTCCAGGCGCCGATGGGCATTGAAAGCATGCACGATGCGGGGATGCGACAGGCTGGAAGAGGCAATGGAGGTCGCTTGATCGACATGTTTCCCGACGCGGTTGCCATACCGCGAGGTAAAGTGGCCTCCCACCAGCGACATGGCAAAGAAGCACGGCACGATGGCGACCAGAATCCCCGCCACAACCGGCACTTTGATGAAGGCCACGATGTACGCGGTGATGAAATACGACAGCGTCGCGATGTATATGCCCACCTTCTCCGAGGTCCCCGACTGTACCGTCTCGATGTCGCTCACCAGCCGCGAGATGACCTGTCCCGAGGGTAGGGTGTCATGGAACGCGGCTTCCTGGCGGATCAGGCTGCGGAAGTACCCCTTGCGGTAGCGGCGGGCCAGACGCTCGCTGACCAGCGCCCAGCAGGCGGCGTAGATGTAGATGGCGGCGAAGTTGAAGATGGTGATGTAGATCAGATAGAGAACTTTCGTCCGGACGGAGGACGAGTCGTACGTGGTCGCGGAGCAGGAGACATCGTTGAGCTCGTTGATGAGCTGGCCGAGCACGATTCCCAGCAGAGGCTCGGGGATGCCGGCTGCGATGGCGAAGAAGGTGCCGACGAGTATGAGGGCCAGGTCGACGCGGGTGTAGTTGAGCGAGAACAGCAGACGGATGAAGCTAAACACAGTCTTGATGTCCTTCGGCTCTGGGATGCATCGCGACACCAGGAGGATCTATCTCGGTCAGTGGTTCTGGTAGAGACGACGAGGTTGAATTCTTACGGCCTTCTGTGCGTGGCTTGCGCTCTTGACAGCTCCTTCCGTCTGATCGCTCTTCAAAGGCTCTGATGCTGACATTGTGAAGCAGCAACACCCTAGACGGCAGCGGCGCAGTGACTGTGAAAGCTCAAGGGAAGCAGGTATAGAACACCATTGACCTCGATTCCGGCAATCACTCGACCGACAACTGTTCGGCCACGGAAGCAATACGGACTCCGACTAGGGTCAGTCGGCAGGATTGGCATTCTTTACGTAAAACAAAAGCTAAGAAAATGGTTTCTCATGCCTAGATAGATTATCTGATCATCAGATAAGAGGGTCTCCGCGGATTACGGTATCATACCTAATACAGCTGTAACCCCCATACACGGTATTGATTTCCGCCCTCGTTTTGCAAATATACATAGCACTCACTCACTGTCCCTGTCCCCACCAGCAGCCGCTGGAAGATTGTCACCTTCCTGATTGAACGTAGTTTCTCGTAGGTAGGCTTCTATGGGAGGCTCCAGTGCAGGCACCTTAGACTAGTCCTTCGTGTCCCATCAATGTGTCTCAGACCCTGTCTGGGCATCATGTGATGTTGTTTCCGACGCTCAACTACCTCCATAAGGTACCTATTCTCAAGGAACCGAATTTTGATTTGTTGTCTGAGGGCCACAATGGCGCGAGCGTCCTCATTTCAGTTATACGCCCAATGCTTGTGAGAACACAAGTGCAACATGTTCTGGCTGACCCCTTCACACTCGCAGGTATGCCCAAAAAAATGGCATTATCGAAACAGAGCTTTGCCAAACAGATCCGCCCAGCTCGGAGCTGATCAGTCCGCAATCATTACCTAGTCAAGATTAAATGTCTCACTCGGCGGCGAGGAGTTCTCGCGACGACAAATTGGCTTCAACTTTCAAATCAAGGGCCGTTGAGGGGGGCCAATGTAGGAGCGTAGCGAAATAGACACCTCAAGCGAACAGTGGCAACATACTTACTCTCTTCAGTAACATTAACCCTATGCCAAGTATTTGCATCCATCTGCGCCAATTTCCATCGCTTTACATGCAAAAAGAACAAAAAAAACAAAAAAAAAGAAACATTCTGTATATTACTTACAACACAGCGCCCCGACCGACACCCTCCCACGATGTAACATCGACCCAGATATTGACACTTGGCAGGAGGGGTTTCACTCACCAGGATTCGCCGGTCGTCACATCGAAACCCCCCTACACCGGGAGGCAAGCCGGACCGAGTTTATCAGGTGGTAAGACTAGGTACCTTCCCAGCAGATTTGAGAATTGCAAGCCTTCCAAGTCATTGACCTCGCGCGTTGCATTCACGGATTCCTCCCGAATCAACAACCCGGGTTCGCCCTCGCCCCCACCGTTTGATCGTGAGAGTGAGTCATCCGTGAGCGTAGGTGAGACATCGACCTGCGAACATATCTCAGCGGTTTCGCACATGATAGGAGTCTGCTGGGTCCGATTGACGGAGGAGGATGGAGCGGCATGATCGCAATCTATTGACCATAGACTTCCAAATGATAAGATATGACAATCGGCGGGCTGCCTACGGTCAGGAGGGCTCTGAGCATTGCATGCTACCGCTGCTCATATTGCTAGAAGATGTTCAAGCAAGATTTTGGCAGCTGTGGGGACGGTGAAGGAAGATTGACCGCCGTAGTCAACGTCAAAATCACTTTCACGATTGTTTGGTGAAGGGAATGCTGAGGGAGATCTTAGTGATCGGTAGGCTAACTGGATCATGTTAATCTGTTGAGTATGGGTACTCAGCATCCCGACAAACGATGATGTACCATCAACCTATTGGCCCCAATGAGCTTCCCTTTTTCTTCTTTCTTTTTCGATGCTGAAAGCAGGGGAATGACGTATTGAGACTTGTTTGAAGAGGCCGCGCCTCAAGGAAAACCTGTCAAGACTTTCGTTACATGTTAGAGACACAGAGTAAATGTTGAGTAGAGAGGTTATTTGAACACGTGGGATAAGCCACAGTCGATGATCAGCAAGTTATTCGCTCTTTAGACGGTGTGGAAGACTAGGTAGGCTGTCGAGACCTGGATACGGACCCTCTTTACAACGAGTCTGTACAGACTCGATTTTACAGCCAGGATACTAGTAGGCTGGTGCCCTCTTCGACTCCAGTCCCATGGGATGCTGAATCCTCATCCAGAGGGCATAGATTGGTTTTCTCAAAAGGCTCCCACGAAATATATCTCCATCATACACACAGCAGACAGATGCGGCCATAAAGTCTCAATCTAAGCCCCAATGCTACAAGTACTCCAAATGCACATTCTAAGCCAAGAGAAAGGAGGAAACAGCTCTAAGCCAGTATTCCTCCTAATAATGCACTCCCTTCTATTCAGGCAACCTTAATGCACACCTTCCCGATCTGCGCACCAGAGGCAGCATACTTGTAGGCCTCCACAACGGCCTTCTCATTGAAATCAAAGACCTTATCCACGGGTAGCCGGAGACCCCGCGTCGCCACGAAGCGCGTCACTTCCTGGAGCAGCTGCGTGGAGCCGACGGTGATACCGCGGACGACGGCGCCCTTGGACAGGGCAAGAGCCGCGACGTCCGGCATCTTGGCCTGGTCGGCTTGCGACAGGAAGCCGATCACCGAGATGTTGCCGCCCATCTTGACGGCATTGAGGGACTCGCCGATCGTACCCGATCCGCCGTTCTCGAAGATGTAGTCGACCCCCTGGCCCTGGGTCAGGCGGAGAACCTCCTTGGACCACTCGGGGTGGGTCTTGTAGTTGACCACATCGTCCACGCCGTAGTCGGCCTGAACGCGCTTCAGCTTCTCGTCGCTGGAGGAGGTGATGATGGTGCGGGCGCCGGCCGCCTTGGCCAGGATCAGGCCGGTGATGGAGACGCCGCCGGTTCCTGGGTTGATGTTAGATAGATTCGTTGGTTTTGTACTGATAAGCGGTTGGGGAAGAAACGGAGTGAAAGGTAATGGAAATGGATGGGAAAGAATCAACATACCCTGGAACAGAACAGTCTGGCCGGGACGAAGGGGAATATTCCCGTACAGCGCATTCCACGCAGTCACACCCGTGCAGACCAGAGTCGACCATTCGCAGAAGGACAAGGCGGATTCCTTGGGGACCTGCACCGCCGAGGCAGCCGGGATGCAGACGTATTCGCGAAGCACACCGTCAATCGGACCACCCTGACCGTTCTCCCAGTTCAACTGGGGGCCGAAGAGGTTGGTGATATCGAAAGTACCAATCACGTGGTCACCAACGGTAACGTTCTTCACGCCTTCACCGACCTTCACCACGACGCCAGCGGTGTCCGAGCAAGGAACCACATTGTCCTTGACGGGGAAGGGGTAGAGCGAGGTGGCAACGCCGATGTCTCGGTAGTTTAGGGATACGCCGTGCACCTTGACCAGAACCTCGTACTTGGTCGGCTCGGGCACGGACTCCTGGAACTCCTTCAGGTTCTCGACCGAGTTGCGAGGGCCGTTGATGCGGATGACTCTTTGGCTGGGCATGATTCTTGACGATCGAGGTTGACTATCGGGAATCGGCTGGTGGATGTTGGTGGTTGGTAGTTAAAGATCTGACTCAAGCGTGAACTGGAAAGGGCAAACTGAACATGGAAGTCGGTCAAGGCAGGAGCTCCTGGCAAGCTTTTATGTCCCGGTTCTTCTGCATGGAGAGAAGTTCTCACCGTGGTAATGCGGTGTGTGGGGAAAAAAATGGTTCATGAGATAATTCAGGTGCAGCTCAGTTTGCAGAATGTAACGTCATGGCCTTCAACGGCGGCGTTGGAGAGTCGAGTGTTGGGGAAAGCTTATCCCCAAACTGATACAACCTGCTTCTCCAAATTTGGAGATGCGGCGGGGGCAACTTTATCAATCTCAGCCAGCCCTGGGCGTGTCAAATCTTGGGCCCGGGCGGGGCTACGAGGGTGCCATCATTTGTAAGCAAAAAGTCTTGGGGATTTGAGAGACGCCTCTTAGTACAAGTATTGGGTAGGAATTTGGATCGATTGTCCTCGTTGTGTTTCTGATTCAGTAGGGGGTTGCAAACCATCACGTGATTATGATCCGACGGTTCAGTTGGAGAATGAAATCATATGCGTACGATGGATAGGGCCGGGAAGGGCCTTGTGGAGAGGACTGGAATCCGGAATAAGGATCAAACATCAATTATGATCAGCTAACCGGTTAATTTGAGTATGATCTTTGTTATACTAAAAACGTGAGTGTAATGGACACATATATCTACCGGCGAGGACTTGCCGTTTTTAAATAATTTACCACATAACTTTGAATCACTTGCTGGAACTAGGGAAGTGTAAACTTCTGTTCCGAGGATAAAGTTTGTCCTTAAGCGTGGTAAACGATGAGGATGTATGACCCCACACAACGCTTAACCTGTTATATCCTGGTTGCATATGGTTCAGCTTTGTTATATTGAGTTTTTACTGTACATAGATGTATGTACGAACTTCTGCCATGTGCAAATTGAGAGCCATGAGTGTGTGGAGGATGTTGATGTTGACACAAGCTGACCTACAATACATAATGAACCCAGCAATCACGGCATTACAGGCTGAAGCGTATATAGAGTCTATGTGCTCCAGCCCTTGCACAAGCAACCAGAGAACAAATACATTGGAGAAGTTTCAAACATCAAACGGTCCCGAATTTCGGGCTATCAAAACGGAGACCCAGCCTCCGATCTCAGCCACAACAACGTAGCCTCCACATCCAACATACGCTCGAGATCGGAGAATATATCCGCCTCCATGGGCGTCCAGCCCAGCATCTCGCGGGCGCGGCGCGCGACCCCCAAACTCGTGGAACTCACATTCATCTGACCGCCATACCAGAACCGCTGCACGACATGATTGGGCAGATCCTCGGCTTCCGGCGAGTCCAGCCACCCCCTCTGGTACCCCAACTGCGCCAGTCGCCGGATGACATCCCCCCACGCAAACTCGCCATTCTCCGCAAAAAAGTACCCGTGCTCGTTCCACAGCTCCCTTGGGGAGTGCTCGTCCACCGCCGCCTCCGTCAGTAACAGGTACATCCGCGCAATGTCCTGCGTGTGCACCATGTGCCATCGGTTCTCATTCCCGTGGATGGTGAACGCCCTCCGGCGGCGGAGCATCACGTTGAGCAACCGGGGCACCTGGATGGAGCGCGTGAAGCCGGGGAAGCGCGAGGGCCCGTAGACGGTCGGCGGGCAGACGATGACGGTGCGGATCTGGGGGTGTCCGCGGCCGCGCAGGATGGCCATGTCGACGTTGCGATGCGCCGCCCAGTTGGGCAGCACGTGGTCGTAGCCGGTGGGCTCGGGATCGGCGGCGGATGGCAGACTGGTCAGCTCCGCGACGCCCTCGAGGTCATTGTAGTAGCGCGGAATCAGCTGGCCCCAGTTCGAGGGCTGGGCCTCCATCTCCCAGGCGATGATCTTGGCGCCGGAGGTGTGAATTACCGTGCCCTGCTCTTTACGCCGGGCCAGACCTCGGATGATGGCTTCTGCAGCGGGGAGGTGGTCGCAGTTGGCGAAATCTGATCACAGTCAATGATTCTATACGTAGAGTGCACTGTACATGTCCCCTGCGATGCATACTTAGGACAACATCAGATTTGCTGCTCTCCTGCTCTAGCAGGTCGACGTCATCCAGCGACCCTGGGATAATCTCAACGGTTGGATAGTTAGTTCGGAGCAAACTGATCTTGCGGACGTCCCGGACAAGAACGACGATCTCCCAGTCCGGATGTTTTTCCACGAGTATGTGTAAGAAATCGCCTCCGATGAGGCCAGTTGCGCCGGTGCTGATGCTCAATCAGTTGTTGTTGTTGTCTGGCTTGGGTCTCTAGTGGGTTTGCGTACATGAAGATCCTCGGAGCCATACTTGCAGGCTGACTGAAATGTCGGCGTGAGTTAGTGGATCAGGCCAACGCGTGTCAATGTCAATGTCCCTCACGTCAGAATTAGAAGTCACTCACCCGGACGCGGGGCACAATCGCGGAATTAAGAAATGAATCGACTACATCGAACCATGCTATCTTTCCCTGCTTACAAAACATGATTGAGTTGTCCATGAGTGGGGACGGGAGATCCCCAAACTTGGAGATCGCCCCATTTTGGAGAAGCTCGCTGCACGCGGCACGATTGAGGAGTAGGGCGCCATCCACTGCTTCTCCTTTCTTTACAATATGGCATTTTTACCAGGGTAGTCTCACTTTGGGGCACTCGTGCGCCTGACCTCTCTGTCTCTCGCATGAGCGTTCCTGCTCTCTTCCACGGACGTCGTATTACAAAGCACTGGTCTAGAGACATAGCGTTCAATACAGAGAACAAGTTAACCAAAAACAGCTCCGCATAAAAGTCATCGAGAACGGAGCTCAACAAGAGTGAACGAGGTATCCAATTCTTAATCATAGTTGCTAGTCGAGCTGAGCTTGAGTCTTGGACAATTTCCAAGACGGTCAGACGCTTGGTACGTGTAAGTAGGCATGTACATGATATCCCAGCAATACACAATCTGACACTCCCGGAGATTATTTCCTTTACTCGTCTTCCCCCTCCCCCCTGTTCCAGTACTTATACCAGATGTTAAGTCCAAATTGCCTGATCACATGACTGTCTTCGGTAATTGGATTGTTCTGCTCGGTAGTAGAGCGAATGGCGACTGATCTTCCGAGACAACAGATTCCACTACAAAATCGTCAATAATCGCAAGAAAAGGGCAGCGAGATTAGGCAGAGGATTCATACACTTTGCCACTTGCTGGATCATACATGATCTTGTCCGGGTCACCCTCCGCATGCTCCTGCCCGTGTAGGCGCAGCGCTCTGTAGAAATCAAGTCAGCAATCAAAATAGCAGAGGTGCAGGCAAAAGGCCCGTTCTCACTCAACTAGGTCCACAGCTCGTGCCCTGATCGCATCAATCTGCCGTTGCCCGCGGAGGTCGTCGATGTAAAACGACAGGGGAAAGGCCGGCAACCGCGTCATAGCAATGAGGTTAATCCGCCCGCCCGGATTCTCGAACTCCGGGCTCTGGACGGTGCATTCCCAGTGCAGGAGCTGAGGGAAGCCGTTCACTCTCCGTGCTGCCTCTAATGCTTGTACTTCCCATGTGAACCCGGGTTGAGCGATGCCGCTGAAGAGCCTGCTGACCTCGCAGCCACGCCTGAGGACTGGGTGCTGGCTATTTGTATCAGACAGTAGAGATGCTGGTTAGTAGCCTTCCTAAGAAGTAGACAAATTTGAACAGCATGAGGCAAGGACTTACTGGATGAAGAATTTGACCACGACTTGCTGCTGATCATCGAGCTTTGTGGCATGGAAGACAGCCCGGCGCTCGATGTAAGGGCGGTATATTTTCTCGGAAACGTGTCGGCTCAGTAGGCACCTGCCTGTCAAGACTTGAAAGTTTCTTCCTTCGAATTTGATCAGCGTGGCTTCTGCAAGAACTGGATAGTCCGGTGGTTCATCTTGGGCAATGTCGGTCATGGTTTGGAGGAGGAAAGGAGTTAGGTGTTCAAGTTGATGGACATGGTGGGATTGATGTCAATCCATGAATAGAGGTGCGGTGAATACTGCAAGGGATGTTTGGTAGGCGCGGGAGATGGCGACATCATGTGGTCATGGCGGGCTTGGAGCAGTCGCACAGCTTCACTTCCTGATTCATCAATCAGACAGATAATTGAACGCGATTTGAAAATTCACATGATCTAGAAAGTATGGATTGCTTGGGAAGCAGCTAGAAGGGTATCAATCGACTGTGTGAAACGAAAAAGACGGGATGGGCTTGATGGGAATAAGCATTCACCATAGTGCCGATACAGAAGAGGCAGGCCTGAAGCAATTACTTGACCTACTGTATGCTAAGTTGCTCCTCATCAACTGACATTTGACATTGGTGTTTACGCTCAATATTTTCGCTCGTGGAATTCAAGAATCTAGGCTTTACACAATCATTCACCAGAACGAACGATAAGGTTCGAGTCGAGGTAACTGCCAAAAAGCGCCTCGAGCCACTGCATCTCTTGTACCGCGGATTCCCCCCGATCTGCACACTCGAATGATCTTTCCGCTGATTCTCTCGAAACGCAATCACGGTTGGCAAACAGGCGGGAAGAATGAACTCCCTCGGAGGGAGCGCTGTCAGCCATGACTCGCCGTACGATGTGACCCAGCTTTGACACGTTCCGGATCAACTTCCCTGAGATCCATGTTTTACGAGGATAGGATTCCAAAGCATGAATTGCCTTCAGGGCCATGTCGCCAAATGCATCCTTGCAAGACGGCTTTTTGATTATGAGTCCGATTGAGATGATGGCAGCGCTCAGTAAATAATGAAAAAAAGGATATGTAAAGACCGTCTGCTCCTCGGAAATCTCAATGCAATCTTGAATCACGTCACTGGCAATTTGTGCACAGATCCGTTCATTCTCGAGCCCGGTAAAAATGATGGCTGGGGAAGAGGTGGTCTCTTGAAGCATGGGCCTGCGGATGAGTAGACGCAGCGAGAGCCATCGCTGCACGGTGTCAGTAGATCGTTCCAGAAGTTTTCAGTTATTCGAGACTAGGATGAACATACGACCCGCATGAGCTTTTGCTGCTTGGCTAGCCAGCCTACTGTCTTCTTGGATTGGGATTCCTCCTGCCCAAGGTGGTAGACAAACTCTGGTGGAACCTCCCTTTGCGCCCGAGAGATCAAGTGCTCGAAGTGTTCGCGACGCAGGTGACTGTTTCGAGGAGAAGACTGCATGGCTGAATCAGCGCCGTACATCCCCTCCCAAACCTTTCCCAGCACTCGAGAATAGATCACCATTGCAGCAAGATACGGGATTGGGGTTACTGCGCCTGTGGCTCTGCCGTGTGTTTTCGGAGTGGAGGCTAGACTCAAATTTGTGCACACTTGACGATAAAAGAGGCAATCATCATCTAGGCCCTGTGGTAGTGGTGTATTCACGTTCATGTCTTGGATCAGAAATGGGCGTCCAGTGTCAATGGCGAGTCGGCGATCCATGGTATAGAGACACCACCAAAGCCGCCGATTGATTTCGACGTCGGATGGTTTCAGCCCGTCCAGAGCAGGTAGGGACCGATGAAGCCCCAGGTAATGAGCGTGAGAGATGGCAATCGCGAGGAGCTTTTCTGCCCTGCCAATTATATTCAAACGGAATAGATAAATGACCTGGACGTCACGCGAGTCAGCTCAAGCGTTCCCCTTCGCTACAGTAACAACAGGAAGTTGAGAAAACAAAGAGTCGGTCATACCATCAAAGCTAGAGTCTGCAACACCAATATCTGATCGGAGCACTCCTCGAAGCAATTGAGTATGTCGCCGACGAGCTCTGCCGCCGCTCTGTACAGACTCCATCCAGCAGAGTGCCGAGCCTCTGCACCAGCGATGCGAGGGGATGCGGTACAACGTCCCGTGGCAAGACAGATCAGTAGCTGAGCCATCGCAAATTGTTTGTGGCGGCCGATCGGCATACGGCGCTCCGGATCTGCCAAAGACCATGTGGTCCACATCTCCGTGTATCGATGCCACAGCGTCGGGAGATGAAGGAGTGGATACATGGTGTGAATCTCGTTGCAAAAAGTGTGCATACATCTATCCCATTCAGCCTTGTCTGCTGCAATGCCATGTCTGTGCAGAAGTCTGTGGAGATCGGATGCCACGCGAGATGTGGCTTCGCCACTTGGAGAGGACGGGGGGGTCAAGGCCGGTGTCGACATTCGGTCTGGACTCACAGTAATCGCAGACTCAAATCTGTGGTCAGAATTCACCAAATGACCTTCCACCTGATCAAGAGTGTATTGAATGGACGTCTCCCCTGAGAAGCTGCGTTGTTGGACTTGAGTTGAATATTTCCGCCTTGGGGTAATATCTGTACGAGTCCCTTCCGAGCGCAAGCCAGGGTGTGTCGCAGTCACAGTGTCAGGATCTCGCCCATGTACACTTATGCTCGAATTGGAAGCCAAAGTGCCGATGTTGCGATGAACCAGCTGTTCCAGGTTCTCCAAGCGCACTGCCAGCTCTCTGGTGGTTGGGCTATCCTCGTAATCATCATTCTCAGGTGAATGGTTCAGGGGCATGGTGCTGTGAGAGCGAACTGTCTCCGTTGTTTCAAGAATGTCACGCCTCCTGGACGAGCCGCGATCTTGAATACCCTGCGTTTGGTTCCTGGCCGATCGACGCCTCATGTCGGTGCTTCGCTTGCCGCATGCGCGCCCATACACGGCACAAGGTGTGCAAAGGGGTAATCCGTCACACTAACTTATTATTCCAGTTCTTCCATCGGACCCGCAATGCAATAACGGATCCCAGAGAAATAAAAAGGTGTCTTACTTTGATCTTCCTTTGTTGGCACTGGTCACTGTTAGGCCGTTAGTGCCTGCGGTGCGTGGAGAGATCGGAATCCAAGATGGAACGAGCAACGCACCACGCCTGGGAGACATATTTCCCCCGCTTCTGTCGTCTTGAGCTGGTCAGGTTCAGCTCAGAGCCGCTGTTGTGGATTTCGGCTGCATGGCGCTTCCGTGGATCTGGTGCATCGGATCAGCCAAAGCTTTTCGGTTGTTTGTTGGTTGTAGAGAAAGAAAGAAGCCCCACTTGGTTTTCGCGGCATCTGGTGAGTATTTGAGGTGGAAGCCACCGGAAACGCGCGGCTTGACTGTTATATCCAGAGGTAGAGATTGGTGAAATAGGGGTCGAAGCTGCTGGCTTGGAAGAGTGGTCCGAACGGAGGAGATGAGGTGGTGGGTGTGATGCGAGTCTCCGGTTGAATCGGCATTGTTGACCGAGTGGGTGATCGTCGGAATTACAGACGGAATTGTACCCGAACCTGAAACCGCCCGGTCCGAACCAGTTGACAATCGGCATCTCTCAACTCATCTTGACAATGCTATGCTGTAGGTTCGAGAATGTGCATGAATCAATGGATTGGGCTCCCCTTCACAACTTTGCCGTATGTTGCTTTGACTGGAAAGTCTGGCAGATAGTACATACAGGTCAAGTGTTAACAAGCACTGCCTCGTTATAACCCGTCCACACCCAGGATCATGTCCCTTATTGATGCCTCAGGCATGTAGACCCTCGCTTATGTAACCTTAACGGGGTTGAATCCCCGACAGGGCTGAATCGACACAACTCTGTGGGACATCTCTCACATAGCAGGTTTTGATATGAGATCATAAGGGCCCAGTGGAATGTCAATCAGCGCTCTGCTATGTAGGTATCCTGATGGTAAGTATTGTACTCGCGGGACTGGAAGGGTACTGTCTGTTTTGCTTTCAATAATTCTCACCCTAACAACGATTGTACTGATTTGATGGTCCGACGACGAGACCAAAGCCAATAATAAGGAGTACGAACCTAACTCCTGGCAGAACTTAGAGTACCAGGATGTTGGATTTATCACGAGGTACTTAAGTTGGTCAACGGTCATCCGGTGCCCTCAGGCTGAAAACAACCTACTCCTTAACACTCTTCAAAGACAGGTTAGAACCACACCAAAAGCAAACAACCACCTCGAAGTCCCCACGCTCTAGATCACAAATAAAGTTACTCGTCGCACCCCACTCCCCGTCTGACACTCAGCCCATCGTACTCGTATAGGGTTTCAGCGTCGATCAATGGCAAGCCAGAGCCAAGCGGAGAGGAGCTCGTGTGCACGGTCCCCGCGACGCCATCCAGCCCGCGACCCATGGATAGCCCGTCCCGTGCCGCTTGCCTGCTAAGGCTGCAGTAGCTGCCTCTCATTCCCCTCTCTTGCTGATCTCTCTCTCTCTCTCTCCCGCCCTCTCTCGGTGCACTCAATGCAATCACATATCCAACCATACTCATCACTGCCTGCCCAAGAGCAATCATGTCCACTACACCGACACCGACACCGATACCGACACCGACACCGACACCGTCTCTCACACTAACCCGTCCCGCCCCAACAGACAACCCGACGAAACCCCTCATCATCCTCTGCGACGGGACCTGGTGCGGTCGCGAGACCAACACGCGAAGCAACATCTACAAACTCGCCGAACTTTTCGGGGTAAGAATCGGCGCCCGGATCCAGTCTCCAGACGGGGTTCTCTACCTTGAAGGTGTAGGACTGGGCAGTTCGTTCCTCGAGTATGTCCCCATTCGCTATCCACCCCTTCATACCAAATGCCACCCACCCCGCTTTCCAACCATCCACTAACCCCCACCCCCACCGCCCCAGCTACATCTTCAACGGCATAACCGGCCAAGACATCGCGCAGCAATGCATCACGATCTACGAATACCTAGTGCACAACTACACCTACCCGACGCACGAGATCTGGCTCTTCGGGCTGTCGCGGGGCGCGTACCTCGCGCGCGCGGTCGCGGGGATGATCAACAACTGCGGCATCGTCCACCCGCTGCGGATCGCGGGCACGAACGAGATCGACGCCCCGCAAACCCGGCTGCTGTGCGAGACGGTCTACAACCTCTACCGGTCGCCGTACGCGACGAACGCGCCGCACGCCCCGCAGTCCCTGCGCTTCCGGCAGACGAAGTCGTGGCCGCTGATCGGCGACGAAGACCCCGCGGACCGCACCGCGCCGCGGTTCCACCCGCCCATCCGGTTCATGGGCCTCCTCGACACGGTCGGCAGCCTGGGCATGCCTGAGTACACCGGCGGGGTCGGACTGGACTGGCCCGTGTTCTACGATCAGCATGTCTCGACGGTCGTGGCGAATGTGCACCATGCGGTCTCGCTGCATGATCGGCTGTTTGTCTTCCAGCCGTGTCTCGTGAGTCGGGACCACGCGCGGCATTGCCGGCGGGATTGGGAGCGGTTCGGGGTTACGCGGCAGGAGTGGCTTCCGGGGTGCCACTACGATCTCGGCCGCCAGCGGTTCCGGTTTCTGCGCGAGTTCGGCGGTGGGTGGCTCGAGTCCCTGCTGGCCAGTCGGTGGTTCGGGTTCGCGAGCAAGGTCATCGAGCCCAACCATGTGCTGGCGGATCTGGCGCTGCGGTGGATGCTGCTGGCTATCCGCGCGCAGAGCACTACCGTGAATTATGAAGTGGTAGCCAACATTGAGCGGGTGATCGAGGATGTGACGGAGAGTATTCGTGGCAGAGCGCGGGAGCCCGGTCGCACCGGCGACGGCGATGTCTACGGGCATGTCCTGTCGTATGCGCCTTTTGGGTCGCTGCTTCTGGACGTGGTGCGGACGCTGCGCGGGACCCGAGGCAAGGTGTCGGCTCTGTATCAGTTGTTCTTCGATCTGCGGGACCGGCTGATCCCAGATGATAACGCTGTGGTCTACGATTTCTACGGGTTTGATGAGGATATCCCCGGGTGTGTCGGGGATTTGGCGCGGGTGAGTGAGCGGCGGTACCCTTCCAAGTCGTACGTGAAGTGGAGGTTGAGGCAGTAGGGTGGTTGGGTGGGCAGGGGACACGGTTATTCTTTGGCTTGCGTCGTGCTATAGCATCAATTAATTGCTTCCACCGGGATGGAAGTCACCTTGCAAAACGTCATCTTGCAAGTGACGAGGTACTGTACTGTGCTACAACATTCATTGGGAAGTACAGAGCATGCGCGGGACGGTGTAACTGTAACACACTCATGTACCTGGTTCCCGGGTCGAGGAATCTGCCGCAGTCGCAGGTACTGATTCCGCGTCCGTCCGTAGTCGAACATTCGATGAATGGGTGACGTTTATTGATCCTGCAAGATATAAGTTCCAATGCTCCCTTCTCCTCCTCCTCCTCCATCCATCATCTTCAATATGGCACGATGGTTCAAGTATTCAAATGACCGATAAAAACAATCAACCGAACAAGACCATGCCACGCCCCGTCTCCGGAATGCGAACTTGGGTCACGCGGCAACAAACCAACAACAACCTCGTGGAATGACAGATCTCACTTATCCAAGCAGAGCAATAAGAAATGGGACAGTGACATCATCACCGTAATCGACCATGAAAATCCACCATGTTTATCTGGGGTGGCTGGGAAGACATTGAAGGTGGCTGGTGGTACCACCGGGAGCAACCGATGCGGGGAAAACACCTACACAAACAACCTCGGCTGGGTAATATGGGGGGCTTATCTTATCGCGCCCCGCTTAGGGTTGGTCTTTCGCCCCGCATGCTGAACCTCTGCAAGGCATCATTGGTCCAAGGATAATCAAGATCATCGTACGCCAACAGTATTTCCGGCCATCGCGGTGCAATCCGGTGAAATTTCTCCGGTGGAAGTACTAACTATAAAGTACCGTCAATGACAGGGATGCGCTTCCAGCCAGGAATCAGTTACTGAATCCACGGTACGGATACCCCCCCCCAAACAGAGGACCGTCGACAATGCGTTTTATAACAAACTGGGCTCAACTTCTCGGGCTGGGTCTGCTGGGTGCCACCGCCGCGCTGGCCGTGAACCTCAGCACTTCTGCACAGAATCTCTTCGACGAGTCGATGGTCATCCAAGATGCGATCTACGACCCTGCTGCCGCGTATCTCCGGTACTTCTACTTCCCGCTCGCGGCCGGGCCACATGAGACCCGGTCGAGCGTATGGTATGCGGCGGGATTGCTGCAACGTGATCGAGGGGAGGATCGCCAGGAAGCGGTGAGAATCTTGCAGAATGTCATCGGAGGTCAGGAGAAGAATGTCTCAGTGCAGTGGTATGGGGATTACACCAAGTACCCGGAACAACCGACGGTGGGGACGCCGGCTTATCCTCCTGTTGTGAGTACATACCCAACCGACGATCATCTGCTGAGAGATCACGCGAGAGTGCTGACAGTGGCAAGATTTATAATTCATGGGACCCCAACTGGCGCGGGTTCATCGGGACGGCATTGATTGTCATCTACGAGGAATTCGGAGACCGACTCCCCAGCTCCATGCAAGAGCTGATCCTCGACAGCCTGTACAACAACACCGTCGGTGACACTTACCGCGTTGGCGGCGTAGATGGCGACAATCTGTACCCCGCGTACTCGAACGCCTGGCTGATGCGGACGGTGGTGGGGTCCTGGACGGGACGCAAGTTCGGCAATGCCAATATGACAGCCGCAGGCGACAGCGACGCCCGCGCCTTTTTGGAATTGTTCGACCGCAATGGCACGCTCTCCGAGTTTAATGGGCCGACCTATGCCGGAGTCTCGCTGTATGCCCTCACCATCGCAGCGAAGTACCTCGGCGCGACCAACGCCACCATCGGCCAGCAGGCGCCCCGCGTGATCGAGAGCATATGGGGCTACGAGTCGCAGCTGTGGAACGCCAACCTGCGCAACTTTGCCGGGCCGTGGGATCGGTCGTACGGCTACGACATGAACAAGTACGTGGCCATCATGTCGCTGTGGGTGTGGTCGCTTGTCGACAAGGAGCATGTCTTCCCTAATGCGACCTCACCGGTCTGGACGATGGCCCACGCCGACGACTTCGAGATCGCGCCGCTCATCGCCGTTCTGTCAGAGTTCCATCGGACCCTCGTACCTGCTGCTGCTCGCTCACGCCTTGAAGGGTTCGCGGAGGACGAGCAACGTACCTACACCGGGCACGCCTACGCACCGCCGGCGGATCTCGAACCGCGCAACATCACCACCTGGCTGTCACGCAACCTGACCATCGGAACGGCCTCCTTCAATCAGTCCGTCGTAGGAGGATTCTCTGAGGATTCAACCTCGTTCAGCCCAGCAGTCGTGCAGTGGCTCCGCCCTGACGCCTCGATCGGGTATTTCAACCTCTATCCGCAGGAGACAGCCCTGGTAGCCGACGTCGCCCCCTACGCGTTGAATCTGACCTACCCGCTGGGCAACGCGTCGAGCACCTTCACATTCGTTCTGGCTTCGAACCCCCTCCGCGCGAAGCGTGATATCGCCGGGTTTGAGGATGTAGACGGGCTCGCGATCAAGGTGGTAGGCGGTACTGTTGATCCCGTTCCCGAGATCTCGTTCTGCGGGCTCCTGGGCGGCACGTGTGAGGTTATTCAGTGAGTCTTCTTCCGCCACATCACCTTCTATCTTTGGTATCTTATGTCAAATCGGAACATACTAATCGTTATTCAGCAACTTCGAGTTTTGGAATGTGACATTCTCCATGCCGGCAAATTCCACGGCTGTTCCCAGCGTACAGTTGAAATTTGCATTCTAGGACGAAAATTGTGCGGTTCAAGCCAAGGAGAACAGATGCTGAGCATCGATGATTTGATCTCCTGGACCTCCGTCCCAGAGAAAATTTAGAAAGCGACAAAAATACCACTCAATGGCTTATCTTTTTCTGACAGCTATAATGCTGGAATTGCTCCGTAGAGTACAGACCAAGGCAGCAAGAAAGCAGGAGTCGATCCGCTCTTGAGCAGGGGATGAGGGTGTCCGTGAGTGTGTGTGGAAACGGGATAGGTGGGCGAAGCGTTGAGGATTTGATCAAAGGGTCGAGAAGCGACCGGGAAGGTGAAAGCTGAAGGCGCGATGATGAGCACGTGATATCATGCGCAGGGGCCATGAGCATCTGGAGTAGGCGCATCCAATTTGGACGCGCAAGGTCTAAAGTAACCCCTACGCTGACCTTGACTCTAATTATTTAAATGGAATCAAGTGAAACAAGCGTAATCTGAAACAAACCCATTGTCACGGTGTGAGTATTTTGCGTGTATCCAGCGTTCGTTGTGATCGGAAACAGTTTCTACAAGCAAAATCGGAAGTACTGTACTGCAGTAAACTTATAGTAGGGAGACATCAAGGCTACCCGCAGTAGACTGCGATCACACACATAGTCAGGGTGACATGATATTCCTCCCCTCAGCCGTCTCACAGAAGTTCATTTGGCCTATCCTCGCTAAGCAGGATGGAGACCTACACAGGAATAGACGGCGCCACATCCAGCCAAAAGTCACAGCGCGCCGGAAGGTAATCGAGGGCGACCTTCTCGAAACCCTCGAGGGTGACGACAAACTCCTCCTGTGTTGTGCGCAGTTCCGGCAGGGCGGGCTGGGTGTCGTTGGTAAGCTTATGGGCATTGGGATCACCCGTCTGGACAAAAGAGGCGTAAGCACCAGCAAAGCCCTCGTAGACGAGCGGGTATTCCGCCTGGATGGGCTCAACGCCGGCCCACCACTGGGCCTCGTCGCCGTGGTTGGCCGGCGGGATGGTGTACTCGATTTGGTAACCACCGGTCTTCGCTCCTCCAGCAATCCAGTGGCCCGGGCAGGCGAGCACGAGATCGCGGAAGACGAGTTCGGCGCGCACCCAGGTCTGGTTGTACGCCCCGATGGTTTCGGTGGCACCCTCGACCGGGTAGAGGGTCTCCAGGCGGGCGCGCGTGCTGGTATTGAGGCTAGGGAGGAATTCCGTCAGCCATACCCCGAACGCGGCGACCGTGTCGTTGAGCGGCGGGTCGCCCGACGAGGTGGAGCGGTTGAGGGCAGAGGGTAGGAAGTACTCCCCTTCCAACTGGGCGTATGTGGCAATAAAGGCTTCGCCGTTGAGGCGCTGGTTTTGGACGGCCTCGCTCAGCGTTTGCGTCAGGAACCCGGTGTCTGGCTCGATGACGGGGCCCCAGGTGAACATGCTGGGGCCGTATTTGTCGCTCTTGGTGATGGTGTAGGCGGCGGCATTGAGGACGTCCACGTCGAGGGCACGCAAGCACGCTAGTTGACCATTGCCGGCAGTGGTAGTACTACTATTACCAGCCGTGTCGGAGGAGGAGCAGTTGGTCAGGATGACCAAGGAGTCAAAAATAGCCTCCGACTCCGGGGCATTATAGGCGTAGGTCTTGGGCCAGTAAGGGCTATCCATAATGCCGCGGCGGAAGAGAGGGGGTTGAGTCTGCCCGTCGTGGGCGATCGTGTGGGCGACGACGCTACCCCCACCAGCACTAGTGCCCCAGAGGGTCACATTTCCAGGGTCTCCCCCGAAGAGGTGGATGTATTTCTGCACCCACTCTAGCGCGTACTGCTGATCCAGCAGGCCGACGTTCAGGTCGGCGTCGGCGGCCTCGAAGACCTCGCTTCCCGGCAGGAAGCCAAAGGCATTCGTGCGGTAGTTGGGGCCGACGCCCACAAAGTCGTTGGCCGCGCTGACCTTGAGTGAGGCGGCGTTCAGCCCCGGTGGGCCCGACGAGGCCGATCCTTGGACGAACCCGCCGCTGAAGAAGTTGACGTAGACGGGTCGCAGCGGCTGGCCCGTGGTCCAGGGTCGCGAGTAGACCCCCAGGTACAGGCAATCCTCCGATCCGTTCACTCCAAGTTGTGGGCAACGCGGAAAGCTGAGGTCAGTGTCGTACACACCGGATACGTTAAGTGGTGGCTGCGGCGCGCGGAATCGGTTCTCCCCCGTCGGAGGCGCCGCAAAGGGGATCTTAACCCAATAGCTGATGTTGCTGATCGTTGAGAGCTTTCCCTCAAATGAGCCGTAGTCAAGGTCCACTTGGAGGGTCTGAGCCGTAGCTGTTCCGAGGTAGGCAGAGCAACCAAGCATCATATAAACGACGCGGCCAAGCCAGTGACGGCTCAGCCCCACGCCGTCCCGGCGCAGGGGCATGTCTGGAAAGCCTGAATACCACTAATGGGTACACCACAGCACAGTACAGCACTTTTATGGTGGATTCGAGGGACCAGAGACGCAGTCAATTGATGAGCACACGGTTCATAATAATCTCTCTGGGTGCAGTTAAGCATGAGGTCTTGGGGGCAGTATTCATAACAAGCCCTCTCACACAGTGGCTCAACATACTTTGAGCGCTGAAGTACTTCGGGGTAGATTAGCCCGAGGCGAGTGCCATCTTCCTGGGGAAGCGGCATCTGCCAGGGAAAGCGTCATCTGCACGGCTATTGATGTGCATGAACTATACTAACAGCATGAAGTAGATGAGATGCGTGGGGGATGCACAAGGGGATGTGTGGGGGGGCATGGCGGGAGATGACATCCGTACCGCATTGAGTTTAGTCGCCGCCCAACGCTTTGCGGGGGCGGGAAGTGTGGAGCCTGAGGCCGTACCTGGCTTGCTTTTCTGTTTGTTTGGTTGTTTGATTGCAATGCGGTTCAAGTCACTAGGAGTATACCTGCCTTGCCTGATTGATAGCATCAGCTCATTGCTGATGTCTGTGACATCTTGAGCCATGATTGGGATGACTGAATGAGGGTCATAATTCCACCAATTATGTTGGACAACTCTTTCCGGGTCTCTTATCATGACTCGCTAGCAAGGGAGTTCCAGGAGCCCATAATGGACAAGAGAATAGAGTTCGAGTCATGACACTTGAACCGCGACCTATTATCCAATTCCCTAAATAATGAGTAATCTGTACAGCTCTTTCTTGAATGCCACGCGTGACCCCCAAACCCTCCCCTAAGGCCCACCAGTAACTAACCTTCCTGGACATCTTGCCGTTTCACTCTCCACTTCAGGGTGTCTCGACTACATCCAATCATCCTAACCATGTGAGACACCATGCTTTCAAGCCAGGCCTCCGGCGGTGGTTAGCTTGAGTAAGGATGAAATGGGGGTGGCGCCCGGGTAGAATGAAGTGGGAACCGTCGAGATCGTAAAGGACTGGGTCGAAGGGAATGGGGTGCTTAGGTCATTGGCCATCGTCGAGATTGAATACGTCCTAATGAGCGCCAATTGATCTCAGTGGTCCCGAAGACCCGTGCAACCAGGATTCAGACTTACGGCGTGGCGGTAATGGTCGTGGTGGTCGTGTAGGAATCGCCAGCATGGCCATCGGACTCCAAATAAGCTCCACTGCCAAACGCATTCTCGCAGGTCCAGGTGACATCATCGCCGCTATCAGTCCAGAGAGCGACGTCGTCCACCACAATATCTGCGCATGTATCATTCACAGAGCAAAGCAATCGGATTGTGGGTCGCGAATTGTCCGAGTTATATCCATGCCAGTTCTAAATCAAGTCACACGCGATTCTCAGCATTCTTGCATACGGAGACAATCAAGTCCAGTCACGTACCGTAAAAGTTAGGTTATACACCTCGAGCCCGTCTCCATCACCTTGGTCACCCCAAAACCCGGTCAGGCTGAGCAGATAACTGCCCCCGTGTTGGATGACCGTATCCCAGATCACGTTGCGGAGCGAGCCGCTCGACCGCCCCGTAGTCGGAAATATCACAGATCTTGGCATTCGCCTTGTCCGAATAGGAGGTCAAGGGGCCAACACTGCCGGAGAGCTGCGCGCCAACAGTGGCAGATACCGCCCATATCACGGAGACGACTGGAAAGGGATACATCTGGGACAATATGTGGTTGAGATTCAGTCACAATACTTGCTATCTTGGGGATGCCTCATTCACGGGCAATCATACCTAGTCCCTTTATATGTCTCGTTTCTCCCTCTTCGAGAGGTCCTAATCGACATCACTCATAACACAACCCGCGTACGCCAATCCACGAGACACCACAGGGGGTCTCTTCACCCAACAAATGGCACAGGCCGTCTCCATTGTTGACAGGATCAATCACAGACTGAGTCTGGCAGTCGGTTCTCCTACTCGCACCGGGTTCATGATCCCCCGAGGGGACACATTCAATCGCCGACCCGTGTGAGGCGTAATCATCGCCTGGGCTTGCAACCCGACAGGATGCTTACGCATGCCCATTTCGATTAACCAGGGGGAAGTTCCCGCGTCTCATCTCACGCGCAGGATTGCGGTGGAGAATAAATCCTCCATGTACGAGTTGTCCCTGTGCTTCAGTTGTAGAATCCGGTTCGGATGACGGCTTCAGATATGAGCACAGACCCCGGATCGCTTTCGCATAGTCAGAGAACAGTGTGTAGGCAAGTTCATTCCGTTACTGTACTGCGTCGCTGCTGATGTTACACTGTCAACCTTTATGGGCTGAAGTGGTGGTGTGAGATCCGCCAAATCGGTGGAAGGACCGTGAAGCGATCACGGAAGTTGACAGGTGAAGGTGAAGGTGAAAATGAAGCCGCGACGGTGGTCACGTGGTGAGCTGTTCAAGATGCCTGCTGCAACAGAAGCGAAGTTGCCTCCAAGGTTCTCTCGGTGTGCTTCCCTACCCTCCACCGTTGGGTCGTTGGGTCCCCTCCTTGCTCAGAAGCATCCTTGCAACGGTAAGCACAAGTCCTCAATTCACTCTTGGAGCGACTCTTTACCACGATAATAACTAAAGATACGACGTGTCCAGAAAGAGAAGTCTGCTGTGAGGCTTGATAAACACAATTGGGTGTTTCTTATGACTAAATTTTCCTCTGCATGATTACTGATTGACGCCTCCCATCTGCCAAGAGGTCTCTACCTACGCTTCTACCAGCAACACAATGGTTACACTTCTAAATTCCCCTCTCCTCGGCAGTTACTGGCCAATTTTCGCTCGATACCACGTCATCCTCGCTTGATCAACACAGCCTCCCCAGCTCCAACCCAGACTTTCCTCCGTTGCACCTTCTCATACTCCGCAATGCCAACGATTTCGCCCTGCGTATTCACAGACTGACCCGCCAGCGTGATGTTGGCGGCCACGTCCACGCCTGGATTGGTCAATCTCATCACCTTGGCATTTTCCCAGCCGGCCGCCGGCAACTCAAGCGCCGTGTATGGCCGCTGGGCCGCAGGGGAGGTGGAGTTCCACACCGACAGGCTGACCGCGACGAGCGACTCCAACTGGCCGTTGTCATAAACAGCGTAGGCGCCGAAGTCGGTGGTGTTGACCAGCACCTCGGTCTGCTTGTTGCCGCCGGAGAAAACGTGGGCATTGAACAGGGCAGCTTAATAGATGGGGAACACAGTGGGTGCCGTCTCGTTGAAAGTCACAGGCAGCCAGCTGGCGTAGGGGTATCGCGTGCCCATGTGGAAATGCACGCGTTCCACCCGCAGCGACGAGAGGTACAGCACGTAATCGACCGCCCAGACCGCCGCCGCCATTACGTCCGAGATGCCCCGCGCGCCCTGGCATGATATTGAATTGGTCTCGCCCAAGACATACGGAATGTCTGAGGCCGCGGTAACGTTGCCCAGGTAGTCGTGATACCACACCCGCGACAACACATTTGTCCGGTCGAAGATCGTCGTCGCGATCGTGGGGCCCACCCCGGTGTAGTCACAGGCTGCACCCATGTACTAAGATCCCGATGGTCAGTTAACATTTTCAACCCAAGTATAAGGGACAGCTCACCTCATGGTCTGCCACGCTCTTCGCCTTATCCGCACGCATCCCGTCCGCTTCGGCATTCGCCACGTTCCAGTCCGTTGCCGCCGTGACATGGCGCGGAGCTTCAAAAGCACATCCCTGGAACAGCTGATCCGCATCATGTTGGGTGAGATTCTTGCTGATAGCCGATGCATACTCGTTCCATTGATCGACGTAGTCTTGGATTGTCCAGTTCGCCGGTCGTCGTTGGCCTCTGGCCCATGCTGCATATGCCGCCCCCACGTCAATCAATTAGTGAAGTGAATCACGGCGTTACACAATCGAAAGAAGAAGAAACAGAACTGTGGATGGGGAAAGAGTTCAAACGCACAATCGACCTCATTACCAATCTCGAATCCGTAAAGCGCATCCCCAATGGCGTGATAGGCAGCGTGAGCCTCGAGAACACACTGCGCCAATCCATCCCCCACATCAAACAGGGTTTCGTTCTCAGCATTGAAAAAGTTCAGTCCTGAAAGTCTTCCACATCAGCATTCTTCACCCTCCATCTGCATTCCGGTGGGGCGATGCTACCAAAGATATACTTAGAGCCAGCGGGGAATTGCCGAAAGGACTGCAGAAACGCCGGGCCAAAGTACGAGTGACGCGGCTGGCTGGAGGCAATGGAATCAAACGGATCAATCAACGCCTCTGTCTGGTCAGGATAGTAAACCGCCGAGTTCTGCGTACTTCCGCCCACCCGGAAGATGGGAGCCTTGCCAGCAATATCTTTGAGGTTTTGAATGACCTGGCGCGAGAACAGGTTGGGATGTCTGTCGAAGCGATCCAGCTAAGAGTTAGTCTCATGCTTGCTCACTCCACCTTTCTGAGTTGCAAAGGGGGCTTACGTATCATTCCCAGCGTAGTCCACAATATAGCAGAATTCAATGGAGAAGGAATGGTAGTCAGCATCATGCACGGGCTTCTCAGGGCGAGGAGACGAGGCAGGAGCCAGCGAAACTGTACTGGTCACATTGTACACCGTAGAAGCGATTGCCCAGCCTCCCAGGTGCAGGAGATTACACAGCGTGAGTAACAGATATAGAGAGAAGGCCTTCATAGTGAAGATTGTAGATAGGCGATAAGAGACACACGGCAGACAACAATAGTTTTGTCCCGACGAAGCATCGCATGCATCTGCGTATTTGTGTATCTGCGTATGATGGCCCTGCGTTCACTCGGTTGATCTCGTCCCGAGTGCAAACTCCAGTCGTTCTCTCAGCCGGCGGTTTTTCCTCCAATAACACCCCCCGTCCAGCTCCAAGCACAAGCCGAACCACATGATGGTCTGCAATGCTTGATCACCCGCATTGTCGGCGTATGAAGATTATGTGAGAGTTGGAGGACTCGATAGCCGATGCCTGTCACGGTTGTGCCTAATGCCGACAATGACGCACGTGGGGTGTATTGTGGACGAGGCAGTCTGTAGATCAGTCCTCTTCTGACACGGAAGGCCTAGAGCATTGAATCTGAACATGGAGTCTGTGAAAGAGCCGTTCAGCTCATACAAGGTGTTCGTCAGCCTCTCTGTCTGGAAACAGTGGTGGGGGGTGCTTGCTTGATTGATGAAGGAAAAGCGATCAAGATGGTGGAGGTAAAAACACGAGGAGAGTCACGTGGCGTACAGCGCAGTACGTATCCATATCAGAGACCTCAAGTTTGTACTTTTCGAATTAGCCACTATTCGTCCAATACCAATATACAAATCAGAAATGTAATTGTCTTTGCTGTAGTATACTTCTGACTAACTTTCTTTCAGATAGACCAGAATCCGTCCGTCTTCTTCACACTCCCCAGGCGCCCGTCACAACAGGAGGCTTACCCGAACGCTCAATCGAGCAACTGCCGAGTAAAATTCCCTTCAGGATCCCACTCTCGTTTTAAGCGCCGCAACTTCTCGAGTCGCGCTTCCCCGCGGTACCGTCTCTCGATGGGCCCAGTCCGGGTCCCATTTTGGAAGTCCACAAACCGCGACTCGTCCGGCCCACGCATGATGGCGATGCACTGTTCATTGTAGCTGTCCACCTTACCGCGTTTGGCCGCGTCTGTATGCCAGATCAAATTGTTCCTAGTATCAACCCGGCAAAGTCAGCATTCTCACTCAAGAGTCACCAGAGAGGAGACGCGTACTGCCAGTAGCGAATATCATGCAGCGATTGAGCCGAATCCACATCAGGCGCCTTGACAGGCCTTGCATCCCATTGGAAATTGAACGCAGTATTGATTGCATCCGGGCACTCATCCACCATTCTCTTCCACACTGCAGTCGTCTTTGCAAAAGCATCAACATTGAACTCGTGCAGGCCCACCACGCCAAATTGCTTTAAGTCACCCTTTGCGCACAGGATCTCTCGCGCATCACTTGCATTCTGGATCGGCAACTCCCCTCCGGTCACCATCACTGGCTGCAGCTCGTACAGCGGTCCGAAGGGGATATGGGGATCCTCGTCACCCGTGTAACGCGCCGAAATAACCAGCGACGGGACGCGAGCCGGCGGAGGGGCCATGATCATCATCAAGCCAGCCGTCGCATGCTGTCCGTCCGCCATGAGTGGCTTCATCACGCGAGCGACCTCCGCCGCGCGATCCAGCGGGAATACAAATGCTCCAACCCATATGAGGCCTGCCTGCTTTCGCAGCAAAGAGAGTGGATGGGCACGAACGGTCAGCTGGGTTACTAATCCGAAGAACTGGCCGGCACCGCGTAACGCCCACAAAAGATCCGGATTTTCGGTTTCCGTTACCTCCACTAGTGTTCCGCCATCTGTAGCGGTGATGACCCGCGCCGAAATGATCTGATCAGAGCCGAAACCAGTGATGGAGGAGGTGATGGACGCTCCTCCGCCGAGGAAGTACGGTATCGCGCCGACGGTGTTGCCGTTTCCGAGAGCTAGATAGAATCCACGTCAGCATCAGCACTGAGTGAGAGAAACGCCTAGGGAAAAAAGGCATTGTAACCGAGTAGGGTACCTGTAAATAGCCCTGCTTCCGCGAGGCGCAGGCCCACCTGTTTGGACAGAACCCCACCAACTAATGTGGCTGTTCTTGCTGCTTCATCTACCGAAACATGAGCGTAATTACTCAGATCAATGATGACGCCACCCTCGCCGATCGTAGACCAAGCACTGTGGCCTCCGCAAGTAGGTACAAACGGGATGGAGGAACGAAGCGCCCATTGAACCTGCACCAACATCAGCACATATTGCCGAAGGGTCGGGCGTCTTGCTACCGAGGGCTTACAGTTCTGAAACAGTCTTCTTCGGTGCTTGGCAGAATAATCGCAGTCGGGGTTTGATGGTCAATATCAGTCCAGCGCCTCAGACGTTGGCAGAACTCAAAGGACTCGGGGTCTTGCAGAATCTTGCAGTGTGGTGCAACCGTAGCCTGCAGAGCTGGAAGCTGGGCCGAAACATGAGCGGACATGATTGAGAAGATGGTTGAGAGAAGAAAGTGCAAAAAAATGGGGCATGGACGAAATCAAGTGAGAAGGCTACAACCGGCTTATGTATTCGAGGTGGGGTTGACGTGTTCAGGCGAACCGTAAGATGTAGTAAGCTGACCCCCCTATAGTACTTGCTTTGTATAGCTTCAAGTGGGTCTTATCTCATACTGCTGATAGCGTCGTCCAATACTTGAGAACCGAAATCGAGGCGTAGAATCGAAGGCGAGAGAGTAGCTGCTTCATATACCCAATGGCAGGACACAGATTATAGGAATTGCGAGATGATGATCCGTGATACTGTGACCGAGCTGTAGTGATCGTTTGCTGCGCACTGAACCGAATAGATGATCAAAGGAGGCTTCGCTGGTGATAAATCACCGTCCCTATCGATCAGTCGCACCTGTTAGCAAATTAGATTGACTCCGGACAAAGTCTTCCTTATATCAATGTAAGAATTGAGAAGGTGGAGATCTGAACCAACCACTACCAAAATTATTCCCTTAAGTCAATTTGCCCTGGCACAAGGAGAATTCGAAGCAACTTGCCTGTAGAAAATGCAGCCATCAGCTTACTGCGCAGACTCAGAAGCAGCAGCCTTCGGTTTGGTCTCGAATGGTAAACCTTCTTGCAGCTGCATGCTTGACTCCGTCACGTCTTCCTGCGCGAGCAAATCTCGTAGCACAGCAAGCCGGCATTTGGAGACTGTGAGACTCTGTCAAGGAGGCTTGAACGAGTAATGAGGGACCATGTTCGTAATAGGCGTTTCGAGTTTTGTAGTTCAGGACAAGCAACCGTGAGGACGCCACAAAAATAGAAGCAAAAAACTGATCAAGCTGGTCAAAAATATATTGTCGCAGCTTAGCGTGGAGACCATGTCCTGCAGACAGTGCCAGGAACATTCATCGAAAAAATAAGCATGACTAGATAATACACATTTGCAACGAGCCATAAATTTAGTCGTGATGGCAACAAAGACGTGATTTCTGAGAACTGCCAAGTGCAAGTTGTATGACCCCAGCCCTGTTCGACGATAATACAAAGGCGGTATAGAGCACAAAGTTCTGCCAGGTGGGCACGGTGGGTCTTTCCCCGACAGCTCGCATTCCCGAGAATGCACCGCACCGCCTTCCCGGCAGGGAAACCAAAACAAGACATATGTTTCACAGTCGGTATTCATCTGGCAACCAGCAGGGCCTGTGGCGTACTTGGGAACACACTGGCTGATCGTAGAGGCAAACGCCCCAGGTCCTGCGTTCAAATCCCGGCCTTGGCACTTCCAGACGCTGGCTCTACCAATTTCGGGATTCACCGGTATGAAAACACCCGGGGGGTTTTCGTAGCCCGCGATGGCGGGCGAGCTTTTTTTTTTTGGTGATTACTTCTAGAATTTATCTTATTTTATTTTATCTAGAAAGCAATGGCTGGCATACTGGTGTTGACTAAATGGAACCTTTTGAAAACAGCTCTGCTAAGATGGATGAGTGGTGTTCATCAGGTCAAGTTGGAGGAATTGGTTTCGGCAGCCTGGTCTCCCTGAGGCAGATGGCTGTGTTGATGTCCACATCATGTAGGTCTTCTACCTCTGTAACTGCCTCGCTTAGGTCTTCCTCATGATCAAGGTCGACACACGACGTTTCGTTGTAGACCCTTCTATGGATTGGTCGGGGTGAGTTGCTGGGGATCCTGGAGCTGTCAGAGCCCCGTATGCGTCCTCGCCTTTTAAGAACAGCCCTCACAAGTGCAATGCCGCTCGGTACATTGATCGAGATAACGGAGATAGCACTTTCGAGGACAGCCCAGTGAGCGTACTCCATCGTTGCACAGATTAACTTGGCGGATCCACACGGATCGCCTTGGGCTATCACGACGAGACGTATGATAGACATCACGACAACCGAGTAGGCCATGAAGAAGGTAATGAGGACGACAAGGCGGCGACGGAAACTTCTTTTGAGGCAGATGATAAGCGGGACTGGGAGGAGGAGAACATAGAGGTCTATCAGGCAAGAGAGGCTCGCTGTCGATACGTACCAGGGGTAGAGCTGAAAACAGGTGCCCGGCAGCGTGGGATCCCATGCTTTTGCAATCGGTCGACACTGGAACACTGTACTTATCCAGACGGATACAAGCCAGCCCGCGATGAGAGAGCCCGCGACCCACAGGAGAATCCGGAAGACGCGATTATTCAGGCCGAAAACGCGGGCGTAGAAGAGAATGGCGGACAGTTTAGTGAAGCAGATAGCCCCGTTGAAGAAGAACAAAGACGTGAAGAGGTACGGAAACCCGACGCTGGGGTAGTAACGGAGGCCGATTCTGAGCCATAGGATTATGAGGGATAGGTAAGGCACTTCGGACAGCTGTGCGCAATATATAAATTAATTGGTCTGCGTTGGACCATATGCCTGGACCTCATACCAGAGAGAGGATGGCGAAATGATCATCCCACCACCACTGTGGGTGTTCGGCGATGGATTTGCTCGCTATTCGAACGATGGTAGACAATGTCATGAGCACGATGAAGACAATATTGAGCATGAGAAGCCTTGGTCTGGCGTTGGATGAACAAAGTGATAAATCTGCCATTATTGTAATTTGCATGCAGGATGAAACTGACTCCGACCAAAGTCATGCCAGCTGGTAAGCTGACCATCTTATAATAGACGGCCTAATTGAGTACGAAGCTAGTGTCTACAATTTGCAGCACAGCCGCACGGGGCCCGGGTGCAATCCTGCAGCGGTCTGTGTAGCGTCTTCATGGAGTGCCCGGATAGTGACGGTCGCATCGGAGCATATATGAGCTGAGGAACATCCCTGATCCCGCAGGTCTTGAAGCTCCCGAATCTGACCTTGTGCGACTGGGTAGAAAGCCCAATTGACTGCGAACCTATCAAGGCAGTCATCTTTGGTGCTTGTGCCCACATGCTGAGGATGAGTCCACCGCCGTTGCACGAGCTTGCTAAAGGCAGCTGTATCCAGATAATATCAAGTTATTGTCCCCTTTTGGCCCCTTTGCATTGTCAACTCACGATGCTTAATCCTCAATCCGAGCTGCCTTTAAAATTGCATGGTCAGATCCCTAGGGCTGTGTAAAATAGCGGAGAGTCCTCTGACGTCGAATCACTTTGATCAAAAACCTCCTCGTCCTCCCCCCTGAGTCCTCGCCACCACTCACTTTGCCGCACAAGTTCTCCATCTTCACCGCCCAGCAGTGCCCAATACTTCTTCAAAAACCAGACTTTGGCCTCCCAACTGCGGAAATCCCACGGTGTGCCTGTTGGATGACGTCCAACCGAGTCTTGTCTGTCCCGTTTCCCCATACCGGCGCCTCCCCAGCAGACCAAGCCGGAAATTATATCATCCATGAACTCATCCTCATCCAGATCAGCCTGACGGAGCAATAGATTTCTTCGCAACGTTGGGAAAGGCAGAATGTCAATATAAGGGTGGTGCTCAATCATGATCTGTTCACGATTTGGCCGCAGGTCCGGTTTCAGGGTCTTGAATATTCTTTGTACAGTGCCGACCATGTTTGCCTTAACCAGGTCATCCGCGGAGGACGCGCTGGGCCGGTAGAACGGCGAGAACGACTCATCGGCACAAAGCATTGATTCGTTGACACCGATCTGTATTCCAAGAGTGTACAGTGCTGTCACGGTGCAGACTGGGTCAATGCGGATGTGGTTAGCATATGGATCCGCAGCTGGCGCACCGGCTTCAAGAGTGACGATACGAATCTCGCCAGAGCGAAACGAATAGGGGCTTTGGGTCTGAACACGGATGTGAGATTTGGGGCAGCGGCATTTCACGGCGATGATGCAGTTTGAAGCACCGGTGTTATCGCCATGATTGTCTGGGACGAGAAAGGACGGTTTGGATTGAGATTCAGTGCCCACTATGCTCAATGCTGATGCAGGCTTGTCTGATTGCGGGACACTAGTGGTGAAATCCCTTAAGCTGGGAGCAGACGAGAGATCGTCGGAAAGTGAAGCCTCTACAGAAGCATCCCAGATGCTAGGTACAGACAGATTGTCCGACAATGGTGCATAGATCGTGGGGTCGAACTCCGACAGCGATGATGAGGTACAATCGAGGTTAGTGACATATGTTGAAGGTTCCCACAAGGGAAGAGCTGCTGAAAAGTCTTCCAGTGAGGGGCATGGGTCTCTATAGAACACCGCAGATGGAAAAGGAACTGGTATTCTCGGGGCTTCAGAGGCCGGAATTCCATTTGCAGCGATGTGGGGCAGAAAGGTCGAAGGTCCATGCGCTACGGCCGCTTCCGAGGCGTCAATCTCCACAGCTGCTGTTCTTTCAACCGCATGATTCTGCGCAGCCGACGCTGCGAGTGCCTCGAGGTTCTCTAGGCGTTTGCGAAGCTTTTCTCCTGAAAGAGAAACAGCAAATCAGTACTGACAAGATCCAGGGTTTGTGTATAATCAGACACCAGGCGCCAAAGTCAGCAGTGATGTGCGCTTACTGTACTTCTTCTGAGCTTGAATGTTCTGTTGCCTCCTCTTCTCTGGGTCGCGGCGGACGGGCTTCCGTTTCGCACTTCCGGTACTGTCAGTGGGCTCTGTGGAACCCCGGGTCTGCATCGGCATTGCGTATGTAATTAATCAGGGGCAGTCCTTGGAAGCGAGAGTATGAGGGGTTATCGTAGGGCGCTTGTTGTGAAATCGTCAGACGAGGTCTGAAGAAGCGGCGGCCAGACCATGGCTGATGTCAGCCATATCGCGCCTTTCCCGAATAATGCTAGTGCCAATTCCCCCCTCTATACATGTCCCTCACCCAATTCCAGTTATTCCTCAATCCTATTCTATAACGCGCAATTACACTCCGCTGGCACATTCCTCTTTCCATTTATTTTAGCCACTCTTGATCATGTAGCCTGTTCTGTCACTCAATACTGGGATGGTGATATCCTTTCTGCAGCCATGCGAGCAGCTTCCACGGCTGACGTCCCGACGGCCAATTGGCCATGACCTGCAATGGGACCGACCGACTCGTCCACAGTTCAATTTATCGAGACAAATCGCCAGAACGTGCCTGTCATAGCTTGAAACCCCGGTTCAAGCAAGCTGAGGCTCAGCTTATCTTTTCCTAAAATGGAGCTTTTAACACACTGCCCCACCCGGCGCTCGAATGAACGCACTCCTCTGAGAACGATAGCCCATTAAAACCGAGCGCTTGAACATCGCACTACACGCTAGGCTTCATTCGAGATTACGAGATGAACTCTCTCAGAAAGATTCAATTGGATGACCAAAATCGAAGAAATAATTTTGGCTTCTGTGCTAACTAATTTCCGGTACGTAAGAAGTACATTCATCGAAGCAAAAAGCTCATCCCCATATCGCTTGAAGGTCAACATCACTCACTGCCTTTGGTCGAAGGCAGGTGGATAGTAACCGCCATAATGAAGGTCCTCATCCGGAGTTGTGCGAAATGATGTCAACTGTTACATGTCCACACCGCTGGAAGAGTCCTCGTTGGTGACACCACCAGACGAGGTCAGAGTTGAAGCCCAAGTGGCGCTGGAGTCATGGCTTGCGGTAACGTTGATGCCAAGGGTAATCCAAGCCAAAATGCCATCCTCGATCGAATCACCCAACAAAGCATACTCAAAGAACGGGTCGGAGTCACTATCCTCAGTCTCAACTATGACCACGTGATCATCCGCATTCTCGGTGATAGCCACCGTGCTGGTGTTGTAGGGATAGGTAGCCTCAACCTGCGAGATCAGATCTTGGTCGAAAAACAACTGCCCGACGTGGGGAATGTGTCCCCCAGTCAGCGTGTTGTTGGGAAGGACCTGAGCGCCCACGTGGGCGATGACATGAACGTGAGTCGCGCGGCCTGAATAGTGTCCGGGAAAAACAGTCTTGAATCCAGCAACACCGTCCGCGTCGGTCTTCTGAATACCGCGGAGGAAAGTCTTGTCGAGGTTGGAGGCGTCGTTGCCGTTGCCGTTCATGCTGCTCTGGACTCCAGAGTAGATACCGGTAGAGTTGCAGTTCCAGACGTCCCAGTAGAGATCCTGGATGGGCTCGCAGGTGTTGATGTCGATGAATTGACCGTCCATGATGATGGGGACGCCGGCTTCTCCATCGGAGATGTCGTGGCGGATAAGCTCACCCTTCACCCAGAAGGGACCGACTTCACCCTCCGGAGCGAGGATGCAGACTGGGTCTTTCGAAAACAGCTCTGACTCAGAAGTGTTGGGCGTCACTTGGAGGGAGGAGTGGTGCGAAGTGTTCACCACCTTCTCCGTATCGCGGAGACCGAGGGAGCGCTTCTTGTACTTTTCGAACAAGGCTGCGCGACGGGAAGCAGCTCGTTCATGCACGCCTCGCTTCTCGAGCTGTCCAGCGCATTGGCTTAGGCTCCGGTGGGCATTGTGCAGGAACGCACGCTTGGAGACATCGGTGAAAGAGCTAGGCTCATGAGCACCAGGATGAGCCATGGCAAATCCGGCCAGCGAGAGTGCAATGGCTCGTTTGAGCTGGAGAATCTGCATTTTGAATTGATTGAGACGAAGGGGTTCGAAGGACGATCAGAGTGTGGAATGGTTGCTGGAATTGAATCCCTCGAAGACCATGGACGTGACCTTTATATCGGACTCCGTGATCTAGGACTCCTGCAATCATGGATTCCAGTGTCCATGCAATGGACTTCACTGTCCGTCTTGTTGCTGCAGTACTCAATGCCGCTCCGCGGACCCCATGAACGCGTCATCGTCGTCGTGGGCAATCTTGGCTGGTTGTTCTGGGTATGCTCTCACTGGGATGTAGCAGAACAGATAAAACCGATGAGAACAATATCAGTTGCAGGTCAGGGAGGCCCTGGCTGACGAAATGGGGGACTGTGATTGATGGAGACATGTTAATCGAGAATTCGAGATGAAGCATCTGGGCGGGATGTGGATCCGGTGTCGGACTTGGCTCTTGGCAGCTTCCGCGTCTCGGGCCCTTTCCTCCACGATCGACACTTCCGCCTACCCTCTACAACTAGGCTGCATCCATGGATGCTTTCCCCCGCGTCGATCCCAGCTTGAAACCCTTGCAAGTATCGGCGCAAGCAATGCCGCTGAGTCATCCGCTTCCAAATCCAGTCAAGTCGACTTTTTTTAGTATACCTTCGTCCCTCCCCCGCGGTCCAGGCAACACACAACTCCTGTCGGAATTGAGGTGCCGATGACTGAGCAACCCGGAGTCATTCAGGGAATCTGTGTCGCCAGGATCAAAAACGTTGCAGTGGATCCATCAGATCCCTGGTTTGCTAATGATATCCCGCTAGCATGAGTGGTCAATCTTCGTCTCAACGTGCTGGTGGTCGGGTCCGAAGTGCTTGTGATTTGTGCAGGCAGAGAAAGGTTACTAATTGCGTTCATCTTGTGGTTACTCTGCATCAAGCGGATGTGGCATTAGCGCAATCAGGTGCTGACCCTAGGGTGTTTTAGATTCGCTGCGATAACGTCCAGCCTAGCTGTGAGACGTGTTGTCTTGCCGGCGTGCCGTGCACCTTCACAGATCAACCTGACCTGTCCCGAAAAAGTCTTCGAGAGTAAGTACTGGCGCCAGCTCTATCTTCCAGCACTAATCGATATGGCAGTCAGCTCCAGGATGCCAGAGCGAGAATACGTGACCTAGAAGCGCAATTGGCCGTCCACCGGTCTTCGCCCCCCACGGACTGCAGCGAGCGAAGTAACTCCGATGACATCTCAGAGAGCCCTTGGCTTTGCTTGATGACTCTGGACCACCTTCCAGACAGCTACGATCTAGACGCTTCTCTGGGAACATTTCAAGGAGAAATTGCTCATTGCGGAGTGGGGAAAGCCGGCTCCGTTCAACGATCGTCGTTCTTCTCTACGGTCTATGAGAAGACCGGCTCTTCAATCGATCTCGACCATTTCTTTACCCAAGCGGCACAGTCTCTCAAATTTCAGGGTCTCCAGGAACGGACAGGTCCGAAACGGTCACTTTCACCGAAATGGCCTCCCACGCCTCTGGTCCAACACTCCATAAATCACTATTCCAGGAGCGGGCTCTATTCTATCTTTCCAGTTGCAAATGCTGATGCGTTGAGCAAATTGATTCAGGAGGGTATACTGGATCACCAAGATGGCACCGTTCCCGCAGCTAAGCTAGCATGTCTTTTTGCATTCACTGCGATGATGAGTGTAATGCATCGGCTCGATCCGGCTTTCGTCGATGCTGAACCTGATGCTTACATCCAGGCTGCATTGTGTCTCGTGCCCAGAGTCCTGATGGAGAAGCCCACAATTAGGAGCCTGGAGGCTATTGTCTTGATCGTATGCCACCTGGAGTCTTCAAGAGGAATGCAGCTGACTTGCGCAGATGACTTACGTGATGCCAGGTGCTCAAGTTGAACAAGGTCAAATGCTACTATCTCTAGCTACTCGAATGATTTTGAGCCTCGGCGGTCATCGATATTCCGTCATCCACGAACCAGAAGGGAGACACCTCCGGGCTCTCTTCTGGTTCTGCTACGGTGCAGATAAGAATATGGTCATTCGCTACAACTGCTCGCCGCATTTCATCGACGTGGATTGCGAACTGCAGATCCCGGACAACTATGTCTTGTCATCCTCCGACCACCAATTCTTCTCGCGGCCACTTTCAAACGACGAACTCCTCTTTCCCTCGGACATCCGACTCTCCCTCCTCAAATCCAAGGTTTATCATCTGCTCTACTCCGACCATGCTCGAGCTCAGCCTGAGGCGCGTCGCCTGCAATACATCCGCGAACTGGATCAGGAGCTCACCGACCTCAAGGCCACATTCCCGGTCAGCTGCTGGCCGGACCTCTTCGCCACGGAGACAGCACCCAACTATACCTTCCACGACCTGAGTCTGCGGGGAGTATGCCTCCATCTGGAGTTCTATTTTCTTGTTGGCAAGATCCACGGGGCGAGCGGCACTGTCGGCAGCAGCAGGAGTAATCCCAGCTGGTCGATTCTGCCATCCAGTGCCGAGCTCTTCCATCAAGAATCCCGGTCAATTCTTGTCTACATTTGTCGGACGCGGGAGTTTCTCAATTGGCATACTTTCTGGTACGTTGCGTGCTCCCATCCTCGCTCTTTTGTCTGTATATACCCTTACTCCTTACTGACGTTGAATGACCAAGGATCTACGCTCAGTTCCTCCTTACCGGCGTCTTCTCGCTCTTCAAATTCCTCATCACCTACCCCACGGCGCCGTCACACGCGAACGATATCCAACTGCTGCAAACCGTGGTGGATATTTTTGTAGGATTGGACAAGAAAGAGTCGTCAGGCATAAGGGGGCGCTTTCCGCCGTTCTATTTCACCGTGTGCCTGGTCAAGCGGTTGATGTATCTTGCAAGACAGGCTGCCGCGAGGGCTGCCGTGTGACATTAGTCACTCAACGTAGTTACTAGCAACAAAGACCTCCATATAGAATAATCAACGAAACCATCGCCACGCCACTCCCTAATAATTTCCCTTCAACTCCCGAGCCAACTCCCTATACGACCCCGACCGAATGTCCTCCAACACCCCCGGACCGGAAGGCACCCACCCCAGCACCCTCCTGGCCTTGTCCCCGGACGCGCGATTCTCCGTCCCCAAGAACCTCGCCACCATCTCGCCCAGCTTCTCCCTGGCCTCCGCCTCCGTCAAATCCACCACCCGCACCCCCAGCACCTCCGCCAACGCCCCAAACATCTCGGAAAACGTCACCCTCGTCTCGGCACTCGCATTAAACGTCTCCCCGGCCCCACCCCTCCCGATCGCCAACAAGAATAAACTAGCAGCATCATCCACATGCACCGTCGTCGTACACTTCCCCCCTCCGCCCACCATCACAAACGACCCCGTCACGTGCGCCTGCCGCATAAACGCCCCCAGCCCACTCCCGCCCCGCCCGTACACAAACGGCGCCAGCCGCACACTCATCGCCTTGAACCCGTGCCGCTCCCCCAGCGCAAGCACATACGCGTCCGTCTTCGAGCGCGTGTTGATCGGGTTCGCGTCCACCGGCGACGTTTCGTCGGTCTCCTGCCCCTCCGGGTGCGGCGCGTACAGCAGCGTTCCACTCGCCAGGGCGAGGGGCTTTCCGCTCCCAGATAACCCGGCGGCGATGGCGTCCAGCGCGGCCATGTCCTCTGGGAGGCCGAGCTCGTCGTAGGAGGCGCTTTGCCCGAAGGTGTAGGCGGTCGCGAGGCAGATCACGGCGTCCGCGGAGCGCGATTCCGTCGTGATGGTGGAGTGAGAGCGCAGGTCGCCGCGGATGGGGGTCGCGCCGTGGGAGGTGAGGTGCGTGTCTGTTTGTGGGGTGCGCGAGAGTGCCCGGATGGTCGTGAAGTTGTGGGGGGGCTGCGTGGCTTGCTGGAGGAGTTGGGTGCCGATGTAGCCGCTGCCGCCGAGGAGGAAGAGGGTTTTTTGTGAAGGCATTTTCGGGGGTTTGGGGGGGTGTGGTTGTTTGGCGGTGTCGTTGGGTTGGGTTGTGTTATGTTGTGTTTGAAGATTGGTGGTGGTTGTATAGTAATTGCCGTTTTGCTTTGGACGTAGTCTTTGTTTGAGGATTGGTAGTGGTGGTGGTGATGTTCCTAGGTTGGATAGATTAGACTGAACGCAATCCTGAGGAGATACACAGGCTTATATACCTCATTGCATAGCCAGTATACTTTGTGAATAGTGGCGCAGTGGTGGAGCGGGCAGTGGAGCGGGCAGTGGAGCATTGGAGCTGAGAAAAATGACCAGCGGGGTTAGCCGGCGATTAGAAGCAGCAAACCACCGTCGGATGTTGGGAGCTGCTCACTGTTTGGGGGCCGCGTCTGAAACGGAAGCGGGTTTGGCTAGTAGGCACACACCATCTCCCCGTCGGAGTCTGCAGCTGCAGCCCCCCGGGTCGGAGTTATTCCCCTCGGTCCCACAACAGCCTGGACTACGTATGTGTGTCTTGCATTGCCAATTCATCTGCCAATTGCCTAGACTTCACAATTCTCGGAAATAGGCGGGGATAATGATTTGCTACTGCACTACGTACTAGTCATGCAAATTCTTTCATCTAGACTACTCCAGAACTCTCATTACTATCTCCTAAGTAGAAACAAATGTCATAGCTCATTACCCCATGTTGCTCCTCCACATATGACTGACTACTCCCTCCACTTAGAACAACCACGCCACAAACTTCCGATAGAACCAACTCGCCCCTTGGTGCTGTTCCTCCATCATCGCCTTCCGCCTCAAATACTCCCGCTCCTCCGCATCCACCTGATCCTTCCCGCTCCACAGATCCGCCTGGTACGGATCCACCCCGGAGCATCGCGTCACTAGCTTGTACCCGCCGATCAGGCACAGATACAGCGGGATGCCCAGGTACGCCGTGATGAAGGTCTTGTAGTTGAAGTTACCCCACTTCTTGTTGTGCGTGAACACGTCGAAGCTCTTGGTCAGGCAGATCAGGATGCAAAACGCTAACGCGGCGTAGGACCCATACACCCCGAATGGAGCGCGGTACGCCAGGTCGCTGACAGGCACGTTCTGGGCCTTGCGCGCCCGCACGAAGTAAATGTGCGTGATCAGCAGCGAGACCCAGGTCAACAGTCCGAAAATCGTGACGAGGTCGACGAAGTAGCCGAACACTACTTTGGAGTCGGAGGAAACGTTCATGTACGCGATGCACGCGATTGCCGCGCACACCCCCAGTGCGTAGATCGGCACACCGCGCCGGTCGGTCTTGGCCAGAAACTTAGGGGCCTTGTTCTCCTTGGCTAGCCCGTAGATGGTACGGGTAGCGATGTAGAGATCCGAGTTGGCAGCGGAGAAGACAAACAGCAAGATACAGGCGTTGAGAATGTGCGGGAGGACAGGAATCCCGGCGAGCACGATGGCAACCACAAACGGCGACGCGGCGGCCGAGGAGGATTGCTTCGTGGCGAAGATGAGCTCGTCCGAGTCGTACGGGACCAAAGTGCCGACGAGCAGCACGCTGAGAATGTAGAACACCACGATGCGGTAGAAGGTCAGTTTGATGGCCTTGGGGATGGTCTTGCGGGGATTCTCCGCTTCGCCAACCGTCACACCTACCAGTTCGGTGCCCAGATAGGCGAACGTGGCAGAGACCATGGTCGCCCAGAAGGCGTAAAACCGACCGGCTGGTCCGTCGTCAATGTAGGTGTTGAATGCACCGGGGTTCTTCCAGTAGCGGAACCCTTTGCGGTCGTGGTCCGGGCCGCCCCCGAGCATGAGGATGAAAGACAGCAGTATCAACCCGAGAATCACAACAACCTTAAAGGACGAGAGCCAGAACTCGAACTCGCCAAAGAAGCGCACTCCGAAGTAGTTGATCGAGACGATCAAAACGAGGAATATGGTGATCCATACGCCCGGATTGACTCGTTCTTTGTCGATCCAGTAGGATATGACAAGTGCGCCTGCGGTGAGTTGGTTGGGGGTGACGATGATGTATTTGAACCAGTACCTGCTTGCTGTCAGTGCAACGGACACAGGTAGAAATTAAACTCAACGTACGTATAGCCCATAGCAAAGCCCAGTGCCGGGTCGCAGAATCGAACAGCATAACCAGTAAAGCCCGAAGACAACGGCAGCCAGGCAGCCATCTCTCCCAGACCACACATGACCATGTAGACAACAAGACCGACAATAGAGTAAGAGATGAGGATAGAGGCCGGCTAGATGCGCGTCAGATGTTAATCTGTGATATTCGGAGCAAGCAGTCACCTACACCAGCTCTGAGGAAAATGTCAGCTCACTCTCTGCACACAGCTTTCGGGAAAGAACTTACTTTGCAAGAGCAGATCCTGTTCCGATGATGAGACCTGTTCCAATCGCCCCGCCGATCGCTAGAGACCCCGGATTAGTTTCCCAATGGCATGTGCAGCTGGACAGAACAGGGTCGTACCGATCATGGTGATGTGGCGGGCCTTGAGAGCACGATGGAGCTCATTGTCACCAGGAGCTTGGATTGTGCTCTCTTCCGCTGTGAGTACATCGGTCGCATAGCCCTCTTTGAAGAGGGGCTCCTCTCTGTAGCCCATCTGAGGAGATAGCTGCAGTGTAGACCGTGAGTTTGTGTGATAGTCTTTAACAGGAGGAAGAAACGAGAGGTTGAAAAGAATGAGAAAAGAAGAAAGAGAGAGATGGAGAAGGTCGAGCAGGGGGGGGAAGGTGAGAAAAAGAAAATAGCGCGGCGACTGTTAGGAACTAGGCTGATCTTCAGGCCGGGGGAGGTAACATTGGAAGGTGGGATATGATATGATATGACATCTGCCTGCCCGTAGTTAGCCCGTACTGGACAGCCGATGATAGGCGTCGGCCCCTGTTCCCTCTCCGCGGCTCGTCCCATCCACGAGGCACTGCACCAAAGTAAGCACTTCCTCTCTTTGCATTATCGCAACCATTCACTGGTTGGTGTGGTCTGGACCCGAGGCGGATCCCTTGGCACTTCGCATGCTGGCTGCATTTGAAGGAATTGATATATTGCCTGTTCCAGCTTCTCAGATCGTGCGCATTCCTGTACAGTCCCCGAACGTGAGGATATTTGTTGATAGATTCATGTGGAAGACTTCTCTCCTCTTCTCTCCTCCCGTCAACCACGGCTCTCTGTCAGGCTTTAATCACACCCCGCGGGGAACGGGCTTGGCAGGATTGGCATTACCCAATGCATTGCCTCTGCTTATCCCGCCAAGCACCGCTTATCGTCATCCGCCGCCGCCGCTTATCATTGTACCAGTTCACAATATCCCGCCCACACAGCCCATTACTCATCTCACCCACTAATCGTCTCCCAATTGCGCCCCTCTCCCCTCTATCAGTGTAACCTGACCAAACTCTCTGACTTCCTGGTAAATTGGAGCGATAGCCAGCTTGGCACCCAAGAAACTTTATCATGGCCAAGACACGAGGGCAAGACTTCGCACGGATTCGGTGCCTAAAACAGTAGGCGATCGTCACGGCCGCATCTATCCATACATAGCATTACTAAAGTGAACCAGAAGATGGCCATGGTGAAAACAGTGAAACATAGTGATAAAGTCATCTCGGTCAGATATCAACAGTCATAGATTGTACCAAAAGATTAATAAAAAAAATATACACCGGTTCCTGGTTCATCCCATGCTGCCAAACAAACATCATTAGTCATAGTCGTAGAATCATCGTCCCAAGCCATCAGCTAGGTATCGTCCCGGGTGGAGAAAGAAACAAATCGCAAGTGCTGACTTTTCTGTAAAGACAACTTGATCACCGACGGAACTCGAACGAATGTTGCTCCGTCCAATCCACCACCTCCCATTCCTCCGGTTCGTCTGGGTCAGTGTCGTGGGCCGTGGCCTCGTCATCAACTACAGACAGGTGGTCTCCAGTAACAGACTTAAAATCATCCTCCGACGTGGCAACCACTCCGATGTCTTCCATCTCGGCCTCCCAGTCAACGTCGAAGGCATTCCCCTTGAGAAGGAAGGATCCCAACTTCAAGGCCACATTGTAGATTTCTTTCCCTGTGGGAATGATATGCTCCGCGGGAAGCAAAAAACCATAGCTACCACGGTCGCGGAGCTTGATCTGATAAGAATAGGTCGCGTGTAGCTGGTGGTAGAACCAGTCAAGAGCGCTACCACCCGAGGATCCACCGATGGGGAAGAAGCGTCCACTGTCCGGCGCTCGCGTGGTGACCGTGCCTTCACACGCCGATGAGACATCATAGATCTCATGCGTGGCATACCGAATGACCTTGGCCAGCCCGAGGCCAAGCTCTTCCAAGCTTTCCAGGGTAGGTGGCACAGACGAACACGAGTATGAAAAAGGATACAGAATCTGCTGCGAATAGGAATGCAGATCCACAAAGCTGACAATTTCGGCGTTGTTGCTCTGCGTCTCATTGAGAGCCCATTGGGCCAGCTGCTGTGCTTCCAACCCCTCGAATGGCTCGTCTCCCGCATAATTCTCGGAGCAGGGGTTGGAGCGCGTCCGCTCGCCGTCCCATTGGAAATCCCAGGTCCGATCGAGATCCAGCCCAGGACAGAATCGCAGACTGGTCTGTTGGCGATTTTTGCGCCAGAGACGATCCGTCTCCCACGTGTATACGTAGCCGTCGGGGTTGAGCGTGGGCACTAACACCCAGTCAAAGTCCTCCAGCAGCCGGGTGACCGCCTTGGACTTACCGTACTTGGTGATCAGGTTGTAGGCAACGTAGTTCACTGTTGAGGTACTGATCCATTCACGAGCATGACTCCCCCCGACGAGGAGGATGGTCTTGCGCGGCGTGGGGCTCTTGTCACGATTGCTGCCTACACCCAGTCGGAGTGCGGGAATTTCTCGGCCCTCATAGGATATTCCCACGTTGGTCATCTGCGCATGGGAAGGAAACATCGAAGCCATCAGACGCATCCAGGGCACAATGACGCCAAGGGGTTGGTATTCGTGGAAAAAGACATCGCCGAGTTGCGTGGCTTGCCGACCTGAGGAGATATAACCCGACTGTCCATTGAGCCCCACCGGTCTGCGACTCGGGTAAGAGGCATAAATCCTGTGTGCTAGATCATCGATCAAGGGGGTGTAGGCAGTGTGGAGGGAGGCGGGTAATAAGCCGAGAAGTGAGGGGATCTATGCGCCGCAAGCGTTATCAGCGTCGGTGCATGTTATCAGTAATCAATCAGTCGGAGACTTACCACTTCCTGGGCCAAACGGATATCGACAAATTGGGGCGTCGACGCCCAGACGTCAAGGAACAAGATATCAGCTGCTTGAGCCAGTGCTTCCGCTTGATCCTCGTTGCGCAGGGTGAACCGTAGAACCACATCACTGCCGTATCGCGCCAGAGCCTGGGGAGGCGGGGAGTGTCCGCGCAGTGAACTGCTGGCGGACTTTGGTATACTCCATATAGACTCAATGACCCAGTCTCGAAACCGAGTCCATGGCCTTCGGGTATCGGGTGGCTGGCAGGATAGAATTTGAACGGGCTCGATCGGCGGCGGTGGAGTGATGCTGGAGCCTGCGGGGACGGCGGAGACCAGGGCGACCGTTGCGACCAGCAGGAGGACTAGAAACAGAAAATAGCGCATGACGAATGTTAGGTGCATCACGGAAAATGTACGGGTGACCGTGGTTGCACATCAATTCCCCAGACGAATGTCTGGCGGAATACTCGAGTGATAGCAAGGTTGATTGCAGTGAAGTGAGAAGAAAAGAAAGTTGAAGAGCCGAGGGTGTGAGAATGACGGCAACGGCGAGGCTGAGCTTTCCGCCTCAGGCATCAGGGACACGAGATCGCACCGTGGGTCTAGCCGATCATTTTAATTGTGATAAGCATCGATATCAAAATGTCACTTTTAAGCTTGACTATCATTTACAATTTGAGACTCGTGCATCTCCCTGGTTTTCATTAGGTTGTTTCACTCACATGCCTTGGAAGGAAATATAAATTCGCCTTCCAGACAGTAGGCAGCCTCAAAGACTGTACTCTGATTACACTCTGGTTACAAGATAATTGTTCTTCTGGCACTTCAAACGTCGGATAACCAAGTATAAGAGCCCAGATACTGAGGTGGGCCATATAGAAATACCCAAGCGTGTGAATTGAGCCATTGTGTCGAGCTGTCCATTAGCAAACAGTGGATTAGTACGCCTGGATCCTCATCGTCTGCCAGATTCTCTATCGACTCCGCTGACTGGCAGGGCCGGCCACTAATCCCAACTCGACTAGACCGACCCGGAAGGTCATTTTGAGCTAGCCTTTTACAGAAAGGTACCCTCTTGCATGGCAGTGCGTGCTCTTGCTCTCATACTTGCAGACTTGGACTGCGCTGAGCGGAAAACAGCTCGATGTTTTTGTACGAAGAGAGTCGCTATCTAGCTCTAACTCCAGCGCTTCTTGTCAAGAAAAGGATGATGTCACTGATAGCCAGCATCACATTTCCTCTTCCACCGTCGCTTCCCCTTGACACGAACCGGAACCTTGAAAGATCGCGTACCTCGCATTCTCCTTGCTCAGCTTCCCGGCTGACATGTCACAAACTCATCGCAGGACTCAGCGCCATCATGGATCCGATTCATCCTCACCTTTATCGTGTGAAACAACAAGCGAGCAAATAGACAACGACAAGCTGTATGCGAACAACAAACCCAAGTGATCCGACGGTATGCATGACAGACTACCTATTGTTATATGGGCTCGTCCTACCCTGCAACACTCATATCATGGAATAACGTGGTCTCGTTCTTTTTCGCAGCGCCCTTCCTGTGCGGTGAAGTACAAAAGGAAATCAAGAAATTTCAGAAGTCCCTTGCCTTCGGTGAAAAGAAGGTAGAAAGCATCCTAATGGCGGTGGAGGGCATTTTCATGGAGTTTCCCCTGACCGTGCAGATTTGCTGCGGCCGGTCGCGGCCTGCATGCACCACCCATGGAGAAATCAAATCGTTTCTTCTAGAACAGATTTAAGAAGACCTTATTAATAGACGATAGCTCGACGGCCCAGGCACATCGAACATTTTGTCGATGGCTTACCTTTGACGGTTCAGATATCGGATAGTGCGTTTATCCCCAAAACCCATAATATTTCCTTGTTCGAAATGCGACGGTCGCTTTATTTTATCTTGCTTCTTTGAGATGCAGATTTTATTGAGTTGTGACTGGAATACGATAGGATGGTCGCATTCAGAAAGCATTGGGTCTAGCCCCACGAAACATTGATCCTGACAGGTGAGCGGTATTTATGTCTTACGTATCGTTAGCCCCTGTCAATGACAAACCGAAACCCCGAGATGAGTTCTTGCCAAGCCTAACGCTTGACACCATCTCGCATGCGGAAGCCGGAGGAGGCCGAACAGATGATCGGGTTGACTTTATATAAATTACATTGCAGAGCTGACCCTTCAGGACCGATATGAAGGGGACGAATTTGGTGTGGTGGTTCGGTTCCTTTCGTGGCCCTTGGTTCGAGAGGAAGGGGCGGCTGGCCAGGCCCTACCTCCCTAGTAGCCATCCACTTCCCCAAGTATCCTATGAGTAAACCCATTTGCGGTTGAGAGGGAGAAGGGAAGGGGTTCCGCAATTGCCCAATTGGAATGTGCCGGTACAACGTCTCTCCAAGGCTCTAATGACCATGCTGATTCTTGACATGAGTGGATGGTGGGGAGAGTGAGCGGAGAGTGTGGATAATCACCTTTGCCCATGCCCACCAAGTGGCCTTGTTCTCTCGTTAAGTCTTGAGAAAAAGGCTCTGAGTGAAGGAAGGGGACACAAGGGGAAAAGGGACAGATGACGACAGTTGGGGCGCTTGACGTGGCCAGAACACCGATCACGTGAGTGGGTATAGGTTTGGGCCTTGCGGATTGCGTGTGCTGTACAGAGTACTGTACGGAATACGCGATGTACTGTACATCCTCCTCCACATTACAGTTTTGTGCACAGTGCCAGGTTACAAGTATTGAAATGCTAAACGTTCAGCTCTTACTCATTTTGTTTTCTATATTTAGTCAGCAATTGATTGAAAATGAAGATTAAATAATTTCTCTCAAGTTTAAATTTGGCAGCATTGAATCCCTAGAAATAGCCCATGTTTAGGGAAGGAAAGGGGCCAAGAGCATCATCCTGGCCAGGGGAGAAACTAGGGTAGAGCGCAATCTCTACCAGATCCATCCATGCACCCGCGTCTCTCTATATTTGGATGGGGTACGGAGTATACAAGCACTGTATCAGAGAAACGCACGCCAGAACTGTCAGGGTCGCTGGCCCATTGATAAAGATAGAAACAATGCTGGGACCACGGGCAGTTTCACCCGTGCTTCCAGATGAGACATATTATCGACACTATATGGCGGGAGTACACAGCACAATATCTACACAGTATGGAAAAAGGCAGATGCAGAAGCAGACAAGTGCCGGATCAGGGAAGAAGAATCTTACAGGGGCTGAAAATGGGAGCTAACCAGCCAGCCCTGTGGTGTACTAGTACATTAATTCTGTAGCTACTAGGTACTGCTGCTGTACTACTGAGTAACTTCGTACTTTACTACCTTACCATCTTACCGTACCTACCCGCACGTGTGAATCTCGGCCCGGTAGTCCTAGTCCTAGTCCTTTAGGAACAGCCAACTTGTTGGAATCCGACTAGTCACTCTTCTGGAATCCTGCTCTCGGCGGGCCTCCTCCTCAGGCTCCTAGGCCATCCATTCATACCCACGGAGTGAGTACACACGCACTCCATCCAGTCCTCCACTTCCGCCGCCCGTCGTCAGCATCGCCAGCTTATCCTTACCTCGCCAACCACCCTCTCCCCCCTTCGTCTCGGCCTTCTCTCATCTTACCCCCACACCGTCTCTTAGTCGCTTTTCTCTTTATTATCATTCCTTGCCTAATACCCATTTTTCTTCTTCTTCTTTCTCACACCAGCAGTCTCTCTGTTGGACATTTCCCCTCAAACACCCCTCAAAAAGTTGACTTTCATTTCTTTACCCCTCCTGTTTGCCTGCCAAACTTTCTTTACCACCACCAGCACAACCCCCCCCCGATCCAACAACGACAAGCATCACACCTCTCTCTCCGTCTTCTGGCCGATCGCTCGCTGCGTTACTTCAATTCCTCTTTCCGATTCCTCGATACACAGTGAAATCGCACATTCACCTGGCGATGTAATAGCTCCTACCGGGAGCTTCGACGGTTTTGACTTGCAAACGGGAATTTCTGCATCGGTGATCGACTTTTGCCCGCCGCCTCCTTTCCTCCCTCCTTCTCTCTTCCCTCCCCCCCTTTTTACGGCCTCGCTATTCGCTGCCCAACGACCTCCCCCTAGTCCGCCCGGCTTGATATTCCCCTTTCGAGGCGATCGCGATGCAAATCGGTCTGATCCGCAGTGACGTCTTCGCACAGTATCCCTACCATCGACAGGTTCCCGCAGCCCCAGTCTCATAGAGTGTCGTACATTCTGCGCGGTGAAATCAGTGACCAAAAATTCATACACAATCGAATGGGTCTCTTGGATAGGTTGCGCTGCAGGATTACCCAAAGAAACGTCCGCCGGAAACACGCTCACTATGCACTGGAAGGGGTTACGGATCGGTTCTTCTGATAGCAATGAAGCCAAGCGACGGAGCTACTTGTTCGAGCCAAACGCACAATCCCGCCATAGCGAACAAATACCACGTCCCACACTCTCCACGACCGCACTCAACCCAAGACGCTCCGAGTCGGCCCCTCGCTCACCCTCTCTGGCCGGCCCAGAATTCGACGACCATGCGAATGAAGGACAGGGCAACAATGGTCTCACAGGAACACGCAGTCGCACGGATGACGCAAGCCCGAGACCGAGAAATACGGGCCATCCACCTTTGCCGGGGAGCGGTCCCAATTGGCGCATAAACCGGTTCAGCTTCATGAGACTCCGCCACGCGTCGGACCCTCAGCTGTCCAAGTCGTATGCCAAAGGAGAGAAAGATATACCTCCTGTGCCCGAACTTCCACGTGAGTTATTCTTGCCATCGCTATGATTACGAGCCCTCGCTAATCATCCTCCGGGGTCTCTTTCTTAGCTCCGACTATCATCACGACTGCTCCGACGGGTCATGAAATCGACGAGCCGGTCAAGCGTAAGACGAAGTTCAAATTTTTCCCGGATAACAAGAAGGCCTCGACGGAAGAACTCCCTCTTGAGCAAGGTAGTCTCCATGGAAGACCACGATATGTCGCCCAATCTTCGACAGGATCACAAGCCGCGGATACCAGTCGCTCGATTTATCGTGTGAGCGGTGAGGAGCCAGGTCGTTTATCGACTACATCGATTCGGAGTAACGGGCGGGATCATCTGGCGGAGTCTAATCGTTCTTCGATGGTTGACGTGCGGTTCTCTGAGTCTTCTCGGTCTGACCAGAGCTCTGGTGATCACGGAGCTGCCCGTCCAGTACCCTCCAATGAAGGCTCAATATCGAGCGCGAAACGATTCCGTATGCCACGCTTGAAACGAAATCGCAACCCTCTGTTCCCCCTACCACCCAGACCCACTGCGTCACAATCGATGAACGGTCGCACTCCCAAATCCTTGAATGGCCAAACAGGCCCCAAGCCAACTACACCAGATGCGCAAGAGCAAGACAACATCTCCCCGTTACCGTCTCCTTCTCGTTCCGCAGGCGTTGCGTCCCCCCGACCGCCTCTTTTGAGGAATGACTCCGCCAATTCGACCCACTCCGCTCGTTCAACGCCCTCGACCAGGAACCGAAACCCCTTGACTACACGCGCGCGTTCGTCAACGTTGGACTCCTTGGCGAACATACGTTCCAGTGAGCAGCAGGCATCGCCTCATCTTACACCTTCCGGACGTACGTCGACCTCGACTAGCGGGCGCAAAAGCTTTGGTGATATTTTCAGCATCCCCCAACGACTCCGACAGAATTCCGAGCCACCCTATCCTCGCAGCGGTTCACCTGCTGCCCGAGGCGCAGACACTCCTGTCTCGAAAACGCCATCCTATCCGGCCAGGCAGGAGGATGACACGCCAGCCACGTACCTAGAGCGTTTGGAAGCTGCGATTTCAAAAAGCGCTATCGCTAGTGTGCTCTCACAAGCAAATGACGAATTTCACAAAACCGCATTGCGCAAGTACATGCGGGGGTTCTCGTTCTTTGGCGACCCAATTGACATGGCCATTCGAAAGCTATTGATGGAGGTGGAATTACCAAAGGAGACGCAGCAGATTGACAGATTCCTCCAAAGCTTTGCGGATCGATACCACGAATGTAATCCTGGTATCTTCGCAAATCCAGGTACTAGCTTTAATTCCCTAATTTGTACTGAGCTGACTTCAGAAATCTGTAGACCAGGCATACTTCATCGCGTTCTCTATCCTAATTCTGCACACTGATGTTTTCAACAAGAACAACAAGCGCAAAATGCAAAAGCCGGACTATGTGAGGAACACTCGAGGGGAAGGCATATCAGAGGACATTCTTGAATGCTTCTATGAGAACATCTCCTATACGCCCTTCATCCATATCGAGGACACCAACCTCAATGGACGTCATCTCCCAAAGCCCCGACGAGCTCTATTCAAAACCGCCAGCTCCGATCACTTGGGTAAAGAGCCAGTAGATCCTTATACCTTGATCATGGACAACAAGCTCGACTCCCTTCGCCCAAGTCTGAAGGATGTCATGAACCTCGACGATACTTACCGTTGTGATGGCACGGAAGGACCTCCGGACATAGAAGGTCTCCATCGAGCATTCTCAAGATCTGCGGTCCTGCAGATCGTCTCCGCCCGGTCCCGTCCCGACGCTTTCATGCCGTCCAGTATGGAGAACCCGATTGACTCGAGCCCAGGTCTAGTCGACATCAAAGTGGCAAAGGTCGGTCTGCTTTGGCGCAAAGACCCAAAGAAGAAAAAAGCCCGATCTCCGTGGCAGGAATGGGGCGCTCTTCTTACTTTCTCGAAACTGTACTTTTTCCGGGACGTCAACTGGGTTAAGTCCCTCATCCACCAACACGAGTCACACGTCAAGGAAGGTCGCCGTCGGGCCGTTACCTTCAAGCCCCCTCTGACCGACTTCAAACCTGATGGCATGATGCCGACAGAAGATGCTGTTGCTTTGCTTGACTCTAGTTACAAGAAGCATAAGAATGCGTTTGTTTATGTCCGCTCTAACGCTCTTGAAGAGGTCTTCCTGGCCAACTCGGAAGCTGACATGAATGATTGGCTGGCAAAACTTAATTATGCGGCCGCGTTCAAGACCACTGGGGTTCCAAGCAAAGGGATGATAGCAACCAACTACGAGGCACAGCGCAATCGCATGAGTCGCAGGGGCTCCTCTGCGTCTTTGACAGACAGAGAACCACCATCCCCGAATCCTGCGGCCGACATGGGCGAGGACATGCTCGCATCACAGGCTCAATTAATGCGTTACAAAATTCGAGAGGCCAACGAGAAATTATTCGTCAGCCAGAGGCAGCTCGATGATCTGTTGCGGAACGCGAGGCATCTACAGGTGCTGACTCCCGTGAACTCTAGAGCCCGCGAACAGGTCATCATGGCAGCTGGTCGCATGGCCGCCAAGCTTAAATGGGTGAGACAGGACATATGGCGTACCAGGTGCTACAGGGAGGTGCTTGTTCGAGACTTGGGTGAGGAGGTGAAAGAGGCCCCGCCCACGACTGAACCAAAAGGCCTTCAGCTCCAGATTCCTGCTCCGAGCGCTAGCAATGCTGTAGAGGGACCGTACGAGGAAGCCGAGACCATTCAAGTCACCTCTCCCATTCGGGAAGCTTCTCCACATCCAAGCTCTGCAAAACCACCTTCCATCTCTGAGCCACCCTCACACCCTGCCTCGGCGGATGTGAGAAGGCCGAGCATTCCGGCATCCTTCGCTTCGTTTGATCAGCCTGATCGCGCTAGTAGGCGTCTTTCTGTTGACGCCGCCAAGGAACGTGCCATGTCAAGTTCCCCTGATCGTGCAAGCCGACTCACTCGGGAGGCTTCTGTTCTTAGTGCTGCCAGCCGAATGGACGTTGTGAGCCTTGGATCCCACGCATCTAAGCTTACCGTGCCCAATAGTTTCGATGAAGGCGAAGAGCGCATCCTACGGGAAACTGGTCTCCTAGAAGCCTCGCGAAGGCCGTCTCTTGCCTCTAAGGATAACGAAACTGAATCGAAGCACGAGGACACGCAATCTAAGACCTCGATCGATCGCACAAGTCGAATCCGACGCAGTCTTCACCGTACCCTTCGCGATGCGCCGAGCGTACACGGAAATCACCCACGAAGCAAGAAAGCACGCGACTCAGCCTCCAGCCTGGCCGCGCTCGAGGATGCGCAAGGTACGCATGATGGTGAAGGTCTGTCGCGAAAGTCCGCTAGCTTTACGGTACACGGCAAGAAGGCCTCGATCGTCACCTTCGGGAGCGAATGGCAGAATATGCCGCCGGAGGAGCGCTTGAAGTTGCGGAAACCCACCCCGTCTGACGAGCCGCGAGCATCAGACCCAGCTATTGGCAGCGGTGGCGAGTCCATTACCTCCGAAACCAATTTACATCCACGCTACCCGCACTCTTTGCGGAGTACCAGCCCTGGAGCGCGCGAAAGTGTTCATTTCTATGATGAGACGGAGGAGTTCAAGGAGGCCTCTGAGACTCTTTTCCCTGAGGAGAAGAAGGTCGAGAACGATGATATTGCCGATTCGAGTGCCAAGATGTCTGAAATCTCCTTTCCCACCGCTATTCGAGAAGCGCCTCTGAGCATCATCGACGAGCCTATGTCCCCCAAAGCCGGTAGTAGCACTGCCATTGACGAGCAACCACCACCTCCAAAACTACCTCCTAGCTCTCCCGAGCAAGCCGTCCATGCATAACAAGCCCCACCCTTGTCTAGGCTCTCTTTTTTTTTTCTCTTTTTTCTTACGACTTTATACCCCTATTCATCTTCTTTCTCTTTGACTTTCCTTGTGTGTGTGGAGATGCCGGCGGCCTCCTCAACTCAAACTGATAGAGCATGCGTGGGGCTCCCTCCCCGCGCCGTTTATGATACTGATACCATGATTCTGTTCTGGGTTTTGATTCGAAGCCCTGAGTATGCATGCATTCGGGTTGGTTGGGTGGACAGTTTGATCGACTATGTTGAAACCTTGAGTTGATATACCGTACTTAGCATTCATACCTTGCACATGGTGGCATGATCTTGGATAATACAAAATACAAGGAATTTAACAATAGAAATCTTTCATCCGATGTCGATAGCCGCGATTGTCACGTAGGACGAAAGAACTCTGCGATCTAATGGAAGTGGATTGATCGATGCCGAAAGGCCGCGTCCATCCCAATCGACCACGCGCCAGGCCGGAGAGCGGAACATTGCGGCAGGGCAGAAAGAGACTGCGTAGCATGTAGTTAGTTAGTAGACGTCAGCACCAACCTCTATGGCAATGGAACAAGAACAAATTGAGAAAACAGAGGAACGATAGGAAAGTAGCTTGGTACCAGAAAAGATGCAGATGACGAAAAATCAGAGTCCTTCGAGACGGAATCCGCTTATTGTTTGCAGTATAGTAAATGTCCAACATAAATGGCGGGCCGTTCGGACGGTAATACCGGCCAGCAGTGGCTGTGAGCCTACGGAGCAAAGGGCGTCAACCACGGAGAAATGATCGTGCACCGTATCTAGAGCTTCTGGATGAAGAAGACATGTTCCGTGACTGAGCAAAGGAGGTGTAGTGCCTGAAATTTGGGCGTCAGCTGGGGATGTCGGTCGAAGGGTGGGGTGGGGGCGATGTGCTGCGTGTGCTGGGCGGGTTGAGCGGAGGGTATTGGGGATTCGTAGGAGCGGGGTTGGGGACCGTAGGAGCGAGGTATTGCCTATACCTTGAAGTAATGTCTATACCTAGAGCGAAGTTATATACCTAGAACGAGAAGCCAGGAACCGTGGGAGCGCAAGTCCGTGTGCCTTGGTTGAGACTGCGTGTTGGTTGTGTCGCTAGGCCAGGGGAATGCGGGCGCAGGAGAATTGCTGTTATGCTGTTTGCACGGTTGTGAGGGCGGGAGACATTACCAAAAGTGTTTGAGGTGCTGAGAAACTAGGTTGTTGCGTATGGTGTTCTTGGAAATGGTGGGTGGTCTGTTGTTGTTGTTGTTGCGGTGTAGGGTTGTCGCGTTGCTGAGGGGTTTTGGCTGTCTATGACGCTGCGGTTGATGTTGGGGGTTTATTTATTCGTGTCTTGGTGCAGTGTGGCGGGCTGGGATGGAGGTCTGGCTTGGGAGATGAGTCTCTACTATATGCTTGAAACTCACATTTCACTTGAAAGTACTGCAGATAGGTTCCCTTGTCGGTGTTTATGCGACTCGCCTATAGTTTCTTCGCCAAATCATGTACTACGTAGGTGATCCAGAACTGCGCAAGGTGTTCGTTACAGGCAGCGAATATGGGAACTTCAGGTGAACCTCTCTCAGAATTCTGACGCGCCACGGCTGGGATGGAATTGTGGAGTGTCCACTTGCTTTTGTATTGATTTACAAAATTCTAGATCAGGCTGTCTGACATTTACCTTACGAAGAGGTCGTAAGAGGGCCATCAAGAATGCTAGAGGGGACTTGCTATCTCATCCATTGACTCAAATCCCCGGTCAGGGTTTTGATATATCTGCCGTGCGAGGATATTATAAGAGGATCATTGAGAAAGATAAATTGGCTACAAGGGGCGGCTACACCTGTTCATCTACCATCCTATCGACATCGGGCTATTACAGCTTACGCACTATGACCTGCCTATACCTATGCTGCTCTGCATTGTTTAATAGTGGCTCATTCTCAATAGACCTCAAGTCAATAAGCTCGATTGTTCTCTGCGGATAGCCTTGTACTGGCATCCCCGCACCCGCTACTTCACTCTACAGGGGATCTCAGCCCTAACCCTTTCTCCATCCCCGCTCGTCCTCCTTTGAAAACTCATCCTCTTCGACAACTAGTTCTTCTTGACGACTCATCCTCCTTGATATTCTTAACGGACGGCCACTGGGTATTGCAGTATGGTGTTCCGCGTACTGTTCCGGCGGTTTCCCGGCGCCTTCCTTCTGCTGTTGTATTCTGCTTCGCCTTCCTCCCTTCTTCTTCCTCAATCCTTCTCCTCCTCCTCCTCCTAACCGTACTTGCCCTGATTATCTACTCACCTGCCGTGCTCCTTCCTTCAGTGTCAACGCAGCAATGGAGCAGGTCGACGATGATATCCCCCCGTCCCCCCCCCGTCGATTCCCATCGTCGACTTCTCCCCAACCATCCTCTCTACCCCCGTTTTTCAACCCCATTCTGCGCTTTACAAGCACTTTCAGGATCACGACTCTCTCAAACCTTTGTCAGAACTCAGTTCGTGCTCCATGAGCAATATCAGAAATCCATTTCTTGACTTCCAACAACCTTTGAACCTTGTTTTAACCTCTCCCTCACGCTCGACCTCACACCCCATCTTGACCTCGACCTCACACCCCCTCCTCGGATCGCAGATCCTAGATCACGACACCATGTTCGTGGTCAACCCCATCGGGTCCCTAGGACTCAAAACCGGAAAGCCAGCCCTCGACAACTGGAAGCTGAAGGTGCCCACCGACATCATCGAGTCGGAGGTCCACAAACTCAAAGAATTGATCCACGATGTGATGAAGACAACTGTTCGGCAAGACATTCGAGACATCTTGCGCGATGAATTGAAGGACATCGTTCGCAGCAGCCTGGAAGACATGATGCAGGAGATGCAGGCCATTGTCCAGGACACGCAGGCACATGTCCAGATGATCGAGGCGAGCGCTCAGGACATGCAGACCGACGCTCAGATGACCAAGGAACACACCGAAAGCCTGCAGACCGACGCTCAGGAGCTCAAGGAGTATGTTCAGGGTATGCAGGCCAACCTCCAGGAGACGCAGGCAGAGGTGCAGAAGATGAAGGCACAGACAGACATTCAGAAGATGCAGGCTCAGGACACGCAGGCACATCTCCACATGATCGAGGCGAACGCTCAGAACATGCAGATTGATATTCAAATGACCGAGGCACACACTCAAAACCTGCAGACCGACGCTCAGAAGCTCAAGGAATATGTGCAGGGTATGCAGTCCAGCCTTCAGGAAACACAGGCAGAGGTGCAGAAGATGAAGGCACAGGCGGAAATTGAGAAGATGAAGGCACAGGAACAGGTTCAGGACATGCAGGCCGACATGCAGAAGATGCAGGTACAGACGGATATTCAGATGATGAAGGCACAGGAACAGGCTCAGGACATGCAGGCGGACATTCAGAAGATGAGGGTACAGGCGGACCTTCAGGAGATGAAGGCACAGAAACAGGCTCAGGAAATGCAGGCAGAGGTCCATAACACAAAGGCCAACGTCGAGGACATGCAGACAGTCGTCTATGCGTTGCAGGAAGTCGTCTTCGACATACAGATCAACATTCAGGACATGCAGGCCGACATGCAGAAGATGAAGGCACAGGCAGACCTTCAGAAGACGAAGGCACAGGAACAGGCTCATGACATGCAGGCCGACATGCAGAGCATGAAGACGAACGTCCAGGACATGCAGACAGTTGTCGATGAGTTGCAGGACGTCGTCTACGACATAAACACAGACGCCCAGGACATGCAGGCCGACATTCAGGAGATGAAGGCACAGGAACAGGCTCAGGATATTCAGGACACAAAGACCGACGTCCAGGACATGCAGACAGTTGTCGATAAGTTGCAGGAAGTCGTCCACGACATGTACACAGACGTCCAGGACATGCAGGCCGACATTCAGCAGATGAAGGCACAGGAACAGGCTCGGGATATTCCGGACACGAAGACCAACATCCAGGACATGCAAACCGATGCTCCCGATTTCAAGATCAACATGCAGAAGACGAGGGCACCGAAACAGACTAAGGATATGAAGGCGGAGATTCATGACACGAAGGTCAACGTCCAGGACATGCAGACCGATGCTCCCGATTCGAAGACCAATATGCAGAAGGTGAAGGCGCCGGAACAGGCTCAGAACATGCAGGCGGACATTGAGCACAGGAAGGTCACGTTCCAGGACATGAAGGCGAACATTCAGGACACAGATAACAACACCCAGAACATACAGAAGATGAAGGCACCGGAACACGCTCGGGACACGAAGGGGGATATTTACAGCACGGAGGTCAACGTCCAAGACATGCAGAAAATGAAGGCACCGGAACATGCTCAACACATGAAGGCGGAGATTCAGGATACGAAGGTCAACATCCAGGACATGCAGAAGAAGAAGGCGCCGGAAAAGGCTCAGAATATGCAGGCAGACATTGAGCACAGGAAGGTCACGGTCCAGGACATGAAGATGGACATTCAGGACACAAAGAGCAACGTCCAGAACATGCAGAAGATGAAGGCACCGGAACAAGCTCAGCACGTGCAGAAGATGAAGGCCAAGGAACAAAACCAGGACATGCAGACAGACTATGAATCAGAAGGTAGCTCGACCGTGATACACGATTGCGAAGCTGAGTGGACGGCATACCTGTGGCGACAGGTGTCGCAAACCAAGAAGGACCAGAGGTCAGCCACTCCATCATCTACCGACGAATGGATGGAAAAGATCAGGCAACTGGACGAGCTCAGTGATATAAGCTATCTCCCCGAGTATCGGGAGAATTGGGAGGAGGGGGAAGATGTGTGGTGGCGAAAAGCATGTCAACGAGAATGGAACCGTTTCAATTATAGGACGGAGCACCTAGAGCCGCCCGAGTGGCAGAGAGATTTCGTGGACCGACGCTTGAAATAGTAGTATTCTAGCTTCTAGATCAGCCAATGCAAGAACCTATTCTTAGATCAATCCATCCACTAACATCCCCCAAAGCAAGTATGTTGTAGAGCCTGGATACCCCCCATCCATTGCTGGAGTCTTAACCCTCTCTCCAAAAACAGCTGATTTCGGAAAATAATACAGAGGCTTTAGGCATGTCGCATAACCAGCTTCTCATCAAGAATTTTATTCTGCGCCAGGACCCGCAGAAGCTGTCCGTCGAGGCGCTTCCAGTCTACTAATAAGCCGCCGGGAAGAGCGCCGGTATACTCATTCACAGTAATCTTTCTCCCCATTATAGGCAACAACGCGGGGTCAGAGGGAGAAATCAGAGGTTGATATTGCAGACAGGGAGATGCAGCACAAGACAGATGCAGGTGACTAGATTGCAGCAGAGGACGAGTTAGTTAACTACTAGGTAGTTAGTTGTTTAACTGGGTGCAGTATCCCCGGGTCTCTACACAGGGATCTATCCCCTGTTATTTCAGCTGTCATGGTACATTATTGCCTTCGCGAGATGGCGAGGGCACGGAATGAGGCCGAGCCATAGAAGGTGGAACAATTAGCTGGAATTAGGCATCTTGAGGTGGAGGTCTCAGCGGAATTGAGACCAAACAATGCCATAGCGATGCACCTCATCAACGACACCAGCAGTAGAAGCGCCCATTGCATGGCGTAGCTTACTGGAAGGGTCTCTGTGAATAGGAGTACTCTACATTCCGAGTGAACAAGAAAGAGGAGAAGAATTGGAAGGGCAGTTGTCGAACAGAGCCACAGAGATAGATGGCTGGTGAATGTACAGTATCTACATTAGACAACCTGACAACTCATCAATGGTGTAGTAGTCAATGCTCCAACCAGCGGTGAATCCAAAAGGTATGTTCACCAGTTCTGATTCCATCTAGTGTCTTCACATTCGTTCTTCCCGGACTCAACCTCGCTATCTCAACCTTTCTCTCTCGGCCTTCCTCTCTCAAGCTTTCTCTTTCAACCATCCCCTTTCGCAGTGGAAGAAGTCTCTCCTCTTCGAACTTCCATTCTATGTTATCATTCTATTCTCATTGAAGTTGGTACTCGGACTGTACGGGGAGCTAAATCGAGTAATCAGAGAGCCCGTTGTACGCTTGAAAGATTCTACACAAGCATGGGGTCGTCAACCATCACCACACTCCTCGTCACGTTATCAGCTCGTGTGCCCGCTGTATGCGTTCAATACGTCTGAATTGTCTCCGTGTATACATAATGTATACTGAAGTGGAAGGAACGAGGAGGTGGTTCCGCTTGCCTTGCCGAGTAAGTCATGGTGTTGCCCTCTCCCCCCCCCCCATCCCTTCCGGCCTTCCTCGATTCTTAACCATCCTCATGTCCTGAACGCATGTTTACCCTGCAGAGTATGTATCATTTTGAGGGCCATCATTCCAGTGGTATGGAGAGACCATCACTCTTTCATCTCTTTAATTCATTGACTTTGGTACTTAGGTTGTCGAGGTCTTGTTTCCCCGTGCTACGAAATGTTGAAAAGCGCACGCCGAATTCCGCGGAAATTCAACTGCTACCGCGGTCTTTTTCTTGTCAGATCCTTTCGGATCGAAACAAAAAGGGTTTATGGGATGAGTATCCCAGGCGGTTATACCTTTAACAACGGGTAAGGGCTATCATCGATCTCGGATGCTCATTGCTAACTTCAACAAGGGCACAGTACCCCGTCGACTATGTTAGTATTCGAAATTTAGCGGATTAGCGAGATCAGCTCTCTCCCAGAGTACCAGGAGAACTGGAAGGAGGGCGAAGATGTTTGGTGGAGAAAACAATGTCAGCGAGAGTGGAATAAGTTTAATTATAGAACAGAGCACCTTGAGCCACCTGAGTGGCAGCGAGACTACAAGCATACTGACCCCCGCCGATGGTGGCTTATAGACGATTTTCAGTGAGTCTTACGCTGATCTTTCCCTCCCTCTGCCCTGTGCATCTTTTGCTGTTCTCCACAGCTTCTTGATGTGTATCGTATTGCTAACGCGCTCCGTTCCTGGCTTCGTTGCAGGAGACTCTGGGAACCCCGAGACAGAATAGCCACGGCGATATCAGGTTCGTCACGGGTCTCGAGAAGCATTTCCTCATGCGGGGACATACGACCCCGACAGCCTGAGCGGCCCTAGAGCGAAGCCGTGCTACGAAGCCAACCAACTACGAGTCCTGGGTGTATGATAGCCTCCCCGACTACTTGAGGCGGACTGGACCGCCTACTTATGGCGACAATCATCGGAGAGGGAGAATTTGAGGAAGATCGACTCCGCCGGTTGAGAAAAACCGGCATAATGGAGAGGATGCTTGGTGGAGAAAAGTCTGTCAAAAAGAATGGAACAGGTTTAACTATCGCACGGAACACCTGAAGCTTATCGAGTGGCAGAGGTTTTCTCAACCGGCATAATAGAGAGGATGCTTGGTGGAGAAAAGCTTGCCAAAAGGAGTGGAGCCAATTCAACTATCGGACGGAGCACCTGGAGCCAATCGAGTGGCAGAGGGACTATAAAGACCCTCGTCTCTAGTCTAGTTTATTTTCAGAGTAGTCAACGTGTTAGCGGCCATGAGCCTTCAATATCCAAACTTCTCACCGCCACGGCTATGGCCATGCTCAGAGTCTCACTCATTGAAGCCTCGAGTAGCCGATTTTCATCATCATGTTGACGCTCTGCGGCTCAGGCTGCTGCCTACCGCCCACCTTGTTGTTCTTAGCTAGTTCTACAGATAGCCTCGGATAGTCAGAATCCACCGTCTACCCACGTCCTTGACACACCTACCCAGGTTCCTCGAATACAATAGTGGTCTTTGCATCTTGTTCTTTCTCGATTAGATGCGTAATTCAGAGTAACATGGAAGGAGGTCTAGCGCTGACTGTTTTCAATCGCTTTGATGCGAACGCCATACACTGAAACCTGACTCGTACACATAAGGGGTTGCCCAAGACGTACGTCGCGATGGCACTACAGCTGCGAAGTGAGAATATTGGACTTAATCACTTCCTGCGGAGGATTAAAGGCACACAAGATAGGGGAGGTATACAGTACGTACGTACGTGCGAACAAACCCGCTTGCATACACCGAAGCCTATCTCGTACGAAGTGCACGCGATTTACTTTACAGCAAGCAAGCCGCGGGGCCATGTCCACGTCGACCGCGAGTCTGGGAAACAGGGGGGCTGCAATTTTCAGCTAGCGGACTGACTACGCTACAATGGTGGCACACCCGCCGGCAGGCAGCCCGATATGTGGCCAAAGCCATGCTCAATACAAGCTTCCTTAGGGCAATAAAACTACGGTCGATCGTGGCCAGGGGCATTGAGGAAAGCGAGGAATCCCTTAGGCCTACAGGGCAAATGGGAATTGGCAAGTTGGTACTAAGCAGTTGTGATTTGCAGAGATAGTATTGCTTGTCAGCGCGTGAATCGAAAAGGATGGCTCGTGAGAGCTCAACTAGCGGGTGTATCTCTGCCGGTAGCGCATGACTCTTTCGTAAGCTTCTTCTGAGATTCTCCATCGTCGGAACTCCTCATCGTCCCACTCCCATTCTCTCTCGATTCTCTTGAAGTCTCCTACGAAAAAGCTGGGAGTCGCATTAGCGAAGACAGAACTGGAGATAGAAAGAGGGAATGGATAGGGTACAGTACATCTTCTGCTTCACCGGATCCCAGAACAGCCGACTGGGCACCCACATGGTCGATGGCACGATCCGGTGCCGGCCGAAGGAGCTATCACGTTCAGCATCACCAGAATCCAAAATCCAAAATCCCTTCTCTCCTCTCCTCTCGGCAGAGAGCAAACTTACGTAAAGGCAGCTTTGAACGCCAAACGAACTTGCGCTCTCGCGGCCGGCGACATCTCGTAAAACGCCCCCTCGCCAATCCCACCGGTCGACAGCGCAACCATACCCCCGTCCTCTTCACGGACAGTTGTCAGGGCGATGTAAAGCACATAACCCCCGGGCACCCAGCCACCGGGGCCCTGCGTGGTCTGCCGGGATCCGATAAGTGCTGGGGCGTGCTCGCAGTGGATATCGCGGAGCTGGCCGTGCGCGTCCATGCATTTCCTGGCACGGGGAGGAACGACATCGACGGCTTGACGGGCCCGCTTGCTTGGCGGCTGCCACTCCGTGCCTGTCACGGGAATCTGGACGTACATTTGCACCATCGCTGGCGCGCCGGAGGCTGTGTTCCTGCACAGCAGCTCGATGAGGACGTTGGGCTTGACGCCCTTTCGGTGGCTCTCCTCTTGACTCATCTCAGCGGCGGCTTCGTCGAGGATCTCCACTATCTCAAGGTGGGTTTGCGGAGATGGGCCGTCGAGAGTTAGATCCTCCGGGACGAGCGAGGGGAGCATCCATGATTGGGGGGGGTCATGTCGCATTGGAGAGAGAGAGATAGATAGATAGATAAGGAGGTCGTTATAGAGAGAGAGAGAGAGAGAGAGAGAAGCAGAAGTAGGCTGGATGATCTTGAGTTATAAGCTTGAGGAGGAGAAGTGAAGTGAAGGAAGGAGAAGCTATGTCCTTAGCATGATGTCAATATGTCAGGTGATCCCGGAGGATCATAGTTGAAACTCCCATCATAGCCTTCGACTCTGGTACGTGGTGTTCGCATGAAAGCACAAGACAACGGCCAGCGCTGCATGCTCTTCTCGACGCTACGCGCTTGGTTGAGGACGGGTAAGGTGGAGAAGCTCATATTGTGTCAGGGGTATGGTTAAGTGATGGATGAATCCAGGCTAGGTGAAGCTATTTCTGTTCAGTGTCTTAGTATGAATGATGAGGGCTACGGCATCATATGTTCTTGCAGCTAGGGAAGACTGAGAACAGGTAAGTCTGTTGGAAGGTGTGCGACACATGCGTACAGTTTGATAGATCCTGACTCGGACTAACTCTCTTGCCTTCAATGACTGACTCTACGACTCTCCAAGCGGCTGATACAAAAGCTCCTCGCGCCAACCCCAACCCAGTGCAAATGTCGCTCCAGGTCCAAGAGTAAGAAGTGACCCTGCGAATGCCCCACCGGCTCTCCACCAAGAAAATTGAGCTCCAGCCTGCTTCAACTCGCGGAAGCGCAGCGCCAGCCATACAAACCCACTCGTCATCGAGACGAGCTCATCATACTTCAAGAAGCGCGCGATGCAGGCACTGAACGACGTCACTGGGACGGAAGCATCTCGCAAACCAGGCAGGAAGATGCTACTAAAGGAATCATCCCGTGGGGCCGTCATCCGGCCGTAAACAAAGGTGAGCCCGGAGACTAGGGCGAAGGTACCGTATGCCCACCGGATGTATTGCAGTTCGTTTCTCTGTGGCTTATGCTGGACATCCCGTAACTTCGGGGACGGTCTGTTGAGCACGCGGGCCGCAAGCAGGATGGTGCCCTGAAGGAGGGGAGTCGTCAGCGGGAAAGCCTGCCAAAGAGCATTGTACCACTGGCGTAACTTGAGGGTTGGGGCGAAGAAATTGGCATATGTGATCGAGTGGTATCCTGCCAGGGTGGAGAAAACCAAAGACCCAGTGAGGCCACAATTTATCTTTCTGTTCTCGCCCGCAAGCAGTGTGGACAGGGGCGTGCAGAGATATTCCAACGCGAGGTAGAGAGGGGCAACTTTCCAGATGCCCACCAATTGAAGTATGCTACCTGCTGCCATGGGTCTGTTTCATCGACCAAATGAGTCAGAATTCACGTCGGCTGGTATGCGGAGAACTCACAGAATTACTTGGTGCCATGAGTGCAAATTGCGGTAGCTCTCCAGCAACCAGATTCCATAGACCGGTCCCAGGTCCGTCATGAACGATAACATCTGGATGCGTGAGCGCGGGTCTGATCCGGTGATTGAAGGTAGGAAACAAGTAATCAGCGGCCGCATCAGCTTGTCAAAGAAGCGGTTATAATAAAAAGATGTGTTTAGATCCATAACTTCGCCACTCGCAGCAGTCCAGGTTCCGTTATCCAACATCAGAACCAGATGTGATCTAAGGGGTGAGAGCATTGATTCCACGGCTGTCTTACTGAAGGCGGAGATGCCCAATAGTGGCAGCGTCCAAAGTGCCCGTTCCCCAATTGTGGAGTCCGGCACGGGTCGACAGTCAGTAAACGGCATCGTACCCGCTAGGGACTTGGCCGGTGGTGGTAGGTAATCAATCTTTGTCGCCCCCACGAAGGTTCGAGATGATTTGTCGACCAGGTAGTGCTCGAGATATGGCATTAAATAATGTGCTATGGCCTTGCTTTTGAGTGTACTCAGTGCTTCTAATCGCGTGAGGCTGTAGGCTGACTTAAAGATGGCTTGCACGCGAGGTCGCCGCTTTTCTTGCCAGGATTGCAAGCATTTATTCAGCTCCTCTACAGCGGGGCTCGACTCATGGGAGGCTTGAAGCAAGCTAGCAAGACTATTCGCAAGCGCGGCTGCACTTTCAATTGCGCTGTTACCACCCTGACCCAAGTTCGGAGTCATCTGTTAGGGGATGTCAGTCACGCGCACTTAGGGCTTTTCTCTCCATCACTTTGTTCAAGAGCATACCTTATGCGCTGCATCTCCGATACAAACCCACCGGTCGATGGCCCAGCGGCTATAGGAGGCCTCTTCCAATGGCAACAAAGTCCGGGTTATTGCCCTCTTGTATACCTCGGCAAAAGGTACATTATCAGTGATCGGCTTCTGTAGGTAGGGGTCGACATATTGGTCAATCATGGTTTGATCGAAGCGTGGGATGTGCGAGGCAGAGTATTTCTGGTCCAACTTTTTGAAAAAGAACCAGAACACCCGGCCCTCCTTTCCGACGATAGTCAGGGCCGACCACCCCTCGCCGAAAGTTCGATGACTGGTCCCCGGGATTAACCCTGGAGTCGATGTCGAGATGCCAAACACACAGCTGTACTCGGACGTCATTGCTATGGCCAAGAAGTTAGAAGAGTCAGTATAACAGCACTGCGTTGGTATGAAGGTCTGAAAGAAGGCAACCCACTTTCTCTTTCCTTCAGTGCCTCCTTCTTCAGCCCAATTGACTCCATGTAGTCCCACATTTGCCGTCGCACCGTGCTTCTTACCCCGTCGGCCCCGACAACAAGATCACCCTCATAGACCGACTGGTCTGCGCAGTGCACCTTCACTCCATCGGCAACATGTTCGACTTGGACGACTTTTTTCCCAGTGAATACATGAGCCTGCGATTGTCCAAGATGCTTGTAAAGAGCTTCGAGTGCGACTTGACGATCCACAAACGCAATGGGGTAGCCATGTCTTGGTTGTGGTCAGCGGGCATTGAGGTATTAATATGCAAGAAGGGTAGATACCGGTCATGGATGATTTTCGGGGCGTTGTTCTTGGTGATAAGCGAGCCATTCTCTTTCCAGAAGTAGGAGTCACGAAGGGGCTCTGTAGCCTCTATGATGTCGTCGAAAACTCCCAACTGGTCCAAGATGCGCGCACCATTTGGAATGATTCCGATAGAAGCACCGACCTGCGGTGCAATCTCCTCATGGGCCTCCAAGACGACGAATTCCACCTGTTGTCGAAGTAGGCAGTGGGCAAGGGTCAGGCCTGCGATGGACCCGCCGACAATCACCACGCGGAATCGTGGTTTCGAGAGCTGGGAGTCTGTCATCGTTCCAAGACGCCGAGTCAGTATGTGAACAGTATGTTTCTTGGGGGGAAGGATGTGTGCTATGGCGCTTACTTTCGCCTTATATAGGCTGTGGAACTTCTCATTTCGATAACAATCGAACCACCCTGCAGAAGTGGGTCATTCTCACAGCCAGATGAGGGGAATCAGAGAAGCGAGGATAGTGGGGTGTTTTTAACCAGTGCCACCTTGTACTCTGAGTATATCCAAAGAGAGGAAGGTAGGTAGAGAATCGGTTATTCGCCCAAAGGGTGATTGACATGTGGGGTCTCCGGCGACCCACTGCAGCTGTATTGGTAAGTTACCGTTACCGTTACCGAAACTTGGAACTGCGGCAAACTTGATTACTTTACCAGTTATCCGAGAAATCCGTGAAACCCGTGAAACCCGTGATGTCGATCTACGAATCGTCCGCCTTCCATTGAGGAAGTTCTGACTTCCCCTCTCTTTAGGCACACCCGTTTCCATCACAACCAAGTAGCCCCGAGCATCGGCTCTCCACTGAAATCTGCATCCTGATGGAGTCTCGGCCCCTGACTGTGACCAATCGAGTTTTCTCTTCGCCGCTGCCAGATCGGAAGCGACGGGACCAGAAGCCTCGAGTGCTTCTGTCTTGTACCTCCTGTCGTGAAAGAAAGTAGGATGCATGCAACTCGTACGCACCCGCAGCACTACTTGGCACTAACTCAAGCGATTACAGACTTCGATGTGATCGCGCTCGTCCTTGTTCGAATTGCCGAAATCGGAATCATGGCATCTCCTGTCACTACGTTCAAGCGCACGCGCGTGCTGCCCATGTCACTCGAGAACATTGTGCACCACACGGTGAATGCACACGGTCAAATCCTGAGATAGAGATAGGCAAGGATAAGCGCTCCAGTCCTGGGGTCCGACTTCTTCCGTCCGAATCGAGTGGGACACGATTTGTCCATCCGAGCCACTGGCGAGCTCTCATGGATGACGCTGTGTGTGGTTACCTGGGTCCTCATTCCCCAATTCCGAGCTGATATCGAACACAGACAAGGCAACTGAAGATCAATCCCAGCCATGCTCAAATCAAATCAAGCGGCAATTCCGTGCACTTGTTGTCGGGTCTCTCGCAAAATGTGAGCATCGACGAATTGATAGTCTCGTTGCCCTCCCGCGCAGTGGCGGATAGACTCGTGGCATCATGCCTCAAATCCTCAGAACCATCCTTGAGTACGTTCCTGTATGTATCTGCAAGACTCTGGTTGACCTTTTCACTGCAGTGATCATTCATGTTCCGACTTTTGAGACTCAGGTATGCCTCTAAATCGCGTTCATGGATTTCGCGAGACATGTCTGAAAGCTCTAGTGTCGCCAATTTTGGCAGTCACCTGCGACTGTCAGTCCCGCCTGGCTGGCCCTACTCTATTCGGTGCTAGCCTGCGGAGTGTGGATCGAGCATTTTCTGGATCCCATCCTAGCCTACTCCGAAGTACCGCAGTCTTTCTATGCCCTCCGAGAAAAGTCAGCTGTCGCACTGTCGAAGTCAGATCTCACTGTCCCTGGCAGGTTCAAGGTTGAAGCAATGTTGATTTACTTGGGAATAGAGTACCTGCAAAGCAATGAATCGAAAACTGGCGTGTCGATTCTTCTCGGGATTGTTTCGCGATTGGCGACCATGATGGGATATCATCAGAGCGCCCATCTCTGCCATCCTCCTCTACTTGCTTTCGAAGCAGAGATGCGATGCAGGGCTTGGCTGTTGCTATCAGTCATTGACAACGTCGTTGCCTCGCAAACAGGACTTCCAAGAGTTATGTACCAAGGCCTCACAAACTCGGCTCGCCCACGCAACTTACTCGACGACGATTTCAACTCCACTATGTCAGTGCTGCCCTCATCCCGATCCACAACCGGAACACTTAGCCACGTTGTATATATGCTGGCTCTTGACGATCTTTACTCAGTAGCCAATGAGATCGCAGATCTTGCTGCAAAAGGCCCAATCTCTCCCGACAGCACTGCTCGCCTGGGCCAGCAACTGGAAGCTCTGAGAAACGGCCTCCCGTGTTCTCTGCGTATGCGTTCTCCAATCACTCCAACGATGGAATATGACAAATTGATCATGCAACGCACCCTGGAGATAGTATACCAACGGTCGCGCTGCATCTTGCATCGTCAATATCTTATCTCGTCTGAGTCAAACCCCAGCTTTGACGCTTTTCGATGGGCATGCGTGGATGCAGCCCGTTGCGTTCTCGAGCAGCAGTGTCTCCTGTTTCAAGAGGCCCTGCACGGTCCGCGCAATAGAAAGCGTGTGTGGTTTGGTGCCTCTCGGTCGGTGTCTGATTGCCTCACTGCGGCTATGGTGATATGTCTAGAGGTGATCAACAGGACAAAGGTTTCATCTCAGCCTTCCTTGACCAGCGACGCATCTACAGAACTAGTCCATATTCTCCAGCGGACATACTTCAACCTCAAACAGACCCCCAAATCACCTATAGAAATAACCAAGGCAGCTGAGATTCTGGCCACAATGCTCGGTCGGATGGGTCATGCTGTGACCTGGAACAGTGATTCAGACGAAACTCGGCCTTCTACTGACCCCAGTAACCCTAAGATATCCGACCCTCAATTTCAAGAGATCACGCCCCCGAGTGGCCTGCTTTCGTCTCCTTGGCTCGTCTTCGACAACTTGGTCCATGGTGATTCTCCGTTCGAGATGTTTGACTGGGTAAGTCCTTCAACAACTTTCTTCACTTTTTACTTCCTTGAGCTAGACTTGAGCCTTTATGCAATCCGAGCACAGGTCGATCTGGATCTATGCTGATTTATAAGCAGGCTTACTGGGACCGGCAGATGCAGCAGCTCAATGGGGCATTCTATGATATCATATAGAAAGCATGTGGTTGGTAGCCAGGAGTGTACGCCCGTCCCAGACTCCAAACGCCTATGTTTCAAAGCTTCTCGGATCCACAAGCGGGTCCCCGAAATCAGCCCACGGTTTCCCGCACGTATTTTACTCAGAGCTCCCGGGTTCCGCGTTTCTAGAATCTCGGAAGACTCGATTGCCGAATCCGGCGCAAGTCTCCGTAGTGTACATGTGCCGCAGGGACTTTAAAGCTTGAGATTTAAGACTCACTTACTAGCCACCTCACTCAACGCTCTTTAACCATACATCCATGATTGCAACCATCTTTATTCTTTGAGTCTTCGAAATGTCCGAATCTCCTGAACTCACCGTCCACCATCTCCACCTCTCCCAGTCCGACCGAGTGATCTGGCTCTGCGAAGAACTGGGTCTCCCCTACCAGCTCAAATGCTACGACCGGGATCCCGTGACCTCCTTCGCCCCGGCCGCCTACCGGGCCCTGCACCCCATCGGCACCGCCCCCGTCATCCAAGACGGTAGCGCCGTCACCCTCGGCGAGACCAACGCCATCTTCGAGTACCTGCTTGCCAGATACGACCCCCAAGGCAAACTGACTCTTCCGCCCACCCACCCCAACTACCCGGACTACGTCTTCTGGCTCCACCACACCAACGGCGGGATCCAGCCTGCCCTCTACGAGCTCATGTTTGCGCGCATGTCCGCTCTGCCCGAGAACAACCCGGCCACCCAGGTCATGCAGGGCCGGCTGGACCGCAGCCTGGCTGCGATGGAGGCCCAGCTCGCCAAGTACCCGTTCATCGCAGGCGAGAACTTCACGGCGGCGGACTGCATGCTGCTGTTCCCGCTCACGACGTTCCGGATCTTCATGCCGTACAGTCTGGAGGCGTATCCGCATATTGTCAGCTATTTGGGGCGGATCGGGGAGCGGAGCGCGTTTGTGGCGGCGATGGAGAAGGGGGACCCGGGGTTGAAGAGGCCGATGGGCGCTGAGGGTGTTGTTGCTGCTGTTGCTGGTGAGGAGCGTTCTCAGAAAGCGTGAGGTAGATGTGGCACTCGGGGAAACTTGCAACGGGGGTTAAGATGGGGATATGGCCGATTATTCGTCGGTTTGTATATTATGAAACTTCGGGTTTGCTTCGAGGGTCCTTGCAACTAGGTTTGTACATATGTAGATGCTGATTACAATATGACGCTCAAGGATGGGCTACATGAAACCATATCTTGAACTCCTGGTGGTCAGTTATAGCTGACTTAGTTCTTCAACATGTGAGATAGGCTAGTAGATTGCTGAAATGCGTGGTCTAATTACTGACGAACGCCGACACTCCATAACCCGCTGGGCAATTGCTAAGCAGCCTAGTTGATCATTTGTGCCTGTTTTTCATGTACAAGGCGTCGTATTCGCCAAGGACAAGAATGACCGATGAATACAGACTACATGCGGCTAACGTTATCTGAGCGGAGCTATCAACATGGCCGCCGACAGTATCCTCATGGCTCGGGGCAGTCCTTCATCTTCAACGATACATACGAGATTTCATCCAACCGATCTGAACACTAGGCAAAAAGAATACAAGAAATAGTCAACCTAGCCCGGGAGTCCATGTCCAACTTCCTTCTCCAACACAAAACGGTGTGTTCGATGGTCCTTCCGGGTGCCAACGTGCCTCTGAGCTACTGGAACCAGTACCACTCTTCAACGCGCCGGTAGATCTGCAGAATGCTCATCTGATGACTGTCTGCAGTACGCATCAGGCGATGAACGTCGGCCTCCAGCTGCCGGGTCCGCGCCGCTTGGTCCTGGAGCTGCTGCTGCAGATGCTCGACCCCGGCTTCCAGGTGGGTGAGGCGTCGGTCGAATGTCTCCATTGTACGTCGGGCTGCGTTGATGCTGGCCTCGATCTCCTCGGGGAGAGTTGGGTCGGGGTTGGTGGACACAGGGTGGACTGTCTCATCCGGATTGACTTGTGTCATGTTTGGCTTGGGCGAGGTGGGGTGGGTCATAGCGTCTGCGGTGGTATCGTGGCTCTCGGGGAGCTTGGAGGTCTCATCTCCGTCCACGGTGTCCTGAGGGACGGTGTTCTGTTCTTCGGGGTTGTGTGGGATGGTGGGTTCCTGTTCTTTCTTGGTCTGGTGGGTGGAGGCGTCGTGGTTTTCACCGTGGGTGTTGTCGGGGATAGCGCGGGTGATGTTGTCGCTGGACGATGGGTGCGAAGACATAGTTTCGGTCTGATGGATGAAGTTTGGTGAGTTGGGTTCTGAGTGTGTAGTCTGTTCGCAGGTTTTCCAACTTGTAGGATGGATTGGATCGGAGAGATTGGGGTTGCTCTCCAGGTTTGGGCAGAAGACAGAAAGAGTCTACAGGTTGTAGAGATGAGATCGTGGGAAGAAGAGACTGTGTAACGGTTTTTGATAGTTGTAGAGATAAAGAAGTATGAGCCTAGTGGGTTTGAAGAGTGTAGGAGATGTAGTTGGCTAGGTTGAGGAGTGTGTATCTGTTCTGTTCCAAAACACCAACTTGGGTGACGGATTGGAACGGAGGATCAAGGATTGTGAGGGGATGTGGATGAGTGATGAATCCAGACTACGCGAGGCAGCAGGCCATCTGAATGCGGGACTATCAACATGGCGTGGCGGGCGGTGAGCAGCTGCCTGGCCTTCGAGGCTTCAGGGCTGCTGGCAGGTTGTCTGGTAGTGAATTCCCTCACAGCGGTTGGGAATGTAGGCTTTTATGCCTGCAGGCCGATGTCAGGAGTTCAGCGGGTACCACGATCATGGAGGGGGGCGGATATTCACTTCTCGTTGTCAGGGTCATTTTGTCTTTGTTGGTGGAGAAGATCGATTCGCACGTGGTCTCCGCGAGGTGCAAGAACTTCTCGTCGACGATCATATGCGGTGTCCTTCGACTGGATACAGGTGCGTGCCTCAATGCCTGCTCTGGCACATCTTGTGGAAGAGAAAAGGGTCGATTGACTTGATGTTTGGAGGGGTCCTTGAGTTGGAGTAGCGAGGGTTTCCAGACCATCGAAGGTGATTTGAAGATCATGCAGTAGCATGTCTTACTCAGGTGTAAATACTGTTTTTTCCCTAAGTTCCTTGCTGGTCTTGTGGACCGATATTGCGGAGAGATTGGTCGAGAAGGACTCGATGATACTTTAGAAGAATGTGCTCATTAGCCAATCTGGTTAGCTTTATTAACGATACTATAGATGAGTATACGTACAGCGTTGCATACAAGGCACAAGCAGCTTGACTCAAGTCGTAGCATGATAGAGCGAGTACCCAGAAGACCTATGCGCGACACCGGCCTTCATGTAGCGCTTTAAACGCGCTCTTCCGCTGCAGAAGCTCTTTGGGGTTGCCCTCCTCGATTACTGAGCCCGCATCAAGCACAAAGACACGATCGTTGTCCAGGATAGAGTCCAGGCGATGTGCGACTGTGATAATCGTACAGTTGGCAAATCGCTCTCGGATCACTTTCTGCATCAGTCGATCCGTTGCGGGGTCAACATTACTCGTCGCCTCATCGAGGAGTAGAATTGTCGTCTTTTTAAGCATTCCCCGGCATAGGCACAGTAGCTGTCGCTGGCCATGAGACATGGTCACTCCATCGAGCGCGGTTGTCAGCCCATCTTTATTCTCAAAGATTGGCCACAGCTTGACGTTCTGAAGTGCTGATATGCACTGCTCATCGGAGGCACCATTGCTGGGATCAATGCTAAGGCGCAGGGTTCTTCCGACTAGAAATTGCTCTTGTGAGATTACCGTCATGCGTTTTCGGATCAAGCTACTATCGATGCTTCGGAGGTCGACTCCATCGACAGTAATTGTACCGGACTGAACGTCGGGAAGTCGCAAAAAGGCGGCTAATAGAGTACTCTTGCCACTGGAGGTGGTTATGCGTCAGCGCCCGACTCAATCACACGAGCTTCAAGTGTAACAGGTGGCATTTCTCTTGCATACCTTCCGGTTCTGCCACACAAAGCGACTCGTTCACCCGCGCCAATAGAGAGACTGATGCTGTTCAGTGCAGGTGCTTTCCCACTGCTAGTGGTAAGTGACTGGCGGACGTCAGATCAATGGCATACATACTCATATGAAACTGTGACATTGTGGAACTCGATTGCCCCATGTTGAGGCCAGTAGAGAGGAGGATTGACAGCTTTACTTGGCTGTTTCTCTGCTGGCGTCGTAGCTTGAAGTTGTTTTAGACGGGCAATAGCCCCCAGTGAAGTTTCCATGTCTGTCCAAGCGGTGATCAGCTGGTTCAGGTCGACGCCAAGGTTAATGATATTATTAAGGGCAACGCCAATCATGACACCATTGGTGGTATTGTGTAGATCCAGGGCCAAGGCCACCACAGCCACGGCCAGCGTACCGACAATGAGATCTAAAACCAACTGCAACCATCTCTGGGCACACAGAAGCAGGTAGAAGGGGCTTTGCGAAACATCCAGTTTCCGCGCAAGCACGCTGAGAAATTTGTCCTGCCAATCAAACGCTCGGATCGATGATGCACCCTCTTGTGTCTCGGTGAAGAGGGTGTACAAAGGGTCTTTAGCCTCAAGATCTAGCAAACGGAGCTGGCGCGATGTTCTAAGGTAGAACTTCTGAAGCACGTGCAGCACAATGAATAGCAGAGGCAGTGTAAGAGCCATGAAGCTTGCCCCGGCGGATACTAAGGCTAATTGGCCGAGGCACCGCGAGAGGTCTATATCACGTCAGGTATCTCTCTCCCGGAAGACCAGAAGCGTACAGCTTACTGAATACGGCCAACATGAGGGCAGAGGGCAGTTTGGAGTCCAGAAGTGTCATATCTTGGCTGAATCTACTTCCTTGTCAATATCGCAATTCGGTGAGTTTGAAATTCGATGTACCTATTTAATAAGCTCCCAGTATCTGTTTTGTCAAGAAAGCCCATCGATGCTCTTGGTCATGTTAGTCTTGTTCTCCACAAGTAATTTTAAGCTCACCTTGTCACTATTATCAGCAGGACTTCGTGCAGTTGCACGGATGTCTTGGGCGCGATCTTCATTAACATCAACCTATAGCCGTCAGCTAATGCTACATTACACTTCAGGAAGCCTATTACCATATAGCAAGCGCCATCGCTGACAATGTGGCAAGCGGTAGCGTAGCATAAATCACCATGTACAGCAAAAAGTGAGCACCATTATCAGAGGTCCACCACCCCAGAATGATCTCTAATAAGTGGCATTAGCAGCTCATGTCTGATAAATGGACAGATATCAGGGCAACCCACGAGGAAAGAGTGCGGTGAAAGTGTTGCAAATCACACTGGCACCGAAAGGCGCGAGAAGCTGCCATCCGATAAATCCTAGGTAGTACTTATAGACCTTCAAATCTCCAGTCTGCCGAGATAAATCCCGCCTTTGCTCGTCACGTAAGACATTGTGTGCCTGTACCACCGGCCTAGCCGGTGTTGCCTCAGATGACGCCGGCGGCACTGCCTCAAATGCAAAGTTGTTTATTTTTAACTGTCCCTGCATTCTCTGCTCCAGTATCCGGCCTTCAGGGTCGAGAATTATTAGTTTATCCGCCAGAGAAAAGATGTGTGCTATAAAGAGAGGTATATGAGCTTGCGAACTAATACATTGGAACAGATGACTGGATTATTTACCTGCATGAGTAACCAGAACAACTGTCATCTTGAGGCGGCGTACCAGACCGTCACGCCCAAATAAATTTTGAATAATCTCGGCCTCCGTGCCGCGATCCAGCGCACTGAAGACGTCATCAAGCAGAAGCAACTTGGGTCGATGGTAGATTGCCCGGGCCAGCGCCTTGTAGATTTGTCAGAGATAGATAAGCTAGGCCAGGATGGGAACACCCGTACTTACTAGACGTTGTCTTTGGCCACCACTGAGTATAATACCACGTGTTCCGATCACTGTCCGATCACCATCGGCAAGATCGTCAATATCACGTTGCAGGGCACAAGCTTTGATTACCGACGAGTACCACTCCCTCTCTATTGTCGATTGCTCGGTCGGGCCGCAGATGTTGTGTTCGATGCTGTCATTCAACAACCATGGAGCTTGCGAACAATAGGCTACACTGGTAGAACCCGTCATCACCCGTCCTTGACTGCACGGTAATTCTCCAAGAATTGCTTTAAGCAAGGTGGACTTCCCACTGCCGACGGGACCAGCAATCAAAGCCAACATTCCGTCCTCGACCTGGAAGTTCAGGGAGTTCAATGTTGGTTGTATGGATCCTGGATAGTGTATAGATGCATCGCGAACATCTACCATGGAGGAAGGATGAAATGCCCAAGAGGTGTCTTGCAATGATCTTAGTGAAGCAGGGCCTCTGGGACGCCGTTCAATTCTGGTTAGTTCGTCATCGTGGGAGGGATCCAAGGATCGGCATTCTTCGCTCATGTCTGAACTGACGTATAGAAAGTCCTGGAGGCGCTGAATCGATCCCAGGCACGCAGAAACTGAAGGCACTGCGAAAAGGAACTTGTTTGCAGGAGACATCAGGAGAGACAAGGTGGCTAATGATGAGAATGCTTGGCTGGTGTTGAGCAGGTCTTCACCTCTGACCTTGGCTTGAATCATGTAAATGGCTAAAGTAGCAGCTGGAGCAAGTACGGGTGGTAAATTGGCTGTAAACTGTCAGTGATGAGAGCTCTGTAAAGTAGTTATCTTACCAAAGACATTAGTGATTATGATCATCAACCTGAGCCCCCTTTGCTTCTTAAGCTCAGTCAATCTGAGGGACTGAATTTGAAGAAACATATCCTCAGTGAGACCACACATGCGTATGCTCTTCATATTATTCAAAAGTGAAGAAGCCGCGGTCACCCGTCGCTGGACGGAATCAGCCCAGAGTTTCTGTTTCCCGGCAATCCTTCTGGCGACTCTGGCACTTCCTATAGTTGACGCTGTACCTTGATTAGAGAAGACATCGTACAATCATTAGAGTTAGCGCAACCTACCAGCAACTATGACCAGTGGCGCTATACATGTCCAGCCGAGATAGATTGAGAGAATATACACTCCTATGATAATTTCCAGCAGTTGACCCCAACACTCATGAAGATCTTCGAAGCTTGTCTGAATTCTCTCAACGTCAGTGCTCATCAAGGTGACCGGCATTAAGTGGTCCTCTCCACGGTCAGGTACGTGCAACATCTGGTGGTAGACCAAATATACAATGGCTCCTCGTAGCATTGTCAGAGACCTGTTGACTTTGTGTTTGTAAGAGGCATTAAATACCTGTTTTCATTAGTAAACTGCCTCACATGAACGTGTAATTCCATGGGTATAGTACTGCTCTTCCAAGATATGTCAGAATTGTGGCGCCGATTAATCCATATCTCGTGTTGTGGTCATTTGAACTCCCACTCCCACTGACACTGACATAGCTAATTATACGTGACACTAAGAATGGCTGGGCATAATTGAACCCGATAAGAAGAACTCTTGCTGGCACGGGGGCGAGAAGCTGCCGGGCAAAACAACGTACAAGCGCTTTTAACAAAGCGTTCGATCGGTTTCCATTTTCTGATAAATATCAGCATCATTAGCTTCAAGCAGACGATGATAAAGGCGACAAACTCTCTTGACCCCAGTAGTGTTTTAGCCTTTTGCCCAGAATTTCAGAATCGATGTCTTCATCAATTGAGTAAAGATCAGTTAGCGTGAAAAGAGTCTGATAGCCTAGAACAAGAAGCCTGTTTAACCACCAGAAAATTGTACGGCTGATGACTCCACTGATTGCTTCAGGTGATGTTGGAGTGCGATTCGATCCCATCAACAGCTGCTTTCGCTGTGCCTCTAGGACAAGTAGACTAGCCTTGATAGCCATAGTGGCGCAGTAGGTCGAGGCAATGGTGTCATCCCCCCTTAGAAACAAGGTCCGTGCCTGCGGGACATCTAACAGCAGCGTACAAAGGAGATAGATGTTCAGTAACGAGGATGGTCGAACGGAACGCATATGCTCAAGATAGGAAAGAGGAACTATTGTCGTAGCAGCCAAGAAGGCCAACACCGAGGACGCGATGGAAACGCTTGTCTGTCCGTACTTATTTCCGACCCATAAACCCAGTAGAGTCAATTGGGCACACGCACTCAGCGCTGATATGATCTAAATGATTCAGGAATTAGATTTGGAATGAGTTGGAAGTGGATGCAGGTACATACAGTTTTAAGATGACAGTATGGATCGACAACTGCTTTGGGAGTTTGGTTACGTAATTTGTATATCCTGAGTAGAGCTGAGACAAGTAGTAACGCAGAAGGAATAATTGAAAGAATGGCTTGCTCAAAAAGAAGAGTGAAGTCAAACGTTCTACGACAGCTTAGAACAACAGGTCCGAAGGCGTCATCTGTAGCTGGGCAATAAGGAAGGGAACCCCCACCAGAAAGTGATGCATTCTGCGACATCTTAGGCAGGAGTTTGACGGGTAGTGAAGTTGGTGAACATCGGGAGAACGGACTGACTTGAGCAGACCAGGCTTTAATGATAATTCATGCGCAGTGGCGAACTCGCGCAGTCTAACTGAGTTAGGAGCGAGGCTGGCATGGCCCGGAGAAGATACCAACAGCCAACAGAGAAAAATAAAGCTAGACACGACCTGCTGGGAGCTACTCGGGTTTGCCTTGTGGACCCGGGTCGTTAGTAGTGGGGCTGAGGTTACATCGCTAAGTATGCACTGGCGCCATTGCTACTAAAATTCCACCACACGTCCTTTGTGCTGAGCTGGACCCTGCTGCCATCAAGTACACAGTAGTCAAGGGTCTTGACAAATAGTCGCTTGTGCCTTCCACTACACTATCAATGCAAACAATACGGTACGCTTATATGAGCACATAGCGCTGGTATGGGACTTATCGCAGGCACCTTTGCATTTCACTTTGACTCCCCACCCCTTCGAGAACATGGTTCTTTGCCTTGTCAAATGTGCCATCCAGTCTTGTTGCCTTCAAGAGCCCAGTCATACAGCCTGTTGAAATTCCGACAGGTATGCCGCACTTCCCAGTCTGTATCATATCGTGTCGGGGAGCCAAAGGCATCGAATTCCGTCCAGTAAATCGGGATTGGAGTTAAATCCGCGTGGCACATCAGCGCTTGTCTGATATAGTCGATGCAGTGATCTGCGAGATGGATCAACACGAATCTCACAAAGCCCCAACCCTAGTCAGAAATATGGGACAAGGGACCACGATCGAAAGTGGTCAGAACAAGAGACAATGGTTCGGTCATAGAAAGAAACAACCGTAGGGATAGATAAAGCACGCCTACCTGTATGCTTCATAGCCACTCCTGGTGCCTCGCTTGCTGGGTTTGATTCTCCCCAAACAACTTGCCGAAGACGGTTCTATCAGCAGTGATATATCTCTGATTAGACTTTGAAATCTGCTCATATCTCATCGAGCAATCACCTACCATACACTATACATATCCACATGCTCACGTCAGCGAGGCTCTATAGTCAGATCTGATTTCATGGGATGTAGGATTTGACATACATGCAATTGATGGAACAACGCGATAGTCACCAAATGCTTCCCAGGGTCGCGGGGATCAACTGCGCTTTGTATTCCTAGTCTCTTCGTCTCTTCAGCTGGGACTGCATAAATTCCAACTGGATTCCCGATATGAGTGAGTGAAGTTCATTCCATACATGCAAAGTCACATATGAGGCGAATGATTATTATTCCGACTTACCATCCCAAAGAGCATTCCAGTTGGAATCAATCTCCTCAGATGGGGGGCCTTCATATTCATTGACACGTATGTTCTTGGAATGTAAACCGCTTGCTTGAAACACCACATTTTCATAATGAATCCATGGTTCAGCGGAAACTGTATGGCACATTAGTACACCAACAAAAACCACGATATTTAGAAAACGAGGCCGACTAACCTAACTCCGTAGGGAATGTCTTTGCACACTCAGGCACTGTTAAGAGAAAGAACGTGGTGTAGATGAGAAAGGCAAGGCTATGAAAAGCCCATGGGAGTAGGGAGATCAGGTAAGCACGGAGCACGGGTGGTTGCTGTGACCTTTCCTCAACCAGCAAGGTATCGGACGGTGAGAGCCTACTATCCGCAGAATCACCCTCTTCATCTTCCAGTTTGCAGTAGCTGACTGGCATGATTGTTATCTGGGCACTGCAATGTCTTCACGACTAACACTGCTATATGAAAAATGAGCAAGGAATGGCCACAACAAGGAGGATAGAGTAAAATGAGGAGGAATTGATTGTCTGCACCGAGATGGTGATATATTGTGACCGGTGGCTGTGCGCTAAGCTTACACGGGGTGCATCAGTAAAATGAACCAACTGACTGCCCAGAGAAAGAAGGCGATGCTAGACATGAAACGACAAAAGCAGCATGACTTGGCTACTATGTTAACCTGAACAAATTGCCTTGGTTGGTTGAGTGATGCCCTGTCAAGAGCACCCCTGCTTCGGACTCCAGTCATGCTACCCCTCATTATATTGGCGAATAAGGGCTTGTGCATATAGAGTGTTTTTTCTTGGTGGAAATAACAGAGGGAGTAAGCAATTAGTACGCCGGTTGCATGCGGGGCTTACAGGTGAACCTTGTCTTTCGGATGTTGTCCGCCAAACCCGCCCCCCAGCCCATGCAGGGCACGCCATGACCCTGGAAAAATGGCGTGGACAGCGAACTCCACTAATGCGGCCCGACGCATACATATGCCCCACAAGCGCGGTTGTTCCGTGTGAATTTACGGGTATCTACGGAGCATATTACAGCACTCCGCAGTAGTTCCCACACAGGTCACAAACATGGTTACATCGCGCGATTAGAGGCAGGATATCCGGGGTCCCGACGGGCTACCATGTACTCGAATAGATCGGCATACCATAGAAAGCGCTAAACTTCTCGCCACTTCGCTCGCTCGAAGATCATTGCCGAATCAAATCCATGGAGCGAAAGAGGCTTCTGGCGAGATAACCGCGAGCAGGGAGAAGTCTGGTGGCGCTGCCAAGACTGTCATTTCCTTGGTTGAATTGCTTGTTCGGACTTTGGGTGTGCCCAAAATTCAGAGAATAAGTGACCATTCCTTGTTACAAGTAACATCTTTGCTCATTACATATTGCTTGGTTGGGTTGGTAGTTCCCTTTCACGGGTAATCTTGTCTCGTTAATACTATAATGTTCGAAGTGCGAATGGGAAATCTAATTGCCTGGCTTCCTTTCGGTTGGATGTGCTGAATCAATTAGATGTCCATGTAAAGAAGACCTAAGCCCTTATGGTAGTTATACACTAATGTTGCTGAATCATATGATATGAGTAAAGATAGCATACGATCCCGCTCAGTGTCTTGGGACGGATGACGGGAACTAGTTCGGTAGACTTCTATGGCCTGTGGATTCTCCGCTGCCTTAGTATAAAGATGCCATTGTATTTTGCGCTGCTCGTCTTTCTCTGGCCTTACGCATAAAGCACACACACCATTGTCAGCACTGAACAGCTACTGTGACGTGAAAGTCCAACCACAATACAACAATGACCAACTCACGCTCTCTCAACTTTGCTGCAGGTGCTGTCGTTATAGGCATCATGACGGGCATGCTTATGATTTACCAAGCCAGTTCTCCAAGCGCCAGCAGGGCAACTACGCGGAGGCCGACGAGCTCTCCAAGCGCCAGCAGGGCAACTACGCGAAGGTCGATGAGAGTGAGCAGTAGGCTACGGGCTTATGAACAGGATTGCAATCACGCTTTCATAGGTGCGGTGTGCGCAATGGCTGAAGGTCAAAGTTAGGCTTGGATTGGGTCATTTTGATGCTTAGAGTGCTATGGAAGGTTGCGTGGAGAGTTTCGAAGTATTAAGAGTCTGGCCGTGCGTTCAACACTCACGGACCAAATGCTTTAGAGATCCAATACTAGCTTTTCTGAAACTACCTCGGTGTTCTGTCTGTAATATTGATAGTGTTCGCGCCCAGATTGCTGCTAGCTTCGTGTAGGACGTGTCACCACCTCGACTCACGCTGCCTTCTCGACATGCCTTGAATGTTGAGTCTCCTTAATTCCCGAAAGCTATGAGAGCTTCTAGGTAGCCAGATTTCCGGGAGCATGTGAGTACATTCTAATTCATGAAGCCCTGAATGAGTGCTTTAGTAAGGAGCATCAGACTGACATTCTCGTGACGATCAAGCTTCGGTCGCCTTATGGCTACAGCAATTGCCAGACCCTTGCCTTGTCAAAAGATCGCGGCCAATAAGAGATATGTACTTTTGCTCCCTCCTTCGTTCTAATTATCAAGTCCATATTCTCGGAGAGAGAAACAGAGCACCGACCCGCGCGAGATATAGAGAGAAGTGGAAGTCCGTCCTTCAGTCCGGCGTATGCCGCTCGTGATCCCGGAATCAACCCGCAAATTATTCGCTTGTTAATACTCGACAAGGCAAATCCAAATTCCAGAATCTCTTGCTCTGTAGGACTAAGGGTCCAGCTTCTATGAATGATGATAGTCTCGCGCATATCCAGGACTTTACCCCTGAGCATATTCTGTAGTTCCTGTGCGATATGCTCTCCCAGATATGGGTATAGATAACCCAGCCAGTCCCTAGCCTGAAGCTGAACCCCGTTCCGCCAATGTTTGGCCATATCGATGATGATCTCGTCCATTGGACTGTTCTGATATAACGAAAAACTTCCTGTTCTTTTTCGTAGCCGACTGTCAATCTGGAGAAGATAGGCACATCCACGCATATATGGAATCAACTCCGCATACCAGTCATTATAGAACTCCTTCTGCGAATCAAGTATATCCATTCCAATCTGCGGACTGGTTCCATAAGCACTCAGCGACGCATTCAGTCTGTTACGCAGATAGTCTTCCCCGCGCAGTCCAAACCGATATGGAAGACAAGCAGAGTAAAATTGTGCAAGCCCTATCCCGAGATTTAGTGTTAGCGTAATCGTTTCGCGAATTCATGTGCTGCTGGTTCATCGGCTGGTTGTCTGCTGGTCGTCTACTCACCCTCAGTGAACCATCCGTTATCATACCCATCTGGCTCTGGTCCCATCATCACAAAGCTATGAATCATCTCGTGTGAGAACAAAGCCACAAGCTCCTCATCTGCCTCCTTCCAGCTGTCTTGGTCATACTCAAAGACGTAACTATCGAGGCATGAGTGCCCGCCAAATCCACGAACCACCCGTCGAATGAAAATGCGATATGAGGTGTTCTCGTTACTGCGAAAGAACGCTGCTAATCTTGGGAATAGTTGGATGTTGTACTGATTCAGTCGCCAAAGATTATCCGGCAGCGTGCCGAACCAGAATACTTTGAGTGGTACTTGGGGCAGTGATAATCTTTTCATTATCAGCCATAGAGACAGAGTTTCTTGCGAGAGCAATGCAGCCCATATCGTCATCGCCCATAGTAGCGGAAGCAATACTCTGAGTCCTGCCGTTGGGATAACTGTGAATCGGCCCCACCATGAAGACTGAGTTGGCGATGACCATTGCATCCCCGGTCTTCGTCACCGATCCCCCGGTCCCCTCGCCGAACGACCACACGGCGCGTGTCCCGGCTGGCGCGCGGGCGATATCCCACGTCACGATATAGTGGTACATCTGATCCTTTTGTGCCGGACGAGGTAAAAAATACCGGCCATTGCCAATCAAACCACCTTGATCCCTGCGAAGATCCACACGGGGGCCGATCGGAGTCGTGATATCCACATGTCGGGGGAAAACGCTGAATTGCAATTGGATATCTCCTAGAGTATCCCGGTTTACGCGCCACTCCTGGTCCGGCCCCTCTGGATTCTCGGTCGGGTTGGTGAAGTAGAGAGGCAAAGGGCCAGCGGCATCAGAGGCCAATATATCACCTTCGGTGAATGGATTGGCAGGAACGTTACCGTAATAGGTTTCGAAGAGAAAGAGCGGGTGGTGAGCGGCGCGATTGGGGCTCTGGAGACTGAGGTGGATGGAGAGATGACTGGCCTCGTGTTTAGCCGTGAAGTGAGGCGTGATGGTAACTTTAAAAGTGCTCAGGTTGACTTGAGCTGGTCTTTCGGGGCAGTAATTCATCTTGAAACTCGTGTTGGCTGAAGTCAACTCCGTAGAGAGTTTTGAATCACGAGGGCAAACTTTTGGATCCGTTGTTATCACGTTTTACGGAGTATGCCTACCTTGGAGATTGTCTTCTGCATTCTAGACTTGAGCGCCCCAGACATTGTCGAGAATTTAATCCGTCGGCGTTCCTGTTCGCTAGTATGTTTCTAGCCTGTTTTGTGGTCACTTTCCGTGACCAACTACCTATTTTGGGGGTATCGATATCGACGTGACTCGGGACATAAGCACTAAGGGCAAAATCATATGCGCTTCAACAGTTGGCATAACATGATTGGTCCGACAGGCCGTCTCTACATCCAGCTACCCCGAGTTCGGGTGGCTCTCTGGCATGCCCCCACTAGCCGGAGTCGGTTGACTTAGTCCCATATTCTACGGAGTAGATGTCAGATAGCATGTGAAGTTTCACTTGCTGCAAGTGTTTGCCGTAGCGTTCCAACCATCCTCACCTGCCTGTTTTCAGCCATGGAGCATTTCGAAAGTCCCCTATTGCTCTGTGGGCAGAATCAATCGGTCTCTTTAAGTACTTGCAGCCTTAGCTTCGGGCAACTGATCTTGGAAATACTTCTTAGGTGTTGTACAAAGTATTTTAAACAAGCTGATGTGATACAAATAGAGACATTGAGAGTCACGGCCTAGAAAATAACGATCATCTCATTACAGAATAATAGATTTGGCCTGTTTTCTCTCCGATGAGGCCATGTACTGGCGCCAACAGCAGCACCACATATCCTCTTTTCCCGCAAACTCCAACAAAACCATTTCCGTTCAGTCTCCTAGTGCTGGCAATCCTCTAAAAATGAGGACAATTGAATGTGCCACCTGGCGTTAACATTTCATTCAGAATATCAGATAGTGCAATTGTATTCTCTGTCCTGCAACTTGGCAGTCAGCGTCTGCTTTATCGAACGTGCCTAGCAAATAGCGACATCACAGGAAGATTCCAGTTTCACCGGGTACATTCCTTCGAGAGACCCATTATGTAGCTGATTGCATGACAAGGCGCATTTAGGAGCCGCCCAGCTGCCAACTATATAAGTTGAAACCGTTTGGACCTTGAATTTTGTCCATCTAGCTATCCTTTTGTTCTCACCATATAACCCCACACCTAGTCTCCATCACCTTGAAAAGGAAGTTGAAAGCCTTGGTCTACTGTACCATCTGGATAGAGTTAGCCTAGCGAAGGGGATGACGGCGAGACCTTTATAGACAGACAATCTCGGTGGACGAGAACATCTCCTGGGTCCATCCAGGCTGCTTCTCACCCCATCCCTTTCCAAAACACGACTTCATGCATTCATGCAAGCAGAGACTGTTCTTGTGACGCAATATCGCGCGAGGAAGGATGGATGCAGCAAGGGTGTGGAGGATGAAATCAATCACATTCGCTGCGATGAATTGAACAAGTGAGGCGAGAGGTTGTCGAGATTGAGGCAGGGGCATCGGATATCTTCTCGTAATGCTTGCTATGCCGGATGCTGTGCTATGGATTCACTTCATGCATAAGCGTGTGTGACTCCGAGTCTAGCACTGGGAAAACTTGCTTCCTACCCCTTGGCAAGCTTTGGCCCATGAGGTGCAACGTCGATCTATCTCATTTGACCCTCTTCCTCTTCCTCATTCACAACTTCCGTCGCGACTCGTTGCTTTTCTGGCAGGAATGATCTTCTGCAAAGAGCCGGTTGCAGTCAAATTAATGGGCAGTATAAGTGTCAAGAAATTCGAATAAAAGCCCAGTCAGCGCAATGTCAAGGCGAGTGGAAAGCAATGCGACCCGTCTCAGATCATTGACCAGTATGCAGCATTTTCAGGGAAAAGGATCATCGCTGCAGTGGTGGGTCCAACCTCCACAGAGTCATACCGACTGTGGACCTCGGAGAAGCCTGGAGAGCTGCTTCCATTGCCACATTCGGTATGAACGCCAGCCAGCTGCAGGATTTATCCGAAGTTCACCCGATGTATCTCAAATCCTTAATAGTCAAGTAGTCAAGTAGAAGCCTACGGACGAATAGCCTCAATACCTGGCTTTGCCTTAGCGAATGAGACATCTAGTTTGAGGGCGAAATCTATACCATATTTTCCAGCTAGGGAGCGTCCGAACCATCCGTCTTAAAAGTGAGGTTAATTGGCTACCTAGTTCACACAATATATCCACATGGGTTGAGCCAATTTTGTCGCGACCCATCCCAATTTATCTGATACACTTCCTCCGTCCAAAATGAACTCTTATCAGACGGTATGACCTCGGAGTTCCGCGTCTCTATGAACTCGGCACGGCTAGGGCGTTGTGGCTAGATGGATGGATCCTTCCTCTTTTTCGGTATAGCTATCAAGAGCCTCATGGCAAGTCTTGAAAGTGGTACACGTATTCTCTGCCGAAGCTAGCATAGCAATAGTCCACAATGCTAGTTTGACAGTCAGCTTGCCGGCACCGTGCGCAGCATATGGGATGCTCTTCCACTGCAGCGTCCCAGATTCAAGTCCCAGGCCGTCATCCACATAGCTTGCGAGACAGGTGGCGGCTGCCGCTGGGGCCGATGCGCACCAATGCCGGAGCTGATGCTCTCCCAGCTACAGCGCATCACGACCAGTTTTTTATCGGTCATGGTCCACCCGTACTAACGTGTTCGGCTCTGCAAACAGTATTTCTGCATTTGGCGGAATGAGTCTAGATGGTTGCTTGCATCAACCCCCGCCGACGTCCACTTCTCAGCAACCTTGGCAGCGCCGGGACACAGGTTCGCGTGCCGCGATGAGTGGAATTACTTGCGGTCCCGACGGATGTGAAGCGTGAGTCTTCTGTTTCCGCGGACTTTTTCGCCGCGCCACCTGGCAGGAGTTCAGCCGGCTCGTGCAGCAGAGGGTACAGAATGTTCCATCCTTTTGCCAGGCACTGTGAGACCACGGGTACTAGACTCCGGCTGATGATGTGTCTGAGTGTCTCTCCGTCCCAGACCTCCCTTTCACCCTGTGAATCCATGAAAAGAATATGCACGGTGCTGCCTAAGGCTCGATCGACCAACGCTCCCCAACCTTAGGTGGGCAAAGCCTGAAGAAACGTTCGAATTCGAATTTTGACCACCAAGGTTTCGGGAGTGGGTACGTGCTAGTGGACCCCAAATCAACAAAAAAGGAAGCTCTGTAATTTCTTGCTTCAACATCACCCGGCAGAATCAGTGCCTGTTTTGCGATCTCAAATTTGGCGCGGATTTCTGGGAGGTCTGTCTTTCTTGGAGGGGAAGGAACAAAATCCTTCACAATAGCCCATCGCGAGACATTCGATCCAGGGACTAGTCTCAAACGCTTACATGCTGTGCTAAGACATGCAAGCTGGTCGTCAGTTAGGTATATCCAACCATGACACCGCACTGCCCAAGTCCCATTCAGACCTAGATCGCACAGGCGGGCAAAGGCACGGCATTCCCGGCTAAAGGGACCAAGGAGTTTTGCACTTGTTGGTTGGACGGGAAATAGTGCTTTGGGAAATTCCCAGGTTTTGAACTGGAGTATGTCAATATTCAACTGCAAAGGTCGAAAAACAAGAATTACTCCTCACTAATTTCAAACACAGATCCATGTTCTCATGCCGGAAAGAGAACACAACCCCTTCTTCCCCATCGGAAATGTATTGAGGTTGTGATATTTCAGCTTCGTGGCCGACGAACTGTTTTAGCAGTGGGTATTTCTTGTAAGCACCCTCATTTTGCAAAGCCTGGACGTCAAGAGTATCCTCCGACACACAAATGTTGAGGTATTCGTTCATGGTTGTCTTAAAGATGTTTGGTCGTTCTATGGTCCAAGAGGCGGTAGGCCAAGAAAGGTCCAGTGATGCTCGCGCAAGCAGCTTTTAGAACCGCGACCCCAACTCTACTCAGTCACGTACCTTGCAGGGCAGTTTCAAGGCCCATGTCAAGTCTTGAACAGAAAACGTGGCGTTCAACTAGAATCGAAGTAAACGTTGGATGATGCAGGGAAGGACCTCGGAGTCACTGCAGTACTAGGTGGAAAGGGATTCCCGATCGGCTGGAACAACTTTGTCTCCGCATTCCCTTAATGGCTTGGAGACACCGCTGCAAAGAGTAGAACCGGGCGCCGCCTCTTTCCTTCTGAGTTCGGTCTTTGCATCGCCACCGTCTATTGTACTCCTTTAAAATCTACATGTATTGTCTTGTAGATGCAGCCTTAACAGTGAGCAGCATACTGAAAGCCTTACTTTACGAGCTGCAGATGATGCAGCCTGATAGAACTTGCTCCTCGCTTCCAGCTGTGATCGATGGGCAGAGTTCCACAGAACGCAACCCCTCATTTGGCGATGTCTGACTCTCGCTGTTACAGAGACTCAAGGTTTTGGCCAGGTTACTGACTGTTGTCTCGCGGCCATGGCCCGTCATTTGGTCTCAGGGCTGATCATGAAGAACGAGGAGAGTGATTTGGCTCAAGGCAGTAATCCTCCGGTCGCCAAACCGGAGGAGGAAGGAGTCAAAATTTACAACTGCAGATAGCTTGGAACTACACGGTGCCAGCCCTGCTACTCATGATCTCTTGGGGCACTGATACCCAGCACCGTCCCGGGACTCGATTCGTCCGATTCGGACGATCATTTCTTCTGCAGGCTTTGAAAACGGAATTATACGCGTACAGCGCTCCGAACGGGCGCAATAATCAGGGCACCTTCAGAAGCAGGTACGCTTCTGCTTCAGTCGCGTACACCCACGGCGACCACTGTTCCCGTCGCGTCCTCTGCACCCTTGGCAGCAAATGGCAATTCTGCGGGAAGTGATTCAATAAGAGTCCGAGACAGCAGACTCGCATTCCACGGACCTTCTTGGTGAGGGTAAGACTGCAGCAATTGGATCGCTCGCCACCGCTGCTCGGGATCAACGGTGCGCTTCGCAATGGCATATAGCGGTGGGACAACGCCGATGTCCAGGGTAATTTGTGGGAGATCTGAGGAATCC